GCAAAGGCGGTCAGCTCTGTCAATTTCGCGCGCGTGCGAGAGGAGCAGCAGCCACCTGGCGCCCCGAGCCGCAGACGCCGCAACGCGCCTCGGAGGGTGTTGCGCAGCCAGCGTGTTGCAACCGCTCTGCGTGCGCCCTCCCAGCTGTAGACGGCTTCTCTCAGGAGGCGCTGCCACGAGTGAGGTCGCCAGCGCAACACGCGGCCCGCCCCCCGCACGTTTGCGGCTCTCCTCCCCCCCGCGAGCGCGACGCTACAAAGAAAAGACTCACTGCGCACCTCGACGCTCTCGCTCATGCCGTTGAACTTGGCCTCGAGGCCGTCAACGAGGCGCTCGACCCAGTCGGTGAGCTCGTGCGGGCTCGAGATGCCTGCGGCGTCGGGCAGCGTCGCGTCTGGCGCCGTCGCCGCAAATGCCGCTGCGGCCGCTGGCGCACTCGCCGGCGCAGCAGCGGCAGACATCGATGCGGCGGTGGAGGTGGTGGAAGCGCCGCCGCTGGACGCCGAGACGGCCATGGGCGCGCCGCGGGTGGTGCTGATGGGCGCCGGCGGCACGCTCGTCGACGCGCTCATGGGCGGCGCAGCGGGGGGGGGGGGGGGGGGGGGGGGGGGGCGAGACAGCGGGACGGGGGGCTGCGAGGCACGAAGTGGGTGCAGAAGAGAGAGTGGCAGAAGGTGTGACAGGTGCGGCGACGGCAGGCGTTTGTGCTGGCTGGATGTGGTGAGAAGGCAGGCGAGGTGAGAGGTGAGAGAGGAGAGGCAAGCTGGAGAAGCGGCGCGGCGCCGTCCGCGCGCCGCCAAGCAACACCTCACACAGCGCACGCGCCCCGGCCGCCGCCGGCAGACGCGCGCCTCACGCCAACAGCACATCAGCACCTGGCAGCAAGCACGGCAGCTCGGATGAGCGTCGCTTGCATTGCACATGCAGCAGGCAACAGCTCAGTCGCGCACCCCGCGCACCTCGGTCCAGTGGGCGATAGAAGGAGCGCAGGGTAGCGTCGAGGCGCGGGCTAAGGTGGGGCGGGCACGACGAGGCGGGCACGAGGCGAGTAAAGTGGGGCGGCGCAGCGGCGGCGACCGGTATGTCTAGGGCAAGAGCAAGTATGAGGTAAGGAGTGTGGACGAGGTGCGTGGGCAGCGGCGGCGGCCCTGGACGAGCGGCCACGCGCGAGCGTGCGCCGGCACCTGGGGCGAGATAAGTGCGTGACGGGGCAAGGAGCGGGAACAAGGAGCGTGCCGCGGGGGGGCAAGGAAGGTGGGGCCTCGAAGAGAGGGCGCGGCGCGAGAGATCGGGCGGCCGCAGCAGGCACGCCACGATGAAGCTTGAGAGACGCCGTCGAGGACGAGGGGGCCAAAGAACACGAGCGTGGGGTATACGAAAAAGGCTTGTCTTGGGGCTTTGTGTGGGGATTATCGAGGCGAAGAGGCGGAGGGCAAAGTCGAGAGTGCGCACCTAGCGGCTGACCTCGAAGAAGCTGCGGATGCGCACGAGAGAGTCAGCAGACAGACTCACGGCCCCCCTCCCCTGCGTTAAAGACGGTGGCGCGCGCGCCTTCACACTCACGTCGTGAAGCGCTTGATCTTCTTGAGGCGCTGGCGGCTGGAGCGCTCCTGCGAGTGCACGTCGTCGGACGAGGCGACGCTGGGCGACGGGCGCGCCGTGGCGCTGCGGCGCTCGAGCGACGGCGCCGACGCCGGCGCCTGCGCCGAGTCGCGCGGCGTGCGGCTGCTGGGCGACGACACGTCGGCGCCGGCGAGCAGCGAGGCGTCACGCTCGCCCTCGTCGTCGCCGGAGAGGGCGGCTGCAGCAGCAGCACCACTGCGCGACGGCGGCAGCACGGCAGCAGAGGAAGAGTCGAGCGAGACGGCACTGCCCGACGTCAGATTGCCGCTCGACGGGCGCGCCATGCTGCGCCGCGAGCTCGGCTGCCGGCGCGAGAGGCGGTTGAAGGGGCGCGACGACGACGACGTCGACGCGGGCAGGGGCGAGCGCGCCGACGACTCCTGGCGCCGCAGCATGCGGTACGTGTCGACGACGCCGCGCGCAAAGAGATTGGCGCCCTTGCCGCCGTTGATCTCGGACTTGAGCGGCCCTTCGGCAGCGCTGCCAAGGTCCACCATGTCCCAGTCCTCATCCTCGTCGTCCGTCTCGTCGATGGTGTCGTGCGCAGGCAGACCGCCGGCCGAGAGCGCCGCGCGCGACTTGCCCGCCGCACCCGCGGACGGCAGGCCGTCGACGGAGCCGTCCGGCGTGGCACGGCCGCTGGGCCCCAGCCGCTCACGGCTCACGCCCGTCGACGTCGGCTGCGTCGAGACGGACGCGTTGGACGTCGAGCCGTCGGCACTGGCCTCGGACTCGAGATGCGCCAGGGCAGCCACAGCGGCGCGCGCAGCAGAGTCGTCGTCCTCGTCGTCGTCGTCGCTGGCCTCTGCGAGCGCCGGCGCCGGCGACGGCTCGACGGCGGCCTTGGGCGCACGCGATGCCGCCGTGCTCTCCACCACCGACGGCGCGGTGGAGGGCGCAGTGGGCGGCGCGTTGGAGCCGTCGTGTGCCTCGCTCGGGTCGCTGGAGATGATCGACGAGCGCGCCTCGGAGTCGCGGCGCCCGCGGAACGAGTAGCCGTCAAAGAGACTCTTGCCGTCGCCCGAGTCGGTCTTGCCGTGCGTGGGCGCCGCCGCGGCGCCGGCCTGCGCATCGGTGCCGTCGAGCGTCGAGGCGCTGGCAGCGGTGCGGCCGTTGCTGCTGGCGGCACCGTTGCCCGCGGCACTGCCGGCGGCGCGCCTCTGCGCCTCGGTCTCCTCAAGCGGCTCGCCGTCCTCTGCGCCATTGACGACGGGCTGCATGTCGAGGAACGTCTCGTCGAAGTTCTGCGTGTCCGTCTCGTCGTGCGGGTCAATCGGCGGAATGTAGGGCGGAATGTAGCGCTTGTGGAAGACGTGCGGCCACTCGATCATGGAGAAGTACGGGTGGCGCTTGATGCGCGGCTCCTTCATGCGCAGCATGGGGTTGCGCTGCAGCAGGCCGCGCAGGATGCTCTTCGTGTCCTGGTCCAGCACGCGGTCGTCGGGAAAGACGAGCTCGTCGTGCAGCACACGCACGTACATGTCGGCGTGCGTGTCGGCCCAGAAGGGCGTGATGCCGGTGAGCATCTCAAAGAGCATCGTGCCGAAGCTCCACCAGTCGACCTCGTACGAGTAGGCCGCGCCCTGGATCACCTCGGGCGCCAGGTACTCGGCCGTGCCGCAGAATGTCGTCGTCACGTCGCGCTCGTCGGCCCAGCGGCTGCGCCCCGAGCGCGTGGCAAAGGCGTCGGCAGAGCCCTGTGCCGAGCCGTCGTCGGAGGCCGAGAGCCAGTGCGGCGAGTGGCCGCTGGCGCCGCTGCCCTTGCCGCCGCCGGCTCCGGCGACATGCGTCGTCGAGTGCGAGCGCGTCGGCGAGCCGGGCGGCGGCGTGGAGCTGCCGCCGCGCGTGAGGCTGCCGCGCACCGGGAACTCCTTGGACAGGCCAAAGTCGCTCAGGATAATGTGCCCGTCGGCGCCGATCAGCACATTCTCTGGCTTCAGGTCGCGGTAGATGACGCCGGCACGGTGCAGGCCCTCGACGCCCTCGACAATCTCGGCGGCGTAGAAGCGCGCGCGGTCGCGGCCCAGCCGGCCCCAGCGTGAGAGCTGCGTGGCCAGGTCGCCGCCGGGGTGGAAGTCCATGACGAGGTAGAGATTGTTCTTGTCCTGTGGCAGCAGGGGCACTCAGCGAGGCGCGCGCAAGCGGCACAGCACGCAACTCACGTGGAAGCTCCACCACAGCTTCACCACGAACGGGTCCATGACGTCGTTTGCCATGCGCTTGAGCACCGCCTGCTCGGTGAGCGTGTGCTGCAGCTCCTGGTGCGCCAGCACGTGCCGCTTGTGGATCGACTTCATGGCAAAGAGGCCCTTGGTGGGCGCATGGCGCACGAGCAGCACCTGTGCCGCATCACGCGATGAGCTCGCCATGCATCAAGCCTGCAGCACAGGCACTCACCTTGCCCGCACAGCCCTTGCCGAGCACGCGGATCATCTCAAAGTCGTCGACTGTCACCTTGTCCTCCTCCTTGCGGCGCTCGCGTCTCCGCTGGCGACGCTTCTTGCTCGCCTCGTCCTTTGCCTCCTTATCAGCAGCGGCAGCGGCAGCAGCGGCAGCGTCGCTCTTGTCGCCGTGCTCCTCCGGGATGTTGGCAAAGCTGGTATTCTTGCGGCTCAGCTCGCGCTCCTCGCGCTTGGCCTCGAGCTGCGCCTGGCGCTCCGGGTCGACGGACGTGGAGCGCGACGGCACGTCGGGCCGGATGCTGCCGCCGGCGTTGGAGTAGCTGTGCGACGTGCTGCGGCCCGAGGCGCTGCGGCTCTCATCGTCGGTGCGCGCCTCGCCATCGCCGTCGCCGTCGCCATCCTCGCCCACATCTGACGGCGACGGCGGGCGCGCCACGTTGGTGTTCGTCGGCGCCACGCTGGCACGCACATGCTCCGCCACGTCGGAGCGCACCTTGCGCACGCGCCGCTCGACGCGCACTGACTGCAGGTCGTCGCTGCCCACACGCACGAAGCGCCGCCAAGCCTTGTGCTGCCGCACGGCCGAGTGGTTGGACAGCGTCGTGAGGTAGTTAGCCAGCAGCTTCGTCGTCGCCTGCTGCGGTTCTGTGGTGGGAGGCGGGTACTCGGACGCCGGCGAGCCCGACAGACTGGCCGTCAGCGGCGCCAGCGGCTGGCGCGTCGCGCTGGGTGCGATGAGGCTGCCACTCGACTCGGATGAGGGCGTAGCGACGGGTCCGACGGACGCCGAGCTGGCCGACGGCTTGACGGCCGCCTGCTGCTGCTGCTGCTGCGACGAGCGCTCCTTGCGGTGGCCGCCGGGGCTGAGCGTGCGCGAGATGGTCTGCAGCAGCCGGCGGCTCGCCTGTGCGGGCGCGGCGGCCTGCGCCGGCGGCAGCGGCAGCGTCGGCAGGCCGGGCAAGCCACGCAGCGTGCCGGGCGCGAGGCCGTCGCGCAGCTTGACGTCCAGCTCGGCCAGCTCGACGACGGTGCGCACGAGGGTGAGGTTGTGCGTGGGCGTCGTGACGTAGAGGGTGTAGGCCGGCAGCGGCGCCGGCGCCACGCCGTTGCTGCCCTTTGAGCTGCGCCGCCGCGAGCTTGGGCGGCCGCCGGCCACGGGCGGCGTGGGCGAGGCGGCGGCCTTGTCGCGCGCCTCGGCCACGCTCACCGACCACGGCCCATCCTCGCGCCCCACCGTCGGCGGCGCCGTGGGTGCGCCGTTGGCGGGCGCGGCGCTGCTGCTGCCGCTCGCGCTGCCGCCAGTGAGGGCGGCATCAAAGAGGCCGAGCACCGAGGCGCGCTTCGACGGGCTGGCGCCGGCGCCGGCGACGGAGCCGGAGCTGCGTGCGGCGCCGAGGGTGCTGAAGCGCTTCTGCATCGGCGGCGTCGCGGCGGCGCCGAGCGTGGCCGCGGCGGTGGTGGTGGCCGAGGGCATGCCGGGCAGCCGCGACAGAGGGCAGCGGGGTGCCGCAGACGCTCAGCACGCGAGGTGCGGCGCGCACTGGAGGTGCGCGGTTGGCTGGTGGGCGTGCGAGGTGAGGGCGAGATGAGCGGGCAGAGGCGCGAGGCGGCGTGAGGCGAGCTGCGGCCGAGGCTGCGGTGCGCGCCGCGGTGCCAGGCGAGATGGGGTGCGCCGAGCAGCAGCGGGAGCGCAGGCCGGCGAGCAGGCGCAGGCGGATGCGAGAGGAGCGAGGCGCAATGTGACGGGCTGGATGCGAGGCGAGGCGGAGCAGAGAGAGGTGAGATGTGAGGTGGATGAGAGCGAGCAAGACGGCGCAGTGCTGCGCTCCCAGAGGCGGCACCGCACGCACGCCGCATAGGAGCTCGCCTGCGCTGGCGCTGCGGTGCTGCTGGCTGGCGCACGCCCGGCGCTGCAGGCTGCCGCGCTGGCGGCGCGCCGCCTGCCACCTTCACGCGCCTCGCGCTGCACCCGCACGCCGCGAGCGTGCCCCATGCGCGCGGCGCGCGGAGCCAAAATCTCGCCCGCCCTCGCCGAAAGGAGCACGCCTGTCAGAGGGCCGCACAGCTCAAGCCAGCGCTGCTGTAGCGATGCCAGAGCACATCGGCCTCGCAGAGCGATGCTCAAGCTCGCGCAAGTCCAGTGTGTAATAAGAAGCGCCGGCGGTGAGCAGCGACGAGCCACCAGCGCGCAAGAGGCAGAGCGCGGAGCATGGCCGCATGCGCCGCGGTGCGCGGGCGGCGGCAGCACAACAGCCGAGACCCTTGCTCGGCTCCTGCCTGGCGGCTGCCGCCTGCGGCCATTTCACGCCCGCCCCGCACCGCCCGCCGCCGCCGCCGATGTGCATCTCTCCGACGACCGAGGTTGTGGCGCTACGATGCACACATCCCATGGTCGTCTCGGGGGCGGCACAGCGGAACTTGTGCCGCAGCAGATGCAGTCGCTCAGCAGCGAGAGCTCGCAGTTCAGCGATAGGGCTCGATGCAGGTGCGAGAGTGCCACAGCCGACGTCTTTCCTCGGCCAACCCAAGGGGCGCCGTAGGAGCGAGCCACGTGCGCCATCCACCGTCGCGTCGCTCGCTCGTACTGCGTGAAGAGGCCGCGATGGCCATGCCTGTGGCCCAGCTTTGTTCGCTCGCGCTTCGCTGCACGCAGCATGCGGGCAGCCGTTGTGTCCGGGAAGCTGGCCGCCTCGAGGCGTGAATGCGTGGCCGCCAAGGCCCGTGCAGCCGACTGCAGCGGGCAGGCACAGCAGGCAGGAAAGGGGGGGCCGTGCAGATGCAAGCTGCGTCCGACATGGTCCATGCGCATATAAGTATGCTGCAAACTGCGGCCTCTTGTGCCCGACGCTGGCGAGACGCCGTGCGAGTCTGGCATGTCGCTGGCGATGGAGAAGCGATGAGACTCGACTGCGGGCAGCCAGGCTCTCCCGCGCCTCGGCCCCACGACTCATGTGCTACTCTACTTGCTCGCCGCTCACGCTACTGAAGACTTTTGAGAGACTCGTCGTCATTGGCGGCCGAAGCTGTAGGGGTTCAGGAACTGAGACGGGAGACGCGCGCGGGCCAGATCACATTCGGAACACGAGGGGAGTTAGGGGGTTGGGGGAGCGAACCGGGGAGGAATGAGAGGGGGGGGCGGAGAGATGGCATGGAGTGTGAGGGTGTGTGCACAAAGGCACGTCAGCGCGCTGAGTGCGCAGAGAGATGTCTGTATAAAAGGGAGAGATTGGAGAGGTGTGCCAAGAGCCAGCCGCACGCCGGGCTTCTGCCACACGCTGCAGCGGCTGGGAGACGCGCAGGACGCTGCAAGCATGACCCCGTCGGAAGACCAGAAGCAGAAGACGCGCGACCAGCCTACTCGACAGTGACCGACTGTGGGACAAAAGAGACGTGAGCAAGCTGCTGCAATCGGCGTCCTGCTTTCGCACGACTGCAGCTCACCTTTGCCAGGTTCCGCGGGAAGTCGACGTCGACGCCGGCGGCGATGGCGAGGTGGTAGCTGAGCAGCTGGAGCGGAATGACGGTGAGCAGGCCCTGCAGGCAGTCGACGGTGCGCGGCACGCGGATCGCCTTGCTCGACGGGTCGATGTCCTGGTCGTCGTCGTTGCAGATGATGATCGGCTGCCCCTTGCGCGACGTGACCTGCATGAGCGCCGTCTGCACCTTGGGGTACAGCGAGTCCTTCGTCATGATGACTGTGGGGGGCGAAACTGTCAGCCACCGCGCAGCAGACGCGTGTCTGCCCTGGCGCATGACTCACTGATCACCGGCATGGACTCGTCGATGAGCGCCAGCGGGCCGTGCTTGAGCTCGCCGGCAAGGATGCCCTCGCTGTGCATGTAGCAGATCTCCTTGATCTTGAGGGCGCCCTCGAGGCACGTGGCGTGCTGGTAGCCGCGGCCCATGATGAGCAGGCTGCGCTCCTTTGCCAGCGTGCCCTGCGCCAGCTCCTGCAGCGACTTGTCCTGCGCGAGGATGCTGCGGATCTGCTCCGGCAGGTCGTGCAGGCCGTCGATGATCGAGTTGCGCCGCTCCGTCATCGAGATGCGGTCCTCGGACAGCTGCACGGCCATCATGACGAGCGCAATGAACTGCGACGTGTATGCCTGGAGGGAGAGTGTGAGTGGTGTGCGGAGAGGCGCAGCTGTCGCAGCAAACGCACCTTGGTCGAAGCCACGCCGATCTCGGGACCGGCGTTGATGTGGATGCCGCAGTGCGTCTCGCGCGAGATCGTCGAGCCGACGGTGTTGACGACACCGAGGCAGAGCGCGCCGCGCTCGAGGCAGTAGCGCAGCGCCAGGATCGTGTCGGCCGTCTCGCCGGACTGCGACACGAACACGCACACGTCGTCGCGGAAGATGGGCGTGCGCCGGTCAAGGAAGTCGCTCGCCAGCTCAATCGACACGGGAATCTCCGTCAGCTCCTCGAAGATGGCGCGCGTCTGTGTGTGGGAGCGACACGTCAGCGCGCTGCGGCGGCGGCGCAGGCTGCGCTTGCACTTACGGCCATGGCCGAGTGGTAGCTCGTGCCGCACGCGATGAACACGATGCGGCGGCAGCGGCGCATCGTGTTGAGGAAGGCCGTCAGGCCGCCGAGCTTCACCTGGCGCGTGTCGAAGTTGACGCGGCCACGCATCGTGTTGACGACCGACTCGGGCTGCTCGAAGATCTCCTTCTGCATGAAGTGGTCGAACGAGCCCTTCATGATCTCGGCCAGCTCCATCTCGAGCGTCTCGATGGAGCGCATCGACGAGAGGCCGTCGTTGCGGCGCAGGCGGTGGATGTGCAGCTCTGCAGCGGGGTGCCTCGCGCGTCAGTGCGTGTGCGGACAAGCGGTGCGCGCGCGTGCGCAAAACCACTTACCGCCCTCGGCGATGTGCGCAATGTCGTCGTCCTCAAGGTACAGCACGCGCTTGGTGTGCTCAATGATGGCACTGGCGTCGGAGGCGATAAAGTACTCGATCGGCTGCGGCAGGCCGTCCTCCGAGAGGAAGGCGCGCGACTGCGAGCGGATGAGCTTGTTGTTGGCGTTGGGCACCTGCAGGCCGCCCGGGCCGTCCGGCAGGCCACCCGGCGGCGCAAGCAGGCCGGGCTGGGGGATGGAGAGGCCTTTGCACGCGCGCAGAGTGTGAGCCCATGCTCTGCCGTCTGTGCGCGCGCCGAGTGCACGCGCGCGCGACGACTCACCTGCCTCGCCATCGGCCTCCGGGTTGCCGCCGAACTCCACATCCACAAAGTCGACCTTCAGCTTCTTCTCCGTCTTGACACCGATGAGCAGCGGCGAGCCGCGGCGCGCCACCACCACCTCGGCGGGGTAGTGCGTCGACTTGAACACGAAGGAGAAGGCACCCTCCTGCGCAGCGTGGGTCTGTCAGCGGCAGTCCTCGGCGCGGCGCACGAAGCCGCGCGCGCGCATGCCCGCATCGCTGCACTCACCAGCTCCTTGACGACGCTCTTGATCAGGCTGGTAAAGTCGGGCTTGCGGCCCGAGGCCGAGTCGTAGAGGTACTTGCACAGCACGGCGACGCTCTCCGTGTCCGTCTCCGTCTCAAACGTGTAGCCGCGCTTGGTGAGGACGAGCTTGAGCTCGCGGTAGTTGGTGATGATGCCGTTGTGCACGACGGTGAACTCGTTGCGCGCGTCGGAGCGGTGCGGGTGGCAGTTGAGCGGCGACGGCTGGCCGTGCGTGGCCCAGCGCGTGTGTGCCATGCCGGCCTGCGAGATGAACGTCTTGCTCAGGTCCACGTTGGACGCGGCGATGTGGTCGCGCAGCGCCTGGACCTTGCCGACCTGCTTGAAGAGCAGCACCTCCTTCTCCGTGTCGCCGTCCACGGCGATACCTGGCCAAGGCGCCCGGGCGTCAGCGCGCTGCGTGGTCTGTGCGCGGCGCTGAGGCAGAGCAAGGAGCCATCGCAGTCGCAGGCTGGCCACCAGGCTCGCAACAGCTGCAGCATGTCGCACGCCTGCTCGCCGCACGCCTGCCTGTGCACCTGTCCGCGTGCCGCCCGCATCGCGCACTCACCGGCCGAGTCGTAGCCGCGGTACTCGAGGCGCGCCAGGCCGTTCACGAGCGTGTCGATGACATGGCGACGGTCCTGCGCGCGGCACAGGGGAGCGTAAGCATGTGCAGAGGGCATGGGCAGCAGCTCGCGGTCGCGGCGCACCTTCTCGACGAGGTGGTTGACGTAGGCGAAGATGCCGCACTGCGCAGCGGCGTGAGCAAGCGCAGCCGCACGAGGGACGCGCTGCGGCGACTGACCATCGTGGAGAGGAGCGAGAGAGAGCAGAGACTGGAGGGTGCACGGGCGTGTGTGTGTGTGTGTGTGTGTGTGTGTGTGTGTGCGGGCTCGGAGTGCGCGGCGGCGTGTGCGGGCAGACACGGAGCTGGTCCGGCGAGAGGAGGAGGCTAGGGCTGCGGTGCGAGGTGCGGCAGCAGTAGCGAGCGTGGGGGAGTGTGAGGGTGCACCGAGGTGGAGCAGGGAGCAGCGAGGAGGTGGTGGAGCAGAGACGAGGCGGTGCGTGCGGCTGTCGAGGGTGCAGCGCTGCCGGTGCTGTGTGCTGCTGCGAGCGTGCTGCTGCACCTGTTGCTCTCTCGCTTGGTGCGCGCCTCGAGCTCGACGCCGGCCGCGGTTCGGCATGCCGCGCGCTGGCCCCTCTCTGCACGCACTGGCAGCGGGCTGTGCTGCGCGCGCGCTGCCTCGGCGCCTGTTCCGCTGGCCGCGCCCCGTGCGTCGCAGCGCCCGGCGCGCCAGAGCGCAGGGTGCAGCCCAGGCGGGCCGCCTGTCTCCTCTCCGCTGCACGGTGCGTGCGCCGCGCCTAAACGCAGACGCGCGCCGGAGCGCCGCGGCGCAGCGAGAGCCTCAGCGCAGATCAAGGGGCTCGCCTCGGCTCGTCCTCGCTGCTGGTGCTGCTGCGATCCTCTGCGTCTGCGCTGGCGGCCGCGCTCATGACTCGCCTGTCGCGACTCGCGCCCCGTCAAACAGCGCAGGCGGCAGCACCTCGGCGCCGAGCTGCGGTGGCGCTGTGCATCGCATCGCACGCATGAGCATGACGCAGCGCTGCGCCCTCGACCGGGCTCGCGCGGCGCTCGAGCCTATCAAGCGAAGCTGGTGCCGCACACACAACACGCATCCCCTTGAGCAAGACGCGCACGCGCGACGACGCCCGGCGAGGCTGCGTGCTGCATTCTGCTGGTCTGCAGCGCTGCAGCGTTCGAAACAGACGTTGGTGCTGTGTGTGCTGTCCGCTCGCTCGCACCAGCACCAGCTCGCCGACAGCTGCGCCTGTTCGCCAGGGCGCGTGCCTCGCCGCAACGGCTCCTCCCCAACCGGCGGCAAGCGCAGAGCGGCCGCGACGGCTATCTTAAGCCATCTCGCAGAGCCGAGCATGAGAGCGAGATGCTCTTCTCCGCCTGTGACTCGACGTCCAGAAGGCGCCCTCGCAGCTCCGAGGAAAGGGAGCGGGAGAGGCGACCATCACCAAGCCGGCGGAACGCCGGCCCGGCGCTGCGCGCGTGGCGCCGTCGCAGCGTGATGAGGCTGTGCTGTCTTTGGACATCTGCCTCAACATGCGGACCGGCTGCTCACCAGCCACATGCCATCGCCCGGCTTCATGCCTGGAAGCGTACGAGCCGAGATGTCCGGCAGACGCACGCTAGGCACCGCTGCGGGTCGTCGATCCTTGCCAAGACAGGAGGGATTAGGCGGGGCTCTGTGTGTCGCACTACACAGCTGATGCATGGGTGCCGCTGGACTCCTTTCGATGCTCTCCCTGCACATCGACGTTTCACTCTCAGTTCTGGCCACCCAGTCTGTCCGCAGCGCGCTGCGTGGCCCTGATGGCCAGCTACGCATGCAGATGCTGACGGGCACAGACAGCAGCTGCAGCGCTGCTGAGCGCTGGCGGCTGCACGTGTGCAGCCGGTATGGGCAGCTCAACGGCTTGCTCTGACGCCGTGCAAGACGCCGTCTGTCTCCACAGCCGTGCCTGTGACGATAAGGGCTCAGCGGACACCTGACGCATCACGAGGTCAAGCGCTGAGCGCTCTTGTCGAAGAGGGCAGCGCAGCGACGACATCCGAGTCAGAGTAAGAGAGCCTGGGTGTCGCTCAGAGGCGCGCGGCGCGCCCCACGGGGTGACTCTGCACACCCGGCGCACGCCCCTCCGATGCGGACCCTTGTGCGAGCCGCGGCATCTCTCCGGCGTTCGCTGCAGCGAAGCGAGGCTGCGTGCGTGCTGCTCGGCACCGAGACGGCCGGCTGAATCGAGAGAGCGGCCCATCGAGGCCTCCGAGGGGTCTGGTCATGTGCAGGCGCACGAGTCAGGCCGCGGCACGGTTTTGAGAGGAGCCGCGGCTGTGAGCACGCGATGGGCGAGATGGAGCAAGCATGCCCCGCGCGCCGCCGCGGCACGCCGCGAGCCGTGCGCCCGCAAGCGGCCATGCTCATGCTCCTGCCCAGGGGCCGCCGGCTCTCTTAAGCGCCGCGTCGCCGCCTCGGCCTTCCTTCTCGCCCACACCCGCAACACTCGCCGCACCATGGCCATCTCGCACAAGAAGCCTGCGCCCGCCGACGCCGTGCACGGCCAGACGACCGAGGCGCACCCCAAGGCGCCGCACGCCAACACGCCCGCGCCCGCGCCCACGGCGCGCCAGCGCCTCGCCGGCCTGGCGAGCCACCTGCTGCCGCAGGGCAACACCGAGTTTGACTATGTCATCGTGAGTGGGCGCGTGTGCGGTGCGGGCTGCGCGTCGTCGCTGACCGCCGTGTGTCTCTCGCGCGCTGCCGCAGGTTGGTGGAGGGTGAGGCTGCTCTGCGTGTGAGGCGCGCGCGCACCGCCCATGCTGACGGCACTCGCAGCACCGCCGGCGCAGTCCTGGCGAACCGCCTGACGCAGGACAAGAACGTCTCGGTTGCCGTCATCGAGGGTGGGCCGAGCGACGTGGGCATGGATGTGTGAGTCGCGCTGGCGAAGCGCCTCTCACGCCCCCACTGCCTCGCTTACGCATATCGCCAGCGTGCTGGACCTGAGCCGCTGGCTCGAGCTGCTCGGCTCCGAGCTCGACTACGACTATCCCACGACAGAGCAGCCGATGGGCAACTCGCACATCCGCCACAGCCGCGCGCGTGTCCTTGGCGGCTGGTGAGTCGCCACGCGCACGCACAGCACGACAAGGCAACCCCGCTGACGCTGCGCGCAGCTCGAGCCACAACACGCTGATCAGCTTCCGGCCGTTCAACGAGGACCTCGACCTGTGGGCGCGCGAGTTTGGCTGCCCCTCGTGGTCCGCACACCGGCTGCAGCCGTACGGCGACCGCATCAAGCTCAACACGCTGCCCGTGGCGCACCAGCAGCGCAACCACGTCGTCAAGGACTGGGTGGCGGCCTCGAGCAGCGCCACGGGCGCACCCGTCATCGACGACTTCAATGCACAGATCGTCCATCGCGGCGGCTTCTCCTCGGGCGTGGGCTTCTTCAACATCTCCTACGACCCGCACACGGGCCAGCGCAGCTCGGCGTCGACGGCGTACCTGCACGACATTATGCCGCACGGGCCGCACCGCCGCAACAACCTGCACCTCTTCCTCGAGACGTGGGCGAACCGGATTGTCTTTGACGAGCAGGAGCCGCTGCACGCGCGCGGCGTCGCCGTCACGACGCGCGCCGGCCTCTCCAAGACGCTGACGGCGCGGCGCGAGGTGATTCTGTGTGCCGGCGCCATCGACACGCCGCGCCTCATGCTGCACTCCGGCCTCGGACCGCGCGCCGAGCTGGAGGCGCTGGGCCTGCCGTGCCGCAAGGACCTGCCGGGCGTGGGCGAGAACCTCATCGACCACCCCGAGAGCATCTGGATGGCCGAGACGCGCGACACGCCGCCCGAGACGGTGATGAGCTCCGACGCGGGCCTCTTCCTGCGCGTGCTGCCCAGCAGCGCCGAGCCGTGGACCGTGATGAAGGAGGAGATTGCGCGCATCCCAGACCTCATGTTCCACGTGAGTCGATGTGACGTGAGCCGCTGCAGCTGGTGCCTCCGCTGATGTCCTGCACAGATCTACCAGGTGCCGTTCGCCGACAACACGGAGCGCATGGGCTACCCGCGCCCGCAGAATGCCATCTGCATGACGCCCAACATTCCGCGCTCGCAGTGCAAGGGCAAGCTCTCGCTGGCGTCTGCCGACCCGGCGGAGAAGCCGCTGCTGAACTTCCGCTACTTTGAGGATGCGCACGGCTACGACGCACGCATCCTCGTCGAGGGCATCAAGATTGCGCGGCGCATTGCACAGACGAGCCCGTTCAAGGAGCACGTGGTGCGCGAGATTGCTCCCGGGCCCAACGTGCAGACGGACGAGGAGATCAGCGAGTACGCCCGGCGCGCCGCCCACACCGTCTACCACCCGGCCGGCACGTGCCGCATGGGCACGCCCGCCGACGACGCGCTCGTCGTGGTGGATGAGCGCGACCTGCGCGTCGTGGGCACGCGCGGCCTCGTCGTGTGCGACGCCTCGCTCATGCCGCTGCTGCCGACGGTCAATCCCATGCTCACCGTGCTTGCCGTCGCCGAGCGCGCCGCCGACCTGCTCGCCGACGAGGCGTACGGCCACGCGCGCGAGCTCCCGTCGTGGAGCGAGTAGGCGCGGCGCCTCTCTGCCCTCCACGCGCATCCACTGTCCCACTGCTTCCCTCTTGCCTTTGCTCTCCCTGGCCCTGCTCCACTCAGCCATGCCCCCTGTACCAGTCACGCTCTAGACGAGGACCCGCGGCTCTATATTTGCATGCCTTCAGCTATCCTGTCTATGCTGCGTCTGCGCTCTCTGCGCCGAGGCCGACGAGGTACTCCTGCAGCTTGGCGAGGGCCTTGTATCGGTGCGAGAGCTAGCGAGAGCAGGTGAGCGTCTTGCACCTGCACACACTCCTCCGCCGCGCCATGCTACGCACGGCATTCTTCTCGGCCATCTGCATCTCGGCGTACGTCTTGCCCGTGCCGTCAATCTCCAGGATGGGATCCCAGCCAAAGTTGGCGGGCCCGCGCGCGGGCACAATAAGCCCCGCCGTGCGGCCCTCGAAGAGCAGCACGGGCTGGCCCGCGCCGGCGCTGTAGGCAAACGTGCAGATGGCGTGGGCGGACTTGTCGGCGAAGCCGGCGAGCAGCTTGTTGAGGCCTGTGCAGGCGCGTGAGAGATGTGCGAGGTGTGCGGCAAGCGAGCGGAGCAGCACTTGCCGTCATGGCCCAGCGTGCCGAGGAAGTCCTTGATGTACGGCCCGGGCAGGCCGCCGAGCGCCGTGAAGCCGAGCGCCGTGTCCTCGGTGATGACTGGAGCGTTGAGCTAAGGGAGCTGGCGGCGTCAGACGGCGTAGTTAAGCCTCGGCTTGACGGCGCCGGCCACTACTTACCTGCGCTGCCGCAGCCGCACACTTGGCGCGTGCCACGTCGGCCGTCGTGCCCTGCACCTCGGGCACTGCGGGAACGAGCAGGTCAGCCGGGCCATGCCCGCACGCCGCGGCATCGGAGCGCGCCGCACCGTCGAGCGCCTGGTTGACGAGCGCAAAGGGAAAGTTGGGCGAGGCGGCGAGGATGGCGCGCACCTCGTTGAGCCTGCACGCCACGCAAGGTGCATCAGCATGCGCGCCTGCCGCCAGGTGCCGCGGCGCCGACGCACTTGTTGGCGTTGCCCGTGACGAAGGTGATGGTGCGCTGCGACATGCCGGGCGTCTGCTGGTCCGCTTGCGGCGCTTGCGGTGTGTGTGTGAGGGAGCGAGGGCAGGCAGAGCGGCCGGCGCGGGCGTGGGAAGCAGCGCATACGGAACTCGGGACTTGGCCGCTGCTTGCTCGGGGCGCGCTGGCTTCTCGCAGCCGCCTGCGCCCGCGTCCGCTGATCACCCGCCCAGCGGTCAGCGATGGCAGCGGCTAGAGCCAGAGTGTCGGCTTCGTCTGAGTCAAGTCGACGGAGCGTGGGGATGAGCTGCGTCGTGCCTGGACTTGCTGCCTGCCTGTCCTTCGGCCGCGACTGCTTCTCCGGACCACGCTGTGCATGCACCCCGCAGCGGACCGCAGGCCGACGCGTGCTGCTTCGCCTGTGCCCTGCATCGCGCATGTCGCCCTCGAAGCATCGCCGCAGGCCGTGAGGATGGCAGCGCACCTGAGCGCTGCAGGGAGCGCGCTGGTGCCTGCGAGAGCCACGCCTGACAAGTGAGCTTGCTGCACCGCTCGCGTGGGCCGGACGCGCGTCCGTGCGGCGGCGCGGCGAGAACGCCGAGGCGCCGTCGCGCAGCTTCCCGCGGGCTGCGCTGGCCGAGCACCGGCACTCTCTGCAGAGCTCGGCACCTCTGCTGCGGCATGCGGCGGCGAGCTCCTGTCTCGATAAGCTGCGAAGCCTGCAGCTGCTGTGTTGCGAGACGAGCCGCCGTCGCTCTGCAGGCTGGCGCAGCCGCCCGATAGCCGATCCGAGCGCCGTCGCGAGCAGCATGCTGAGGAGCGGCTGCCAGCGCGCCGAGGCCAAATTCGCCACTTCGCTGCACGCTGCCTGCGCTCTGGCGAGCTGCATGCTGCGAGAGGGCAGCCGCGAGAGCAATGAGGGGCTCGGGATGCCGTCTCTGCTCGGCTCTCGCGGACGCGCGCGGCGACCTCGGACGGTCAGACGCAGCTTAGCGCCGGACTCGAGTCCGTGCCGCGTGTGCGTGGCGAGGAAGGCACCTCGTCAGTCTTCGCCGGGCCGCCGTTGCCGCTGCCGCTGCAGCCGCGGACCGGCGGGCGATGATTGCCGTGCCGTGCCGCAGCACTCAGCAGCGCGCAGTCGGCGGGCGGGCTTTGGCACTCCGCCCGCACGCGATCTTGCACTCGGCTCGCCTTCTCGCGCTCGGCTGCCTCGGCGAGTTAGCGTCTTTTTTGCCCTCTGCGTCTGCACTCCGCCTTGCGGCACTCTCTCGCGGTCTGAGCGCTGCTGCCACTCGCGCCGCTGCGGCGGCTGCGTCGGGCTGCGATGATGCCCTCTCGCGCATCCGCACCGAGCCTCTCCCTCTCCGCGGTCTCTGCGTGCTGGCCGTCTCATGCCGCGCACGCTAGGCGCCCGCATGGACGCTGCAGGGCGACCCACACGGCAGCATGCTCCTCTCGCCAGGGCGAGCTCGACGCAGAGCCCAGGTGCCGCGGCGATGCCCCTCGGCCGCAGATAGGCGAGGGGTCTGATGAGCACTCACTGCCCGAGCTCCTGCGCCGCTGCGATTGCGCAAGCGACGGCGCAACGCACGCGCGCGGCTGCCACTCTCTGCGCCCTTCTTCGGCGTCAGGCACGGCACCATGGGCTAGCCGCGGCCTCGCCTGTATCGCCGCATCTCTGCTGCCGCCTTGCTACATAAGCCGCGGCCCGGTGCCGTGCGCCCTCTCACACGACCACATCACCAAACATGGCCGCAACATACAACGCCTCGCACATTGCCGCCGGCGAGCTGGCCAGCGACATCCACCGCGCCCAGGTCGTCGAGGCGACGGGCAAGGAGGATGTGGCGCCGATCGGCCACTTTGAGCCGGGCGTCAAGGTCGACGCCGCCAGCGACGACGCCGACGGCCACCGCTTCCCGACCGACGAGGAGATGAAGACGCTGCGCCGCGTGCCCGAGGTGAGCGGCAGCGAGGCAGGGCCCAGACACTTGGCTGACACGTCCCTGCAGCGCGTGCCGTGGACGGCATTCTGGATCGCCATGTGCGAGCTCTCCGAGCGCTTCAGCTACTAGTGCGTCGGCCGCACCGCCGCTTCGGGTACAAAGCTGACCTCTCTGCGCAGCGGCACGGTGCAGGTGTTCCAGAACTTCATCCAGCAGCCGCTGCCCGAGGGCTCGACGACGGGCGCGAGCCCCAACGGCCAGGCCGGCGCGCTGGGCCGCGGCCAGACGGCGGCGACGGGCCTGACGACGCTCAACACATTCTGGGTGCGTGTGCTGTCCGCTGCGCTGCCGCACGGCACTCTGACTCTCTCTGCAGGTCTACACGACGCCGCTCATCGGCGCCTACCTCGCCGACACGTACTGGGGCCGCTTCAAGACGATCAACATTGCGGTCTGGATCGCCATCGTGGGCCACATCATCCTCATCATCAGCGCCATCCCTGCGGTGATCGACAAGCCGGACGCGTCGCTGGGCATCTTTTCCGTCGCGATCATCATCATGGGCATCGGCACGGGCTTCTTCAAGTCGACGGTGTCGCCGCTGATTGCCGAGCAGGTGGCGGGGCAGCGCATGAGCGTGCAGCGCCTGCCGTCGGGCGAGGAGGTCATCGTCGACCCGGCGCTGACGGCCGGCCGCATCTTCAACTGGTTCTACGCCGCCATCAACATCGGCGCCGTGCTGGGCCAGGTGTCGATGGTGTACGCGGAAAAGTACGTCGGCTTCTGGCTCTCGTACACGCTGCCGACGATCGTCTTCTTCCTCAACGTGCCCATCCTCTACTTTGGCCGCAAGAAGTACATCCGCACGCCGCCGGCGGGCAGCGTGCTGGCGCAGGCGCTGCGTGTGCTGCGCGAGTGCCTGCGCGGCCAGTGGTCGTGGAACCCGGTGACGTTCATGTCGCGCGTTAGCGGGCCCGAGTTCTGGGAGCAGGCCAAGCCGAGCCGCCGCGCCGAGGGCACTGTCGGCCCCAACGGCCAGGTCAACGGCCCGATGCCCGCGTGGATGCAGCGCTTCGACGATGCGTGGGTCGACGAGGTGTCCAAGGGCTTCAAGGCGTGCTACGTGTTCCTCCTCTTCCCGTGAGCAGCACGAGGGTAGACGCGTCGTCCTCGTCGCTGACCGTCTCGCACACAGCTTCTACTGGATCTCGTACAACCAGGTGCGACCTCTGCTGGATCTCGCATGCCCCCTGAGCTCACCAAACCCCCTGATCTTTGTTGCTGATCTATTAGATCAGCAACAACCTCGTGAGTCAAGCGGCCAATCTACGCAAGAACAACGTTCCGAATGAGGTACGTGCGGGCTCTCGCAGCTCTGTGGACGCGCGACTGACTCCTGGCGGCAGATCGTCTCGAACCTCGACCCGATCTCGAGTGAGTTGCGCGCGCTGCACCGCTGCACGCTCCCCCGCTGACGCCGCTTGCAGTCGTCATCCTCGTGCCGCTGTTCGACCTCGTCATCTACCCCGCGCTGCGCCGTGCCGGCATCAACTTTACGCCGCTGAAGCGCATCACCGCCGGCTTCATCACCGTCGCGCTGGGCATGGTGTGGGCGGCGGTGACGCAGCACTACATCTACGAGCGCTCGGCGTGCGGCAACATGCCGTCGGCGCAGGCGTGCCTCGACGCGACCAACGGCGAGACGGACATCAGCGTGTGGACGCAGGTGGGCGCGTACGTCTTTGTGGGCCTCTCCGAGGTGTTTGCGAGCGTCGTGGGCCTCGAGTACGCATTCACCAAGGCGCCCAAGAGCATGCGCTCGCTGGTGATGAGCGTCTTCCTCTTCACCAACGCCATCGGCTCGGCGATCAACCAGGCCTTCCTGCCGCTCACCGTCGACCCGCGGCAGGTGGCGCTGTACGGCGTGCTGGCGGGCCTCTCGTGCGCCGCCGGCCTGCTCTTCTTTGCCACGACGCGTAGCCTGGACCGCGACGAGGACAAGATGAACAACCTCGCCGCCGGCCACATCTCGGCAAAGGGCATCCTCGCCGAGCCGCAGGATGCGGCGCACGAGCACCACAAGGACCTCGGCGTGACGGAGAAGCACTAGAGCGCCGCCGATGTACATGTAGCCACGCGCGAGTCCGTAACGCAGGCACCCGAGAGACCTCCCTTGTTCGTGTGATGTGAGCCGAGGAGAGAGTGAGCAGAAGAGTCAGAGTGTGAGGAGCATCAGGTGAGGGCGTCCCTGAGCAGCGTATGCCGCGGGAGTGTGCGCCGGCATGCACGCGCGGCACACGCGCCGAGCGCTGCTCTGTGGCTGCGCCTGCTCGGCGCACGTCACCGCCGCGCGCTTGCGAAGCCAACCTCGCAGCATGACGGAAGCAGCATGTCGCAGCGGTCGCGCTGGGCTGGCCAGCGTTGCTTCCCACCACCACCACGCAACGCCGCGCGCCTCCGACGGGGCTCGCAACTGCACCGCCGCGCCTCCAGGCTTGACCCCTTCGCACCATGGCGCGGCCCCGCGCGTTTCGCTCCTGGGCCGCCTGGCTCGGCCTGCCGCCGCACGGCGCGCCGTACGACCCGCAGAGCCGCTGGGTGACGAGCTACGTCTTGCCGCCGGCGTGGCTGGCCGGTGTGCGCCTGCTGCTGGGCCTGTATGCCTGTGCGTCGTCGTGTGTCGCAATGCCCCCTTGGCGCGCTGCTGGTCTCGGCGCTCTGACGGGCCCTCACTCCTCGACCAGTCGTCTCAATCATCATCAACTACTCGTTCAACGGCTGGGAGCAGTTTGCGTACTTCACGGTCAGCAGGCGGCACACTGGGCGCTGTCAGATGTGGAAGCAGCTGAGCATTGTCACACCTCGCCCAGGTGCTCTCCTACTGGGGCGTCGTGGCCTGGTTCGTGGCGTCGGGCCTGCACACGGCTGCGTACGCGCTCGCGCTGCGCCGCTGGAAGCAGCAAGCGGCCGGCCCAGCAAAGGCGTCGGCCGCTGCCGTGCCGCGCAGCTGGCTGGCCCAGCGCTTTCCGCGTCCGCTGCAGTTCCTTCACTCGCTGCTCTTCAGCACAATCTGCACGTTTGTGAGTTGCGGCCGCTTCTGCAACGCATGCACAGTCCGGCTGACGCTGGCGTGCCAGCCGCTGCTTGTGCTTGTCGTCTACTGGGCCGTACTGGCCGGCTCGGCATTTGCGTCCGTGCGGTCGACGTGGCAGAACCTCACGGTGCATGCGCTCAACTATGTGAGACAGGCAAGGCATGGCGTCCAAGGCTGCAAGCCTCCCACTCACCCTAGGCAGGTCTTTGTCTTCCTCGACTTTGCCGTGCTTGGACGCGGGCCGATGATGCCGTGGAGTCACATGCTCTTCTGCGTGATCATCCTGGCCCTGTACCTCGGCGTCGGTGAGCGCCCTCGGCTCAGCGTCGTGTGCGCCGCGCTGACGCCGCTTGGCAGCCTACATCCACTATGCCAATGTCGGCATATACGTATACGACTTTGTGAGCCCGCGTCGCTGTGCCATTCTCTCATCTACGCTCACTCGGCCTCGCGCAGCTCGACCCCGGCGAGGTGGGCGGGCAGGGCCCGCTGGCCGGCGTGGCGATCGGCATTGGCGTCGGCACGTGCATCGCCTTTCTGGCGGGGCAGGCGTGCCTCTGGCTGCGCGAGGTGCTGGCAGCCAAGCTGCAGCGCAGCGGCGCCTGGGGCAGCGCAAAGCCCGTGGGCGTGCCGGACGAGGCGCTGCTGCCGACGGACGTCGGACCGGGCCCGGATGGAGAAGGCTCGCCGCGCCCGGTCGCGGGTGCGGCGCCCGACGCGGCACCCTCGGCGCACGACGCGGCATGGACGCCGCCGCACGTGCCAGTCTCGGCCAGCACCTCTGCTTGATACCCCTGGTGGAATGCATGCTATGTACGGCGCCGATGGAGGCAGCTCTGCGCCGCAGCGGGATCGGGAGGGGAGGGCGAGTGCTCCCGAGCTAGCGGATGGGAACAGCTGGGAGCGGGGCGAGCGCGACGGCGGCACGCGCGGCGGGGCGCCAGCGAGGCGCCGTCGCCGCGCCTTTCGCGCCTGCCACACGCTTGTCCTCTCGCCCCGACTCCTTCTTCCTTCGCGCCATCGCACCTCACCTCCACTCTCAGCGGCGCTCCTGCACATCGCTCTCCGCCACGCACACGCACCCACACCTCTGCTCGCCTGCGCGCCCGTCTCACACGCCTGCACCTGCGCACACCGCCCGCGCCTTCTGCACTCTTCGTCCGCACGGACCGCCGCGCGCCCGCCCGCCTCTCGCTCGCCGCGCTCTGCCCGTCCGCTGTGCCACTGTATCAGCCACCGTCTACGCCGCACAGCCGCCTCGTCTCGCTGCCGCCTGCGCCGCCGCACCTCTCTTCGCTGCCGCCTGCGCTGCCGCACCTCTCTTCGCTGCCTTTCGTCTCTGCACCTTGCGTCACTCTCTCGGCTGTATCATCATTCCCGGCTGCTCGCGTCACGCCTACCCTCACCTCTGACCGCACGACTCTGCCTGACCCCCTCTGATGGCCTCCTCCACGGCGTCCGACGCCAACTGGCGCGCCGAGATTGCGGCGCGCGTCGAGAAGGATGCGCGGCCACAGACGGACGACGTGCTGGCGACAAAGGGCAACGACTTTGAGGACTACTTCCTCAAGCGTTCGCTGCTCATGGGCATCTTCGAGGCCGGCTTCGAGCGGCCGTCGCCGATCCAGGAGGAGGCGATTCCCATTGCGCTGACGGGCCGCGACATTCTGGCGCGCGCCAAGAACGGCACGGGCAAGACGGCCGCCTACATCATCCCCACGCTCGAGCGCCTGCGTCCCGAGCGCACCGCCATCCAGGCCGTGCTGCTCGTGCCCACGCGCGAGCTGGCGCTGCAGACGAGCCAGGTGGCCAAGACGCTCGGCAAGCATATGGGCATCCAGATCATGGTCACCACCGGCGGCACGACGCTGCGCGACGACATTCTGCGCCTGAGCCAGACGGTGCACGTGCTCGTCGGCACGCCGGGACGCGTGCTCGACCTGGCGAGCAAGGGCATTGCGGACCTGAGCCAGTGCGGGACATTCGTCATGTGAGTGTACAGCAGTGGCGCCGTTCGAGGTCCACCTGGCGCTGACATGCTGCTCAGGGACGAGGCGGACAAGCTCCTCTCGCCCGAGTTCACGCCCGTCATGGAGCAGCTGCTCGGCCTGCTGCCGCGGGAACGGCAGGTGATGCTCTTCTCGGCCACGTTCCCGCTCATCGTCAAGGACTTCAAGGACAAGCACATGGTCAAGCCGTACGAGATCAACCTCATGGACGAGCTGACGCTGCGCGGTGTCACGCAATACTACGCCTTCGTCGAGGAGCGGCAGAAGGTGCACTGCCTCAACACGCTCTTCTCGCGCCTGCAGATCAACCAGAGCATCATCTTCTGCAACTCGACAAATCGCGTCGAGCTGCTCGCAAAGAAGATCACCGAGCTCGGCTACTCGTGCTTCTACTCGCACGCCAAGATGCTGCAGGCGCATCGCAACCGCGTCTTTCACGACTTCCGCAACGGCGCCTGCCGCAACCTCGTCTGCTCCGACCTCCTCACGCGCGGCATCGACATCCAGGCCGTCAACGTCGTCATCAACTTCGACTTTCCCAAGAACGCCGAGACGTACTGTGAGTGTGAGAGTGTGGAAGTGTGTGGACTGCGGCTGACATGCATCCAGTGCACCGCATCGGTCGGAGTGGCCGCTTCGGCCACCTCGGCCTCGCGATCAACCTCATCACGTACGAGGACCGCTTCAACCTGTACCGCATCGAGCAGGAGCTCGGCACCGAGATCCAGCCCATTCCCGCCACGATCGACAAGCGCCTGTACGTGGCGCCCGCACTCATCGACGCCGCCGAGGAGGAGGAGGCCAAGCGCGCCGGCGCGCCGCGGCAAAAGCAGCACCAGAACGGCGCGCCCGTCATCCCGCCGACGCAGCGCGCCATGCACCAGGCCATCATTCCGCAGAGCCAGGACTTTACCCAGAGCGTCGCCGGCGGCACCCGCGGCCGTGGCGGCGGCCAGCCGCAGCAGCAGCAGTCCCAGCAATAGGCGGCGTGCGCACAAGCTTTCCATGCTGGCAGAGGCCAGGCTTCGCAGCCGCCTCGTGCGGCCCTCACTCATTCATTCAAAGCTTCGCCCTGCCAAAACCCACATTGCACCCGTTCCATGACTCGTCCCTGCTCGGCGCGCGCACAATTTCTCCACTCGCCGCCGCTGCCGTCCTCTCTCGTTGGCTCTCCTGAGCCCTCCCACGTCTCACCAAGACGCTCGTCCCACGACTCTGCCGCGCGACCACAGCGCAGCACGGCGCCGGCGCCACCGCGTCGACACCTCTCCGTCTCCTACGACGCTCCAAAGCGGGCTGTCGTTCCCTCCGCTTTCTTCGTCCACTCCATCTCGCCGCACGCCCCTGCGCGCGCTCACGCTCACTGCCTTCCACCGCCGCCGCCGATCCCACACCGCGGATCCGGCGTCTCATCTCTCCCCCTTCCCTCACTCTATGCCCATCCCGCCGCCGTAGACGTGGCGCTGGGCCCCTGCGCCCCTGCCGTCTGTCGGCCCTACAGCCCGCGATGCTGTCCGCTCGCGCGCCGCCCACTCTCACCCATGTAACAGCCGTCGAGTTGTCCCATCTCGCGCGCGCACAGCCACTGCGCGGAGCCAAATGCCACACTCCTCTGCTGTCTCTCTTGTGCGTCGCTCGAGTGGGCTCACTGTGGGCAATGCACGTGTCTCATTGCGAAGCACTCTCGTCTGGCGGCAGTGGCGCCGAGCTGTCGGTGTCGGGTGCGCCGCTGCTCAGCGCCAGACTCGCGGCACGAGCCGCCGGACCAGGGCCCAGCGACGGTCGCCGCGGCGGCGGCACTGCCTGCTCGCCGTCGTTGCGCGATGGCTCGGGCGTCGCAGAAGAGGACGAGGCGGGCGCTTGGCCCGCAGCGCTCAGCGACGAGACGGACGCGGCGCCGCGTGTGTGTCCTCGGGTGGGTGAGGAGGCACGCGAAGACGTCGACGCGGCCTTGGACGCCGTGCTCCCAGCAGTGCCCGAGCGCGCACGCCTCGTGCCGTCGCCCGTGCCCGAGCGTCGCGGCGGCGCGGCTCCCACCTGTCCCGCAGTGCTGGTTGTTCTTGTGCGCGCTGCACGCTTCTCGTCTGCCGCGCCAATCGGCGGCGTCGAGACGGCCGCGCTGGCGGCCTGAGCGCGCGCTGCGGCGCCGCCGCTCCAGAGCCACGCAGCGCCGCTCTGTGCGCGCTTCTCGTCGAGCTTCTCGCGCCGGCGGCGCTCAAAGGCATTGCGGTAGCGCACGTAGCCCTCGCGGAACGGCGCCGCGACGCGCGACGCAAAGACGAGCTCGCCGCGTGGGTTTGTTGGCGGCGCCAGGCCGGCTGGCACGCTCGTGGCGCCGGGCGCAGCGCTGCTGCTGGCGCGTGAGAGAAAGGCGAAGGGCGAGAGAGAGGACTGCAGTGAGGGGTGCACGTTGAGGTAGAGATTGAACGGCCGCAGAGCGCGGTTGGCCTGCGGCACGAAGCTGCGATGCGCGAGGCTCAGCAGAGTGCTTGACGCAGGGATGCCCGAGAGTGCGGCTCACCGGTTCGCCGCACCGATGCGCTCGGCATACATGCCGCTCGCGAAGAAGAGAAACACCGTCGTCGCGGCAAACAGCAGCCCTCCGCTCTGGGCGTAGTGCAGCGGCTGGAAGGCCTGTTGCGAGCGACGGCTGTCAGTCGGTCTGGCCTCCCTTGCGCACGGCCCAGGGTTAGAGTCTGCAGCGACGCACTGGCGGTGGAAGCAGAAAGACGCGGTAGGAGAGATAGGCGACGAGTAGGAGCAGCACGGAGAGGATCACTGTCGCACGGGGCACTGTCAGCGCACCGTCTCGCCCTGGAACGCCTCGTGTGGACAGCCGCTTGGCATTCTGCGGCAGCGGCGGCGGCGGCGACGGCACCGCTCTGACCGTTCGCAGCGCAGGGACGAGCAGGCTGCACACCTCGCCGGCTTGCGCTGTGACGAGCGGCCGCCTGGAGCGTCTGGCGCCGCTGCTGCGCTGCCTCTGCGCCCCTGTCTCTCTGTCCTGTGCGCCTGCTCGGACGCACCAGCAGCCCGGTCCCTCTCTGACGCTCGCGCGCCTGCCCACACTCACCGCCGTACTTGCGGCGCCTGCGGATGAGGCGCGCGGCGTTCTGCTTGAGGCGCTCCTCGAAGATGAGCAGGTCGCGGAACGCCGCGGGCTCGGGCGCGGGCGCAAACGGCGGCGGCGCCGGCTGCGGCGCGCGGCGCGGCGGCATGGCGAGACAGACGCAGCAGCGCTGTGCGGTGCGGCGTGCGCTGCGTGCTGCGTGCTGCGAGGGCGGGAGGATGCGGTGCAGAGGCAGGCGGCCATGCCAGCAGTCGAGTGCACGGCGCACGGCGCAGGCCCAAGCTGGAGTCTGAGTGGGGTGCCGCGGCTGCGCTGCTGTTCCCACGCTGCGCGCCTCCACCTCGCCCTCCCGCCGCTCCCACGCGCGTCTCGCAGCTTTGCTTCCGCCCTCAACCCCAAACGCCATATCCCGCCGCCGCTGAGCACCGCAGCCGACACCAGTAGCGCTCACAATCCGCGCACACCGCTCTCCAGCATGGCCACGACGCAGTCGCTGCCGTACGCCGAGCCGGCGTGGACGGCGGTGCTGCTGCTGCTGCTCTTCGTCGTGCTGCTCAACGTGCTGCAGGCGCTCCTCGACGCCGCGCTGCACTGCGGCCTGCTGGCGCAGATTGCCCTCGGCGCCCTGCTCGGCACGCCGCTCGCCGGCCTGCTCTCCGCCGAGCTGGAGCAGGCGGCGCAGCTGCTCGGCTTCGCCGGCCTGCTGCTGCTGCTCGCGCAGGGTGGCCTCGAGACGCGCCTCGGCCTCCTCGCCGCGCCGCGCACGCTGGCGCTGGCGCTGCTCGTCGGCCTGCTGGGCGTCGCGCTGCCCATTGCGCTCAGCATGCTCTTCCTGCCCTTTGCGCTGCGCTACACGCTGCTGCAGGCCTTTGCGCTCGGCGCCAGCCTGGCAAGCACCAGTCTCGGCACCGTGTTCGCCATGCTCGCCGCCGTCGATGCGTCGCTCGGCGCGGGTGAGAAGCAGCGCAGTGCCGGCCAGGCGACGTCGGAGGAGCACACGCCAGCGGCGCCACGCCAAGGGCTGCTCGACACGCGCCTCTGCACCATCCTCGTCGGCGCCGCGCTGCTCGACGACATTCTCGGCCTCGTGCTTTCCGGCCTCATCGCCCAGCTCTCGCCGGCACGCACGGGCGCCGATGCCGCCGCATGGCCACTCGCGCGGCCGCTCGTGGCGTCGTTTGCCATGCTGGGCGTCTTTGCGCTGCTGCTGCGCCTCGCGGCTGCGCCCCTCGTGCGCCGGCTAGCGGCCGTCTGCGCACGCCGAGAGGCTGCCCAAGGCGGTGAAGGCGGCACTGCCGCAAGAGCCAGACGCACAGCGCTGCTGCAGCGCCATGCACATGGCCTCGCGGCACTGGCATACCTCGCGCTCATCGCCGCCATGCTGGCCATCTCGCACGCCGTCGGCAGCACGCTCTTGCTCGGCGCCTTTTGCGCCGGCGCTGGATATGCGTACTGTGAGGCGAGGAGCACGGCGCGCAGGGCACATGACTGCTGACGCCCACACCCAGTGCACGGACACTTTGCCTCGGTCTACTCGCAGCATCCGCTGTCGCCCAGTGCGCCCTCGGTGCGCTTCGTGCAGCGTCTTGGCGAGCCTCTGGCGCTGCTTGAGCCAGTGCAGCGCCGGCTGCTGGTGCCCTTCTTCTTCGCCTCGTAAGTGTGCCACGCCCTGCTCCTGCGTGCTGCCGCCTCGTGTGTGGCTCTGTGCATCGCCTGACTCTCAACACGCACACAAGCATCGGCTTCGCCATTCCGCTGCGCCAGCTCTTCGCCGCCGCCGTCGTGTGGAAAGGGTGGGCGTACGCCAGTCTCATGGCGCTCGCCAAGCTGCTGGCCGCCGTCTGGCTCTTCGCCGCCGCGCTGCTCGAGCGCCGCGTTGCGCCTGCCTCTGAGCGTACACACGATGCCCCGCTCGCTCTCGAGCGCCGTGCGGACAGCGGCAGCAGTGCAGCGCCGGCCGCACCAGAGCGCTTGCGCGAACCGTCGCTGTGGCAAGCCAACTGGCGCGCCGCACTGCTGCTCGGCCTCAGCCTCGTGGCGCGCGGCGAGATCGGCTTCATCATCCTCAACAATGCGCGAGGTGAGCGGCGCGCAGTGTTGCTGTGCAATCGAGACTTGGCGGCGCAGGTGCTGACCTGGACTGTGGTCGCCGCAGATGCAGGCATCCTCAGTACCGACGGCAGCGACGCGCGCGGCGCAGAGGCATTCAACGTCGGCGTGTGGGCCATCGGTGCGTCTTGCAGCGCCACGTCGCACCGGCCCTTGCAACGTCTCACCCTTATCCCGCCCCGCAGTGCTGAACACGCTGGCCGGCCCGCTGGCCGTCGGCTTCCTCCTCTCGGCGCCGCACGTTGTGCCTGCGCTGCAGAGTGGCCGCTGGGGCTTTGCGCGATGAGCTGCTGCATCCGCTCCATCACGATTTGCCGCTCCATCTAGACATGACCTGCATTTGCATTGCTTCCTTCTCTCCACGCACCTGTCACTTCTCCTCCAGCCCAAGCGTCTGCAGCTTCTTGATGCCCTCGCCCTCGAGGCGACACGTGCGCCACTGCTGCATCATGTCGGCGCCGAGAACCTGCGTGTAGAACGCAATGCTCGGCGCGTTCCACGTCAGCACGCTCCAGTCGATGCGCGCACAGCCGCGCTCCTCGGCCACGCCGCCGAGCGCGCGGAAGAGCGCCTTGCCGGCGCCGCGGTTGCGCGCTGCGGGCGAGACGTAGAGGTCCTCGAGATACAGCGATGGCTGGAAAGAGCAATGTGTGAGCAGGCGAGAGGCGCCGCCGTGTGTGGACAGGCGACGCGCGCTGCAGTGCGTGCCCAATGCTCCATCATCGTTCCGTGTCGCCGGCGCACCTCTCCTCTCCTCTCCTCTCCTGCACCGCATCGGCACGCACCTTGCCCTCCCACGTCGAGAAGCTGAAGAAGTACAGCGCCATGCCGACGGGCTGCGCGTCCTCCTCCTGCTCGGCAATGAGGCAGTGCGCGTACTGCTTGTCGAACACGTTGGTCTGCAGCAGCTCGGGCGTCGCCTTGGCCTGCTCCAGCGCCTCTTCGTACAGCGCCAGGTCGCGGATCTGCGCGCAGCGAAGCGTCAGTGCGTCAGTGCAGCGTGGCGACGGCAGCGGCGACGCACAAAGCCGAGAATCGTCGGAATGTCGGCGGGCGTGGCCTTGCGGATGCGCACGCGCAGCGGCGCCGCGCGCTCGGCGGCACTCGGCGGCGGCGCGAATTGCGGCGGCATGGCGAGTGTGTGGCGGCGTGGGGTTGTGGAGATGCGCTTGTGGAACTCTGGGGTATGCTCTCTGGGGTGCAGCGGATGCAGGGGCGCAGGAGAGACGCGGAGAGGATGCGGGGGAGAGCCGGGCGAATCGTGGAAGCACGAGAAGGAGCGGAGAGGGAGGACCGTGCGCGCTGGACGCTGCCGGCGAGACTCCGGCAAGACGGCTCGCCTCGCTCCATGCTGCTCTCGCCCTCGCAGCTCCCGCACTCCGCTCCCTGATTCTCGACGGCGAGCAAGCCCAAAAATATAGTCATGCCGCGGCTGCCATCAGCTGCACCAGACTGGCAGCGAAGTGACGCCGAGCGCCGCCTCAACATGGGCGCCACACGACATGATCGCCCTTGCCGCGCGAAGGCGGTGGACGCCGTCTCCGCCGTCCCCGCCACTCCGCCCGCCTCGTTGGTGTGTCCCACGCTCCGCGACCACAACCATGCTTGCTGTGGACGGCAGGCGCAGCCGGCGGCGATGGCGGCAGCTGCAGGTCCCACCAAGCCTCGACGCTCGACGCCTCGCCGCTGGGCGCAATTTGCAACCGGGCCGGACACGCACCCGTCGGACGCCGTACCGTCTGCGAAGGCAAACGACACATGGTGGTCACACGACGTGCTCCTCCGTCCGTGGCTCGGCCGTTGGAGGCCTGCCGCTCTGCCGCACCCGGAGCCGAGCAGCGCTGCTCTTTGCTGCCTGCTGCAGCGAGAGATGCAGGGCGACCACGCGGCTCGCGCATCGGCGGGCTCGCCGAGGCGTCTTCATGCGTGTGCTGCGTGACCTGTGCCTGCGTCTGCCAGCGCTGGTGGTGCGACAGCACCCTTCGCGTGGTGTATTTCCGGTCGCAGCGTGAGGCAGCTCTGTCGCAGCTGCGTCAGCAAGACCTGTGCAGCATCGAGAGGATAGACTTGCATCTGCTGGGAGCAGGGTCTGCAGCGTCAGGGCGCAGCCTCGAGCATTCAGCAGCTCTTTCCGTCGGACGTTCCTGGCCTAAGCCACAGCGAGTGCCGGGCGCTGCAGCCTCGCTTTTCTGGATCAGCCTGCACTCAGAGAAGGCGTGCCCACCGGCGAGGGCATCTGCGGCGCATGACGGAGGTGGCCCTCTCACCTCGCTCGCCTTTCGCTGCCCGACGGCATCTTGGGGCCTCAGGCTGGGCTTGAAGCCAAGTTCTTGCCGTGACGGGAGACAGAGCGGTGCATTCATGCTCAGGCTCGGCTCAGCCAGGCTGCGCTGTGGCCGGGCCAGGCTGCATGCTGCGCAGCGACGGGGCCAGGGCACGCGTCCTCGCCCTTGACTTTTTTTGCTCCTCTCGCGCGAGCGGTGTGGCGGAAGTAGCGGCCCACTCGGCTCCGGCGTGCGGATGCCGGCGCCGAGCTGCGGCTAGGCGCGGACGGCGATGCCATGTCGCCGAGCGCCGATGTCGGTGCTGGGCGCTGGGCGCTGTGCGCTGCGGCGCGCTTCCATGCCGCGGCGTAACTTCGGCGTGTTGTGTCCAGCGCAGCCACGCCGTGCCGACGAGCGGTGCAACGCCGCGAAGGGACACACCGAGCGTGGCTTGCACGGCACCGAGCAGCATCGCAGCGCCGCAGCTCAGCCGTGCGGCCGATCTATGCTGGCCTCAGTCGATGACAAGTCCGCTCGAGCGGCGCTCAGCACCTGCAGAGAGCTCGCAGCGCGCAGCTGCGGCAGGCCATCGGACGCCGCAGCCGCGGCTCGTCGTCCGAGCGCCGAGAGGGCTGAGGCTGTCAGCAAGTTTCCGATGCCGGCGCCTCGCCGTCGTCGCTGCAAGAGAAGCAACGCAGCTGCAGCACAAATCAAGGGCGTCGTGCAGAGGGCTGCAGCAGAACGATGCAGGCAGCAGCTCGGCGACGTCGCCGGCGCCATCAGCATCGCGGCCCACGAGGTGTCGCATCCCTTGCTCCCCCAGGCCTTCTTGCCGCTCAGCGGCGTTGGGGCACTCGCAACGGACCAGGGGCAGTTCCGCGCGCTTGCATCTCAGGCACGAGGCCCTCCATGAGCAGCAATGAGCCGTACAGTGCGATCGCCACAGTGCACCCCTCTTTGCAGGGCAGCAGCAAAACGGCTGCCCTTGCGTTCTTCCGCCGTGCGAGCTCTTCGTGGATGCTGTGCCGCCGCTGCATCTCTGTTGCCTCCGCCGCCGCTGTCTCGCGTCTGCCCTCTGCGGTCTGCGCCTGATGACCTCCTTCTGCAGCCGTCAGCCGTCAGACGCTCGCATGCCGAGTGCGCTCTCTCGCTGACGCGGCCACGGGAGTGCGGCTGCCGTAAGAGCAGCAAGCGAGACGGAGGCGACCCGCAGGCATGAGTACACCCGCTGCCGCGCGCGTCGTGCCGCGCTCTGTCCGGCGTCGGCGCATCTTCGCGCCTCGCACAGAGTGCTCATGTGCCCGCGCTGCATGCATCCAAGCACCGCAAGCCGATGCCGCTCCGGCATGCCGCGCTGTGGCTGCGGCCGCGCTGCTCCGCTCGCTGCACGCATCTGCGCTGCATGCCTGGCAAGCTGCCGACGCGCTGCCGCAGCGCGCAGCCGCAGCCCGGCCGCTGCGCAGATGCAGCTCAGCAACGGCCGCAAGCGCCCGTCATGCGCGTGGGGTCCACGGCCGGCCCGGGTGCCGAGGCGGGAGCAAGCGCAGGCATGGCCGCATGGCGCCTGTGTCTTGACTCGCCGTGCGCGCCCTTGAGCAGTGCGCCCGCGGCCGTGGCCGAGCAAGCCGGCGCATCTGCGTCCTCTCGATGGCTGCCACTTTTTCTTCGTCTCGTCGTCGCCCTGACCCTCGCCATGCGGCCCGAGGACCGACGAGTCTGCCCGACGAGTCTCGCCGTGCTGCTCTCGTGGCCTGTTCCTCTTACCAGGCGGCTGCGCAGCCCCTCCGGCTCCGGTGCTCGCCAAGGTGCCGCCGAGCACCCGTCAGGCACCGCCGAGTCGAGTGGCCCCCTATTGTCCAATTCGGCGGCGGCGGCGGCAGCACTCGCCGGAAGAGCGTTGATGCTCGGACATTGCTGCGCTGCGGCCATCGAGCGCGGGGAGAGTGGCGCCAGGGCAAGGGGCCCCACGCTAGGCGACCCGGGGTGTCGAGTGTGGTGCCGCGAGAGGGCGGCAAGCGACAGACGCGCGAAGGAGGCGCAGTCCAGCCCCGCCCAGCCCACGCGAGCTCGCCCGCGCGCTGGGTCGCCGGCGACGTGCCGCGGCTGCGCTCTCTGGCAGGTGCAGCCGCAGCCGCAGTCAGCGCCGCACCAGCGTTGGAGCGGTGCGGTGCCCCGCGCCCACACAGTGGTGCAGTGGCCCAGACTCCGCCGGCGGCGCTCGGGCGGCGCTGTCCCCGCCTGCCTGCATCTCACCTGCCCTGCGGCGGCGCTTGCTCCTCTGCCCCGCTGCCCCGCGTCTTGCCTCGGGCACAACACGGACGGCCCAGCGTGGCCCTGCACTGTACGGCAGCGCCCCTGCTGATGCTAGCGTGCATGCAGGCCGGCTGCCCGAGCGCCACTCGTGTTGGCCCTGGGGCGTGGCTGGGGCAGCGCGGCCGCCGCGGCAGGAGAGCTGGATGCAGCGGCACGCGAAGGGCAAGGAGGCACCTCCGCCGCGTCTGCTCTGCTCCCTGCGCGCCTCCGCATCGCCGCTGCCTCCGCCTCTCACCCGCTCGCTGCCCCGCGAAAAGCCATAAGAAGGCGCACCCCGCCGCCCGTTGCCCCACTCAGCACCACACCTTACCCCTCGCCCACCCTCCCTCGCCATGTCTGACATCAAGGACACGACGATGCACGGCTCGCACACGCCCGAGCCCAAGGGCTCGCCCGTCCACGAGCAGCCCACGCTTGCCGCCGCCACGACGCTCGACCGCGTCGAGGCGCCCGTCACGATCAAGGCGTACCTGATGTGTGCCTTCGCCTCCTTCGGCGGCATCTTCTTCGGCTAGTGAGTACAGACAGCCCAGACGCAACGGCGGCGGTGGTGGGAGCGTCTCTTCCTGCAGAACTGACACCACTCCGCCTCCAGCGACTCCGGATACATCAACGGTGTGCTCTCGGCGCGCCCCTTCATCGACGCCATCGCCGGCCCCGGCCAGGAGGCCATCAGCTCGAGCCACACGTCGCTCATCGTCTCGATTCTCTCGGCCGGCACGTTCTTCGGCGCCATCATTGCCGGTGACCTCGCCGACATGCTCGGCCGCCGCCCGACCATCATTGCCGGCTGCTTCGTCTACATCATTGGTGTGATCATTCAGATGTTCGCCGCCTCCGGCCTCGCCACGATCGTCGTCGGCCGCCTCGTTGCCGGCTTCGGTGTCGGCTTTGTCTCTGCCATCATCATCCTGTACATGTCCGAGGTCGCGCCCAAGAAGGTCCGCGGTGCCATCGTCTCGGGCTACCAGTTCTGCATCACCATCGGCATCATGCTCGCCTCGATCATCAACAACTTCACGAGCAACCGCGCCGACAGCGGCTCGTACCGCATCCCGATTGGCATCCAGTTCGCCTGGGGCCTCATCCTCGCGCTTGGCCTCTTCCTGCTGCCCGAGTCGCCACGCTACTTTGTCAAGCGCGGCCGCATCGAGCAGGCGCGCAGCATGCTCAGCAAGCTGCGCGGCCAGCCGCTCGACTCGGAGCTCGTCGAGCAGGAGCTCGCCGAGATTGTCGCCAACGCCGACTACGAGCGCCGCGCCATGCCCACCAACTCGTGGTTCGGCTCGTGGGCCGCGTGCTTCAGCGGCTCCATCTGGAGCGCGCAGAGCAACCTGCGCCGCACCATCCTCGGCACGTCGCTGCAGATGATGCAGCAGTGGACCGGTGTCAACTTCATCTTCTACTACTCGACGCCCTTCCTCAAGTCGACCGGCGCCATCAGCGACCCGTTCATCATCAGCATGATCTTCACCATCGTCAACGTGTGCTCGACGCCCATCTCGTTCTACACCGTCGAGAAGTACGGCCGCCGCCCGCTCCTCGTCTGGGGCGCCTTTGGCATGCTCGTGTGCCAGTTCCTCGTCGCCATCATTGGTGTGACCGTGGGCTTCAACAAGACGACCACCAACGCTGCCGGCGAGGCCGTTGCGACGAACATTGCCGCTGTCAACGCTCAGGTCGCCTTCATTGGTCAGTCCCCATGCCTCCTGACCTCGCGCGACCTTTACTGACCCTCCTGGGCCTCCCCGCAGCGATCTTCATCTTCTTCTTCGGTTCGTCTCCTTCTGCGGTGCTCCAGAACCATGCTGACTTCTTCCCCTTCACAGCCACCACCTGGGGTCCCGGCGCCTGGGTCCTGATCGGCGAGATCTTCCCGCTCCCGGTCCGCTCGCGCGGTGTGGGTCTCTCGACGGCCTCCAACTGGCTCTGGAACACGATCATTGCCGTCATCACGCCCTACATGGTCGGCCCCGACGAGGGCAACCTGCGCTCGTCGGTGTTCTTCGTCTGGGGCGCGCTCTGCACGGCCGCCTTTGTCTACGCGTACTTCCTTGTGCCCGTGAGTATCTGGAGGCCCTTAAAACCCCGTTTTGATGACGCTGACATTGGAAATGACGAGAAGGAGACGAAGGGGTTGACTCTGGAGCAGGTCGACCGCATGTTCGAGGAGACGACGCCTCGCAAGAGTGCCGCGTGGAAGCCCAGCCAGACCTTTGCTGTTCTGGCCGGCGGCGCGTCGCACACGGGCCAGCTCGACTCCAAGGTGCTGCAGGAGGTCAAGGAGAACGGCACGGCGCTGTAAAAAGCTCCTTCTCGCCATCACTCCTACCCACTTTCGTGCAAAACCGCCTCGAGCGCCCCATCGCGTCCCCCACCCCTCCGCTTCCCACCTTGATATCCCCGCCGTGTCCCGCTGCTCCCCTGTACTACCTTGTCATTGGCGGGCGTGCTCGCGTGTTTCCCTCCACATCATTAGCCTGCTTCTGATGCTCACGCAATCCACCGATCACGCCGACGTCCAGTGTGCGAGGGAGAGGGAGAGGAGGGGGAGGAGGATGCGAGAAGGAGCGGCGCCGCCCCCTGACACGTGCCGCGCCGCGCGCGCGCGCCGCGGAGTCCGCGGGCCGCCGGCTCGGGCGCGAGCAAAGCCGAGCTACAACGAGCTGTAATTCGATTACAACGAGAGTGTTGCTTGATTACAGCGAGGTGTTGTACTCCACTTTACGCGTGCTGCTCCACACTTACACTGACACGCGCTGCGCGCGCAGCCACCCCTTCGCCTCCTCCTCCCCTCCCATCGCCGCATTCTGTTCCTTCACTACTCTCTGCTGTTCCTCTCTTCGCTCTCAGTCTCTCCGCTCCCAGCGCTCCGCCATGGAGCTGCCCGTTCCCCGTGGCGGCGCCGCTGGCTTGGCCCGCGAGGCGCGGGCTGCAGCGAAGGGCAAGGCGAACGCCGCCAATCGCGGCGCCGACATGTCCCGCGAGGCTGTGCTCGCACGCCAAGATGAAGCTGCCAGCCCCAGCACCGCCGCCGGCTCCAGCACCGCCGCAGGCCGCAGCACCGCTGGTCTCACCCGTCGTCAAGTGCGCGCCGAAGGGCGTGCCGCGGCGGCAGCTAAGTCCGTCGGCTTCGACGACTCGCCCGCGGGGCTGCGCGCCCTTGAGGCCGCTATAGAGGCGAAAATGAACGCCATGCAGGTCATCTCTGTCGGCCGTGCCCGTCGTCAGTACGACGCTGTGCTCGAGCTGAAGAGCTTCGTCACGGAACACCACGACGAAGAGGACTTCTTGCGATACTTCTCCAAGAACGGACCGGAGCTGCCGCAGAAGTGGTGGCTTGGCTTCGCCAACTACCGCGCTGCGACGGGCGTCGGTCCCACGCCGCGTGCGCAAGCGCAAGATGAAGACGACGCCGACTACCATGCGGCAGTCGAGGTGCAGTACCCTCCCATGGAGGTGAGCACTCTGACGGAGATCGTCAAGAACGCATGGGACGGCATGGAGCGCCTGACGGGAGTAAAGCACGCCGACAAGGAGGTCAGTCATATGCTCGCCACCTCAGGCCAAGACTAACGCGCCTGCGCAGTACATCGCTCGCGTGCAGATCTTCATCGAAACGACGCTGCAAGAGCGCCACAAGCTCACCACTTCATGGCACGAGAAGCCGGTGTCAACGCCGGCCGACTTCCGCGCCATTTTGCAGGCGGCGAGCAGCAACGACGAGATTCCCTTTCGCTGCGCCGAGGAGCGCCTCAGCTTCACTACCTTCACGAAGCTGCTGCTATTCACCGCATCGCGTTCCAGCGAGCTCGTGCGCACGGCAAAGTATCAGGGACCCCAAGCCGTCAACGAGGATGGTGTCGTCACGTTCTACTCGCTCGAGCCTGCACTTGCGCCCGACGCGCTGCGCTGGCGTGACCTCGACTTCTTCTTCCTCGGCGGTCCGGAGGGCACGGCTGGCACGATCGTGGTCGAGGTCAAGATTCGCCTCCTCAAGGGTGAGCAGCCATGCAGCGCACAATGACGGCCTCGACTCACACATCCCAGGCCACCGTGCAGATGACAGCAAGTTCAAGTCTGTCGCTCTTTACATTGACTACGACGACGCGCTGGTCTGTCCGATCCGCGACTTGCTCGCGCTCGGCAAGCTGCAGGGCGTGTGGGAGGACAATGCTGCGGATCCGGTGCGCGTCCTCGAGGACGGAACTCTCAAGCTCGCGTGGCAAAACAAGGCTCCGATTCGGCAGCTCGAGAGCAAGACGGCAAACTTCGTCTTCCGCCGCGTGAGTGCCATGTGGGCGTCCTTACGCGTGACGTTGTGGACTGAGACCCTCGCGCCACAGTGCACCACCACCGCCACGGGCGAGGTCTGCATGCTCAACGAGGGGAGCACGAGCACCATCAAGAGGGACCGCAAGATGCTGCGCCTCTGCGGCTATGCGTGCGGTATCAGCCACGAAACGCCCACCACCTTCCACATGTTCCGTCGCCAAGCCATCGAAGCCCTGACCGAGAAGTTTGCCGGCGAATACTGGCGCGAGCGAGCTCGCAAGCGTGCGCGCCACGCCGACGACAGCGACGGCACCAGCAGCGAGGCTGCCAGCTACGCAAACGACGCGACGGACCGCAGCTCCGGCGATGAGCCTGACTATGGCTCCGACGACGAGGCCTTCCGCCGCTTCGACGATGATGCCGACCCTGGCGCCGGCGACAAGACCGAGCCCGGCTCTAGCGTCAAGACCGAGCCCGACTCCAGCGTCAAGGCCGAGCCTGGCGCGGGCGACGAGGCCGGCTCGTCCGCCTGAGGTGCAAGTCCTGTGGCTCTTCGAGCCGCCAAGTCGGTGAGCATCTGACCGTGCTCGCAAGCTCTGTCACCACTCTGACGAACCATTCGCAGAACGGCGCCGACCTGCCACTCCCAACGTTCCATCACGAGCCATCTCTTCACGTCACGACATCCCACGTCACCGCAGCATCCATTCCACGAGCCGGCCGCACCCAACACGAACACGAGCGCCGTGCCAGCTTCTTCACTCCAGACCACATCGCTCATCAGCGCATCTTCTCGTCACCAGTTCCACTCATCGACCCATCACTCGACCAAGGCGGCCGCCACTGGCCGCGGGCAGCACTCACTATGCCACGTCGCTTTCCATTCATGTGCTCCCTCACGTCATCCTCCTCTCGCGTGCTTTCTCACGTTACCCTCTTGTGCTCCCTCACACACTCGCGCAGCCTCGTGCTGACGCAATCCCATCACCCTCAACACATGTGCAAGGCGTGCGTCCGTCTCAGCAGCGCGAGCAGGGAGAAGAAGTGAGGGAGTCAGCAAGCTGTGTACAAGAGAAGCAGAGGCTGGTGGCTCTGAGGGCGACGATCGCGCACGCTCTCGGACGCTCGCAAAGGCGCGCGGCGGCTCCCCCTGAGGGTCGCGCATCGCCGCGGAACCCGCGGCCGCGCCGCCGAGGGTCCACTCCACCTGCGGGCATCTGCTTGCGATGCATCACAGACCACCGACGGCCGCCTTTGAAGGAAAGCTGCACTAGCATGAGAGCTCAAAGAGTGTCCTCAGCTGCGTCGCAGTGTTGCGTCGTGCTCCCGCAGCGGCAGACGAGGAGGAAACGCGAGACGCGCACGCGCGCGCGCGCACGTCGCGCAGCACCGCCAGCGCTCAGGGGGCGCGCTCGGCCGACCGCCGCCCTCGGGCATCCCACCGCCGCCGAGGTGCCCGAGGCAGCACCAGCGCGGAGGCCACTTTGCCAGCGCAGCAGACGCAACATAGCCACGTCACCGCGCAACGAAGCACAGCCGCAGCAGAGTTGCCGCGGCGCCGCGCTCCGGCTTGCGGCAGCCGCCAGACGCAGAGCGGATGGGGTAGCTGGGCAGCCCAGAGCCGTGCCGCTGCGCGTCGCCCTTCCATCCCGACCCCATCACGCCCTCCAGCGCAAGCTCCTGCCCGCCTCCACCCCCACCGCGCAGGTTCCTTTCTGCCTCACCTCCACAACAAGTCCTCCGCCGACTTCCCTTTACCAAGATGCCGGCCATGACTCTGGCGGGAGAGCGCGCCGTGGAGATCTACGAGGAGATGCTGGCCCAGTGGCGCCACCGGGGCGAGATTGATTCAGCTGCGTGGCCCGAAGTCCCTCGATCGGTGGGTTGCTCGCACCTTGAAGTCGTGCAAAGCCTCTTGCTGATGCATGCACGCAACAGATCTTGCGCCCGCTGGCGACGCAATCTCCGAAAGGCGCCTTTTACGAATTCATCAAGGACTTGCCCTCCCTCAAGGCAGCTGAGGAGGAGTATCGCCGCAGGCGCAGAGCGGACGTCATGCGTCTTCTCGATCCGCCTGAGGACATGCGTCGTGGCGCCCGTCGCTAAGCACGCAGCGGGTCTCGCTCTCCCGGCGCCTCAGCACTGGTGCAGCCGTTTCGTAGCGGCGCCAAGGTACGTCTCGCTCGGCGCACCTCACGCATACGCACTCACACACGCGTAGTTTTCTCTCTCTCCACCTCATCTCGTTCTCATCCTCTCGCCTCGGCCGACACCTCTTCTTTTGCAAGGTCAAGTCTCGCTCGTCACTCAGCCGTCACCTCTTCAAAGGTCAGGTCTCGCTCGTCACTCATCCATCAAGCTTCGTTCGTCACTCTGCGGTCACTCTTTGCCCTCGGCTTCCTTCTGCGACCTCGGCTGCCGCTCTCCCATCAAGGCGCAAGGCCATCAACGACGAGCCGCTCGCCGCACGGCTCGGCACACGCAAGCTCGCTCTCTTGTTTCTTTCGCCGCTCGGCCACTGCTCTCAAAGCCTCGTCCACGCTTCGCTCGTCACTCGCGTCACGCCTGTCACCTCGGCTGTCGCTCCTCCACCAAGGAGAGCGCCGTCGGCTCGCACGTCATTGTTCCGTCACCCATCCTGTAGCTCTCTTCCACGCCACTTTTCGTAGCTCTCTTCCGCACCACCCTCTTGTACTTTCCACGATGGCAGCGTGTCCGTCACGCGCATGCTCTGAATGGATCGTGCGGCGAGTTTCGGCGAAGAGCTGAGGGCGCTGCGAGTGGAGTGGAGCGCTGGCGGAGCGGGCATGCGGCGCGCATTCCGCGGCGCGGCGGCTCAGGCACGGCGCCAGGCACCGCACCAGCCACTGCGCCGCCGCGCCGCCGAGCTGCTCCTGACCACCACCGCCAGCCAGCTGTCCCTCGCTGCACCGCACCCCTCACACACCACCATGCCGCAGCTTCCGCCGCGCCCCGCCGCGCGCAAGGCGGGTGCGCCCGGCGGCACGCTTTTCAGCTCGACGGCCAACCTCGCCAACACGCTCATCGGCTCCGGCGCGCTCGCGACGCCCGGCGCGTTCCGGCATACGGGCCTGATCCCGGGCGCGGCGCTGATCTGCTGGTGTGCGGCGACGAGTGCGGCAGGCCTGCTGCTGCTCGTGGCGTGTGCGCGCACGGTGGGCGGGCGCCAGCAGAGCTTCGGCAGCCTGGCGCAGCGGGCGATCCCGCGGGCCGCGCGCCTGTTCAACTTGGCCATTGCGCTCAAGTGCTACGGCGTGTCGATCAGGTGAGAGCAGCAGCAGTCATGGATGGTGGCGACGGCGGCGGCTGAGCCTTGCGAGGCAGCGCATGTAGGCTATGATGGGCCACCGCGACGAGGCAGCGCATGTAGGGTGCGAGAAGGGCCATCTCGGCGAGGGCGAGGGCCAGGCATGCTAGCTGTCACAGCAACGACAGGCCACCACGGCCATGGCGCATGTAGGCTGTGCGAAGGGCCTCCGCGGCGAGGACGGCGTATGGCGCAGGCTGTGACACGGCCGTGACGCACTGGCTGCGCTCTGTGAGGCCGCGCCCGACCGCAGCCGGCAAACCGCGATGTCGGCGCATGCTGGGTAGCTCCGAATCGAGATCAGCCTTGTGTCGCTTTGCTCCGCCGTAGATCACCACTCACTCACCCAACGCAGCTACCTCATCATCAACGGCCAGCTCATGCCGCAGGTCGTGCTCTCCTTTGCCAAGCTCGCGGGGACCTCGGCCGAGGAGCTGCCGCACTGGACGCTCGACCGGAACGTGTGGATCCTGGTGTTCATGATTCTGCTCGGTGCGTGCGGTAGCGACGCAGTGTGACCAATTGCTCACGCCCGCCGCAGTGCCGTTCTGCTTCCTGCGGCGCCTCGACTCGCTGCGGCACACGTCGTACCTCTCGTGCGTGCCCCGCCACCGCTGTCACGCTTGCGCTCACCCCTCTGCAGCCTCATCGCGGTGCTCTACCTCGTGCTCATCGTCGTGCTCTACTCGCTGCCCTCGCACAAGGCCACGCTGCCGCCACCGGGCGACGTCTACTGGTTCAACATCGACGGGCACCACTTCGTCGGCATCTTCCCGGTATTCGTCTTCGGTGCGTCAAGGCGTTGACATCCACAGAGGTCCGTACTGACCCCAAGCAGCGTTTACGTGCGCGCAAAACTGCCTGCCCGTGTACAACGAGCTCGCGGCGCGGCACGACCGGCACTTTGAGCGCATGAAGACGGCCATCTACGGCGCCATCGGTGCAGCGGCCTGCGTGTATCTGGTGCGTCACGCGCATGCTGCAGACCTGCGCCCACTGACACTTGCGCAGCTCGTCGGCGTGCTGGGCTACGCGTCGTTCGGCTCGGCAGTCGGCAGCAACATCATCGCCATGTATCCCAACGACGGCGTCGTGTGCTTTGCGCGCATCGCCATCGTCATTCTCGTCGCCTTTTCGTATCCGCTGCAGGTGCACCCGTGCCGCGCAGCCATCGACAAGGTCTTTACGCGCACGCCGCGGCCCGAGGAGCTGCCGGCGACGGCGGCGCAGCAGGAGGAGACGCAAGCCGAGTCGCACGAGCGCCTGCTGCCCGATGGCGACGAGCCCGAAGCAGAAGACGAGCCCGAGGAGATGGCCATTGGCCGCTGGTGCGTCGTGCGCCTCGCTGTGCCACTTTCTGGCTGACACCATGCGCAGGTGCCTGATCACCGGCGTCATCCTTGCGAGCACCTTCACCATCTCGCTGCTCATAGACGACCGTGCGTGCTGCATGCGTGCTTCCCGCGTGGCCCAAAGCTGACCAGCGCACAGTCGGTCTCGTGCTCGGCTTCGTCGGCTCCGTCGGCTCAACGACAATCTCCTTCATCGTGCGTGTCGCCACTGTGCGCAAGCTACACACCATCCCTGACGCATCTCACAGCTACCCGGCATTCTCTACTCGGTGCTGCACCGCGACGAGCGCGGCAACCGCTTCCTGCGGCCCGCACAGCTGCTTGCCCTGGTGCGCTCGCCTTATCGTAGCCTTCCTCCGCCGCGGCTCACCTGTCTGCTCACAGTACGGCATCATCGTCCTCGCCCTCTGCCTCAGCGCCAACATCGTCAAGCTCGTGCAGGCCGGCACGCCCGACGCGCGCGCCGACCGCATCGCCGCGCTCGTCGAGGGCGGCCGGTGATCCGATAGACGCACCATCGCCTGCGCCATACCTTCTCTCCGCTTGCTCGCTGGATCGGTTCTCTCTCGTGCTCATCGCAATGTACAACACCTGGCATCTTTCTCGGCGCGCGCCTGGGTTATCGCCTGTGATGCCTGCGCCTGTGGCGCGCAGATGCGAAGTCGCATCGAATGCTGCTGCGAGCCTTGTCGCGACGCATCCTTGAAAAGCAGCACATCTGCAAGATGTAGCGTCCGCTGCCAGCGTCGGCACCCGTCTTTCAGCACAGCTGCGGGCAGCAGGCTTGGGTGGTGCGGGGTAAGTCAGCTGCACGCATGTCAAGCTGATGACCGGCAGAGCGTCTGCACGGCACCGCAGCGCGCAGCTAGATGTGCTACACTGGTCCCTGACTGGCGCCAGGTAGATGCGCTGCACAGACGTGCGCGTAGAGCCATGCAGCCGCGCTGGAAGAGGACGCGCGCGGGTAACCGTGTAGGAGCTCTAGACGAAGAGGCAGTCTAGCGCTGCAACACAGTCATTCGCGCTGACGACGTGTAGAGCGTCTAGCCGCGACGCGTGCTGGCTGCAGGTAGCGAAGCTGCGTGCCTCCAGCCGCTCTCTCGCTAGAGCCACCAGAGCGTGCTGCGCGCACCGCTGGCTGCTCCTACGCCTCCGGCAGATCCGGGCCGCTCTTTCCGTCACCGGGCCTCCGAATTGCTGTGTGCCACGGCGAGCCCGCGTCAAGCGGAAGGGAAGGCATAAATATTACTGGAGTCTGTGAGCGTGCTGCGAGGCGCTGCGTGCTCGAGGAGATCCCGAGCTGCGATGGGCGCCATCGACCTCTCATGCTAGACGCTCAGAACTTGGCAAAGCCGCCCGTCGAGAGCGAGCTGGGCAGCTCGGCGTCGCTGGCGCCGCAGCTGTTGGCCGAGGCCTTGTCCGCCGTCATGGTGAGGGTAATGTCGGTGTGCACGCCGCCGCCGGGCAGCAGCTGCTCGAAGCTGGGGAGGGGTGAGCCAGTGGTGAAGCGGCAAGGGGCAAGCGGGCACTCGCTTGATGCGGCAGCGCGAGGCCTGCACGACGCCGTTGATCGCGACGCTCTCGACGTAGAGACGCGCGTCGTTGGGCCGGGTCTGCAGATGGGGTCAGCAGAGCATCACACGACACGGCGCTGCACGCACCTCGCCCAGGCTGCGCTCGTCAAAGTTCGCGGCCGTGACGGTGAAGCTGCCGAGCAGCTCGTTGAAGATCGTGTACTGGGGCACGAAGGGCGAGACGATGAGGAATTCGCGCGTCGAGGGCACCGGGTACAGGCCGGCGAGGTGGAAGAGCAGCAGCGTGGCCATGGCGCCCTGGTCGTCGTTGCCCGGGATGCCGCCGCCGCCGGCGTTGAAGTTCTGCGCGACGACGGAGCGCACGCGCTCGGCGCTGAGCGCCGGCGCGTTGGCGTAGTGGTACACGATGGGCGTCTGGAACGACGGCTCGTTGCCCGCGAGATAGATGCCGGCGCTGAAGAACTCGTCCACGCGCTTGATGAAGTCCTCGCGCGAGCCGCCGGCCAGCAGCTGGATCAGGCCGGCAAAGTCCTGCGGCGCGAACAGCGAGTACTCCCAGCTGCTCGACTCATAAGTGCCGCTGGTGTTCTCCTGTTGAAGGCTGCACACGCTCTCGTTCGACGGGTCGATGGGAGAGCATGTGGTGGGGTCCAATTCCGGGAAACTTCCATCTACGCGACGCTTTGCGACAAAGTTAGAAAAGCCACGGCTCTGGATGTCCTTGTTGAAGGTGTTCTTGTACGACAGGGCGCCCTTGAGCAGCGCGTCCATCTCGCCGCCGGCCTTGCCGAGCAGCAGGCCGACGTTGTGGATGCCAAAGTCGTTGTATGCGTACTCGAGCGTGCGCGAGGCCTCGCGCGTCTGGCGGCCGGTGCTGTTGGTAAAGACAGCAAAGGGGACGTAGCCGTACTGCCGGAACACGTCGACCTGGCGCCCAAAGTTGTTCCACTCCGGCGGCGTCGTGAAGGCGTCGTTGCGCAGCGCCTGCCACGCCTGGTCGAGCGAGACGCCCAGCTGCGGCGCATACTTGGCGTACTTGACGGCGAAGTCCGCAATGACGTTGGTCCCGTCGCTGCCGCCCTGCGTCCTGTGGCGGAGGGTCAGCAACGCAGCGACTGCGGCGTCTCTTGCACTCACAGGCCGGGCACGTTGTTGGCGCGGCACTCGGGAATGTGGCCCTCCTTGTCGTAGGCGTCGAGGTACGTCGCCGTCACTTCGCCAAACTCTCGCGGGCTCGTGAGCGAGTTCCACGGCCAGAAGGTGCGGAACGTGTCCCAGGTGCAGCTGTGCAATGAGTAAGATAGTGACTGACTGAGGAGAGTGCAGACTTACTAGAGGCTGTCAAAGTAGGGCGCCTGGGTGCCGACGTATGCGCCCTGCGTCTCGCCAGTCGCGTTGTTCGGCGTGAGCGAGGCACGGTAGAGCGATGTGTAGAGCATCGTGGCGACAGTGCTGTTCGTGGCGTTGCTGATCTGCACGCGGTTGAGCTTCTCGTTCCACAGTGCGCGCGACTGCGCCACGACGGCGTCAAAGTCGAACGCCGGCACCTCGGACTCGGCGTTCTGGCACGCCTGCTCGGCGGAGACGAAGGAGACGCCGGCGCGGAAGGTGATCTGCGCGTCGAGGCCATTGACCGTGGGGTACTGCTTGAAGCTCACCACAGCGCCCGTCTGGATCGGCTGGCCGCCGATGGTGTTGCGCGTGAGGTTCGCGTACGTCTTGCTCTCGTCTACGGCGCTCATGCCGAAGCGGTCGGCGGCCCAGAGGCCCGCCTGGTCGATGACATTGGCGCCGCTGTTGGTAAGGTCGTAGCAGGCGTGCGCCTTGTACGAGAAGATGCCGCTGGCAAACGAGCTGCCCCATGTGCCGCTGAGCATGATGCGCCCCTTGGCCTTGTCGAGCTGGCACTTGCCGCCGCGCCACGTGCCCGGCAGGTCGTTGGAGCAGTCGAACACGATCGTCGGCGTGCCGCCGCGAGCCTTGGCAAACGTCGAGAGCGGGTATGTGTAGCGGATGAGACCGGCACGGCGCGTGCTCGTGGCCTCCATCTGCACGCCGTTCTGCAGCGTCGTGCTAAAGTAGCCCGGGCTGGCAATGTCCTTGCCGGGAATCGTGCGGTTCACGGCGCGCGCATCGAGCGACACGGGGCAGTTCTGAAAGCCGCCATCACAGACGATGGGCATCGACTCAAAGTTGCCGTAGCTGCCCGACGACGAGCCGGTGCCCGAATCGTGCAGCAGCGACATGCCGCGCACGGGCGCGTTCGGGTCGTCGTTGTAGCCACTCGGCGCATAGGTGTTGTCAAGGTCGATGCCGATCTTGGCCATGCCAAAGGGCACCGATGCGCCTGGCTATAGAGGACGAGCGTGAGCCACCGTAGCCATGCGACACAAGCGGAGATACTCACAAAGACGTTGCCGTACGTCGCGATCGACGTGCCGATGAAGGGATTCACCAGCGACGCAAGGTCCTTGAGCTCCGCTGAGGCACCACCGCCGCTCTCGTTCTGGCGCACCTGGGGCTGCAGCTTCGTCAGGCTGTTCAGCGCGGCGCCGAGCCCGCCGGGCACGATGCCGTTCACGCCCGAGACGACGTCCTTGAAGCCTTCGAAGCCCTGGCGGAACGCGGCCTGGCTGGCGTCCGACGCCTGCTGCTGCGGGTCCTCGTCGCGGCGCTGCGAAGAGTCGCTCTTGACGAGCTTGGCTGTCTGGTCGACGGCAGCTGCGGCTTTGTCCTTCGTGTCGGCGGCCTGCTCCTTGGCGTCGGCGCTCTTGTCCGTGACGGCAGCGACTTGGTCCTTGTCGCCTGCTGCCGCGCTCTTCGCATCAGCAGTCTTGTTGGCAGCGCCGTCCGTAGCGCTTTTGAGCTGGTCCTGCTGCTGAGCTGCGGCATTGGCCACGACCGCCGTGACGTCCGAGAGCAGCGAGTAGCCCTTCTCGAGCGCCTTCTGCAGTGCCGCCGTGTCCACGACGCTGGCGTCGGGCAGCTTCATCGCCGGCGACACGTCCTTCGGCGCAAAGCCGACGAGGCCATCCTTGCTGGCCCACGAGCTGAACGGGTTCTTGGCGACGGGCGTGACGCCATCGACGCGCTTGGCCAGCAGCCGGTGCTGGTGCTGCCCGGGGCGCCCGAAGGGCTTCTTACTGCCGGCCTCGGTGCCGTCAGCGAGGACTAGCGCGAGGAGCGCAAGGAACGTGGGAAGCGGGAGCTTCATGGTGGCGGTCGCTGCACGTCGCGCGGCCGGGGTGGAGGGACCGAGATGGAGAAGGTGATCTGGCGAGAGCGCAAGCGCTCGTGCCTCTCGCGGCTTTATACAGCCTCACAGCAGGAGCCTGGCAGCGGGGTCGTGCGCGGCCTGATGAGCTGTGAGAGCAAGTAGGGGCACGTCGGCGGCAGACACCCGGGCCTTGAGGGGCCGAGCCGTGAGTCTGGAAGGATGCGGCGCGGCGCAAGCGCCTTCCCGGCCCGTTTACGTGCCTTCGTGTCTGATATCTGCTCCGAGCTTCGTCCCTGCACGGCGCACACGGCCTGTGCACCAAGCTCGCAGTTCTGATGCATAGCGCAGCTGGCGGCGGCGCCTGGGAGCATGGACCTTGACACCTTCGCCGCCGTCGAGGAGGAGCTACCCGTTCCTTTGCGAGTCTGAGCGGCTGAGAAGCCGACAGGGGCCTGCCGTGGCACGAGACGTTCTGCCCCTGCATGGCCGTAGAGGTGGCGCTTTAGCGTCGGAGCCTTTGCTCTGTGTGCTGGCCTGCCTTGAGCTGCTCTGATGCGGATCCTCCTGCCGCCTGCCCAGAGCCTCCATGCTCGTAGCGGCGGCTTGCTCCTTGAAAGCGCCATCAGCAGCTGGCACGGACTATTCGTGGTCGAGGCTCAAGTGCGGGGCCTGCGCGCGAGACCGACATCTATCACTCATTGCCCGAGCCCCTCGCCGCTCGGGCCGTAGCGCGGCGGCGGCGCTGCGCCCATCATGCTGCGCATATAGCCAGCTGCGAGACCCTGACAAGCAGCGGAAAGGTAGTGCACGTTGAGCCCCGTCTTTCAATCGAAGCAGGCGCGAAGACAGCCCGGCTGCGCTCTCGAGCGGCAGGGAAGAAGGTCGCGGCGTGGGGAGGTGGTTGTGAGAGCAGACGGGGCACGCGGCGCGTCGCGTCCTGGCTGACGGGCGCGGGCTGCGGCGGCGCGCCTGGCTGCGCTCCCCTCCACTCGACTCAGACTAGACTCTGACTCTCTCTCACAGCAGCCGCACGCCGCTGAGCTGCCTCTCGCAGGCTCGCTTCCGCCAGCGTCAGCGCTGACGATAAACACGCCGAGGGCCCAGCGAGTGCGGATGGCTGCGGTGTCTTCGGCCCGGAATCTGGATGCTCCATGACGCGGGCGTGGGAACGGGTTGAGCTGCTATCTTAGGCGCGAGGGCGCCGGGCGCGGCTCCGGCGTTTTGCCGTCTAGTCTTGGCCCTGTGCCCGAGATGCTGGCTCGTGCTCGCGCTCGCCCGACTTGCCTGCTCTCCACACCCGATACCCACGATAGCCACGAGCTCAGCAGCGCCGCCTGCCCGCCTCGCCTCATACCACCACCTCGCTGCTGCTGCCACGATGAGCACCAGCGACGGCCCGCACGCGCGCCTCTCGCCCAGCGCGCTCGCGCTCAAGCCGCACAACCTCACCACGTCGCCGCCGCCGCCGGGCTCGCCCATGCCGCCCACTGCGCCGCTCTCGGCATCCGCCCCGAGCCCTCCTCCGGAAGTCGAGGCGACGCTCAGCAAGCTCACCGCGCACCGCAACGTCACTGGCTGCCTCATCCTCAGCCGCCCCGACGCCCTCGTCATCCGTGCCGGCGGCGCGGCGTTTGACCCCAGTGGGCCCGGAGCGCACGGCCGCGCAGAGAAGCTGCGCAAGGTCACGCGCATGGTGCGCAACGTCGTCGCCTGCCTCGGCACCGAGATCCCCGACACGGAAGAGGGCGTAAGTGCGCTTCCCGAAGAGGCCAGTTGGTGAAGGGAGGCGCGGCTGGGTCCGAGGGAGGAGGCGAAAAGCAGGGCGGCTGGCTGCTAGCGGTTGCTTGCGCTGCAGTGCATCGTGCTGTGCTGATAGCGACGGGTGCGGCACGGCACTGCCCTGCTTGCGCGACGGCTGCAGGGCATGCCATGCTCCCGAGTCAAGCGCGACCTCACGGCACACACAGCTGACGATGGCCCACCCTCGCATGCAGGACGACCTGGGCTTCCTGCGCATCCGCACGAAGAAGTACGAGATGATGATCTCGCCGAGTGAGTGCGCCGGGTGCAGCTTGACGCCGCCCGGAGCTGACACGGCTCTTTCCGCAAGGCGACAAGTATCTCCTCGTCGTGCTGCAGGTGAGCTGAGTCGCCTGGCCTAGCCTTCGCTGCGACTTACGCGCGCGCCTCTGCAGGACCCGACCATCCCGCCTTAGGCCCGCACGCCTCGCTCCAGGCGTTCAGGCGTCTCTCGCTCGGGCCGGCCACTCTTGCGCGCTTCTCGGTCAAGCAGAATGATACCCACTCAGTGCCACAGACGAGTCAATGCGTGCGATTAGAAGGGCAGCGGGATGCAGTGTGTCAGGAACAGCGCGCGCGCAAGAGCGGCGGCGGCGCAGAATGGTGTGTAGCGACATCAGGGCAGTGAGGGATGGGTAAACGAGGCTGTGTATCTGTGCTGAGAGGGATGATGATGAGAGGAGAGGGATGACGACAAGGGCTGGCTCCGGTGTCCGCTCAGTTGAGCACGCCGTCGTCGATGTGCAGCAGCGGGTAGTTGGTGCGGCCGCCCTTCTGGCCGTTGGAGAAGTAGGCGCCGCTGGCGTACACGTTGCGGATGCCGCCGTAGATGCCCTCGACGACGGTGGTGAGGTCGTTGCTGCGCAGCTCGGGGCGCGTGAACGTGCGGAACGAGACGCTGTTCCAGCCGTCGGTGCTGCTGAAGCTGTACACGTTGGGCGCCTTGGTCGCGATGAGGCGCGAGCTGCCGGCGTTGACGCCGCCGTTGGCGGGGATGTTCTTGATCTTCTCCGTGCCCGCGAGCGAGCCAAAGTCGCCGTTGATGCGCACGTTGATCGCCGTGCCCGTCGCCGGGTTGCCGTCGAGCTTGAAGGCGGTGAGCGGGCGCGGGCCGCCGTACGCCATGATCATGTTCGTCTCCGGGATGTACGTGACGCCAGTGAAGCCGGGGCGCTGCGAGCCGTTGCTCTGCTCAAAGTACCACGGCGTCACCGTGCGCCCATCGGCGGAGACCTTGGCGATGGCCGGCGCGCCGAGCGCGAAGATGACGTACGAGCTGCCGTCGGGGCCCTGGGCGCTGGCGACGTTGCCAAAGGGGCGCGTGCCGTAGAGCGACTGGAACTGCTTCTGCACGGCGTCGAAGTACACGCTCCACGCCGGCTTGCTGTTGGCGTTGAGCGGCAGGTCGAACTTGTGGAACGAGCAGGGCCCGTTGGTGCTCTGGCTGCCGTCGAAGCGGAACGCGCCGCTGTCCTTGGCGACGGCGTACAGCGCCGAGGCGCCCTTTCTGCGGTCCGTGCTGAGGCCGGCGAGCTGCTGGGCGCCGTTGCCCGAGCTGCTGACGCCGGGGATGAGCACGTTGAAGCGGCCGCTGCCGCTCTTGGGCGACGCGGCGATGCGTCCCTTCCACAGGTTGCTCTGGTAGTAGATCTTGCGCGTCACGTCGTACACGCCGTCCTCGGGCGTCAAGTTCTTGATGGGAATGTTGATGACGTCGGGCGCGCCGCCGGCGCGCTCCTCGAGCGTGCGCGCGGTGAGCGGCACACGCTCCATCTCAGCCGAGGCGGGCGAGAGAGAGATGCAGGCGAATGCAGCCACGAGGGCGGCGGCGGTGAGGGAGAAGCGCATGCTGGATGAGGTGTGAGGGCGAAGCACAAAAGAGAGTGTGGGGCGCAGCAGCAGGTGTGCGGCGTGTGGGCGTGCTTCTTGAAGCGGCGGGAGCGGGAGCAATGAGCGTGGGCGAGAGCGAGGGCCGGGACGAGAAAGGATGGATGTGGATGAGAGGAGAAAGGGAGCCGGGCTGAAGGGCCTAAGAAAGGGCCTCAAGTGGCCGTGCCTGGTGCTCGGAACTGCGGCAGCGGCGCCGAGGGGCCGCGCCGCCATGGAACGGTGGCTGCCGCTTGCTGTGCTTAAGCGCCTGCTCCTCCATCTCCGCCCAGCCTTCGGCCAAGCGCGCGCAGGAGAGGGTGCGTCCCTCGGCCTTGATTCCTGCGCACGATGCGTCGCCGCTCTCGTCCCTGAATTGCGCAAGAGCGGATGTCATATGCTGCTGGCCAAGCCATGCCGGCGAGGGTGCAAGGCGCGGCGGCCGCCGTGTGTATGCGGGGGCATGCCCCTCCACGCTAGCCGCTGCACGCGCCGCATCCCTGCCGAGCACCCGGCCGCTGCGGCGAGCGCTGCCTCTTTCGCTCGACCGTCGCAGAACGCAGCACATCCCACTCCCGGAGCGCTGCACGCCCGCCGTACCTGCGCCGGCGTCGGGGCGTGTGTGGTGCGTGTGCGTTGCTGCGCGGCATGGCCGGCCGGCTGGCGGTTGAGCGAGCGCGCCCCTCTGTGGGTGCGCCGTGTTGCGCCGCCAAGCGAGGCGTGTTCTTTCCTCGCACGCAGCTGCAGCATCGCATCAGGCAGCTGTCGCAACAGAGCGCGGCTGCCGGACAACGGAAGAGGGCAGAGCGGCCCATCATCGGGCTGCAGCTTGCCTCTGCCGCCGCTCCCCGGGTCGGCGCCGCCCTTCTCCTGGTGCGTTCTGCGCGTCCTGCGCGTGCACTCCGCTCGGCGGCGCCGGCGGCTCGCGGCGTCGCGGCGCTGCGCCCGTCTGTTGATCTCGAGCTGGCTGCGCGTCGCTGCAGCGCTGCAGCTCGCCGCTCTCCGCCGGCACCAGACGCGCATGAGAGATGCGTGGAGGATCGACATGCGCCGCCAGCCCGCCTGCCAGGTGCGGTGCCGAGACTGGCGCTGCGCCTGCAAGCCGGCCGCAGCGGCTTCCACCGGCGAGCTCCGCACGCCTTCGCGAAGCGCTCCTTGCCCTGCTCCTCCTCCTCGGGCGCGCCAAGTTGATACGTCGGGTCCCTCTATATTCTGTCGCAGCAGTCAGCATTGCTCACGCAGCCACAGCCGCTGCTTCGACCGCATGAGACTGTCGGCTGACAAGGGCAGGTGCGGCGTTCTACCGCGCTCCACGCTCGACGTACGGTGCAGGACGGGGCCCCGTAGCGTCACCGTCAGGCAATCTGCCGATGCAGCGTGAGGTGTGACATTCGCCTAGCAGCCAGGCAGGCCGAGGTCGGCGTGCAGCGCACACGTCAGTGCCAGGAAGTCGCAGTCGAGCGTCTCGTAGGTGAGCAGGCCGTGGCGCAGGAGAAAGTCGATGAGGACTACGGCGCCAGGGCTGTCAGAGCGCGCGGAGGAGACGAGGATGGGTGCGGCAACTCACCAAGCGCACTGTTGGCCTTCCACTCGCCGCGCCGCATGCTCGCCACGCACTGCTCGACGCTCATCAGCTCAAACGACTCGGCCTCGCCGTCGACGGGACGTGGCACGACGTCGGCGGGCAGTGCAATGTCGTATGTGAACCTGCGTGGGTGGGACTCAGCACGCCGTGTCACGAGAAGCTCGTCCGTACTGGGCTCACTCGACCTCGGGCTGCACCCAGCCCTCGGGCGTCGTGTAGAAGTAGCTGATCACGCCCGTTTGCTGTGGCAGCAGAGAGTGCATATGAGCAAAGGGACGAGCCACCACCAAGCGGGCGGCCGGTCAACCATACTCACCTTGGTGCAGCTGCGCACAAGCGTCTCCTCCAGCCCCGCCTCCTCGGCGCACTCGCGCACCATCGACTCGTACGGCCGGTCGCCGGCCGTGATGCCGCCAGCGACCTGACGAGCGGGAGGCGAGAGGTGAGCGACAGCGCAGCAGACGGCTCTTCTTGGCCACAGTGCGACGCACACTGTTGTCCAGATACCCTGGCCATGTCGACTTGGTCGCTGAACGACGCGGCACCCAGATCTGGTAGTCGGGCGTGTAGGCCTGCAGTACAGGTCTGCGTGAGCTCTGCAGTGTCACGCCAGAGATGAGAAGGAGGGCCACGTACCGTGGCATGCACACCGAAGCTGCAGCATTCGACGGTCAGCGGGGCGATGACTCTACCAGTGCTAGACCGCGGGCCCGCAGAGCTGCTCACGTGGCGACGCCAAACAGAGCACAGGCGGCTCGCTCGAGGTTGAGAAAGGCGCTGGGCCGTGCTGCGGAGGAGGACGCCGGGTCGGGCGGCCCATACACGGCGTACAGCTGGCCGGCGGTGAGCTCAGACGGTGAGACTTGCAGCACACGCTCTCACCTCGTCCCGCCAGCCTGCTCGATGCGCAGAGCGTCAGCTTAGCGACACGCCACTCGAACACGCAGCGCACCGTCAAGCGGGTTGGCAAACGTCTTGTTGGCACGCCAGTGCTGCGCCAGCGCATTGAGCGCGTCCGTGCGCGCCTGCGCCGAGCCGAGCTGCTCGTTGATCCAGAACTGCTTGCCGTCGTCGGACCAGCGCACGGCTGGCGGCCCACCCTTGGCCTTCGCACATGCGTCCGTGTCCCGCCTCACGGCCGCGACGACGTCTGGCGGCAAAAAGCCGATCTGCACCGAGGCCGCATCGGACGGCGGGCCGGAGAAGAGCGGCGCCAGCGAAGCATCCTGCCACGGATTCGAGTTGTGGCAGAAGCGCACGACGGAAAGCAGCGAGGAGTGCTGCGGCGACATGGTCTGCACCCTCGTAGGCTGCGATCGACTGCGCAGTGCGAGGATATCGACGTATACTCGGGGGTCTCGCGTTGCTTGTGGGTCTGCTGATGGCTGCGAGAAGGAGGCCACGGCGGGCCCAAGGGGGGCCCGAGGAGGCGTCTGTGCGCGCCCCGCCTTCCGTACGAGAGCGAGCCGCGGGCCAACTCTCGACGCGTCTGCTCGGTCCTGCTTCGCGCTGCCGTGTGCTGCGCGCTCCTCTCTCCACCCCATCACCCTTCCATCAGCGCACCCGCAGCGCAGCACTGCCGCAGCCTCGCAGCGATGACGAGCGCGCGGCGCGCAGGTGGCGCCTCGGCCGTCAATATGCGGCGCTTCCAAGAGGTGCGCCGCCGCTGCGCAGGCACGTCACTACCGTCGCTGACACTCTGCCGCAGCTCAAGCCGACATGCGTCGAGCTGCTCGGCCTCGCGACGCCGCGCGGCATCGCGTCGGCGGCGCTGCCCCGGCTGCTGCGCCAGCTGCACGCCATACTCGAGCGGCACACGAGCGCGGCGGCCGCGCACGAGCCGCTCTCGCCGAGTCTGGTGCACTACGCTTTCTTTCCGCTCGCGCAGCTGCTGCGCGCCTCGCCGCGCGGCGCCGCCGACCTCTCCGACGGCGTGCGCGAGGGCGTCTTCCTCTGTCTCGGCTGCCTCGTGCAGGCCTGGTGGCGCTCGTGGTGCTCCGACGAGCACGCCACGCCCGAGACGCCGCCGCTGGCGCAGCGCTGGCAGGTGTGGGAGCAGCTGCTCATGCTCGGCGCCGTGGCGCTGGGCGGCGCGCCCGAGGTGCAGAGCGCCCAGTCCTCCTCGTCGCAGGCGCGCACCAGCGACGAGACGCGCTTGGCTGTCGCGCGCTTCCTGCAGGCGCTGCTCGCTCCACGCGCTGCGGCTCCTGCTGCGTCGGACATGCCGCAGAAGAAGAAGCAGGCGCCGCAGGCCGTCGAGTGGGAGTGGGACGGCGTGTCGGCGCTGCCCTCGCTCGACGACTACGAGGCAGACACTGCCAGAGCGAGCGCAGCAGCGGCTGCAGCGCGCGAAGAGGCAGAGCATCGGCCATCCGGGCAGTGCTATCCACTCCCTGCGCACGTCCGCTTCGCGCGCGACAGCGGAGCTGCCCGAGGTGCGCTGGCGCACTCTCTCACCGCCGCGCTCGACGCTGCCTCGGAATCTTCGCACTCTCGCAGCACGCCCACCGAGCTGGGTCTGGCTGCTCTAGACGTGGCGCGCGCCGCGCTGCTCACCTGGCTCACCGGAGAGGAGCTCTCGGAAGTGCCGACGGCACTCAGTGCGCGGGAGGCGGCAGAGAGAGCGAAGCGCGCCGCCGTCTTTATGCCCGGCAGCGTCAGTGCGCTCGTGCGGATAGCCTCAGGCAAAGCCAAAGCTGTCGACGGCGAGACAGGCAAGGCGAAGTCGTCGCAAGTCTCTGGCCCTTTGGCCGCGGCTGCCACATGCTTGCTCGGCGACCTGCTCAGAATCTGCTTGGACGATCGCGCAAATGCTGCTGTGCAAGCAGCCAAGTCGAAGGCGAAAGCAGAGCCGGCGACTCAAGACCTGAGCCTCGAGCGCCTCATGGCTCAGACTCAGCTCTCGGAGGCAGACGTCGTTGAAAGCTCGAGGCCAGAGGCAACGCAAGGCGACGCGGCCGCCGACACGCCTGCTAAAGTCGTACAGCTTGCAAGCACGCTCGCACGAGTCCACAGTGCACTGCTGCTGCTCTCGCCGCTTGTCTACCACCAGCACGCAGCAGCCCAGACGGCGCTCGTCACGCTCGCCTCTGGGCTGATAGAGCACGGGATAGGCACCATCTCGTGGCACGACCAGCGCGTCGGCGAGGCGGCCCTCGTGTCCGAAGAGGGCGCTGAGGCAGAGCAGCCTGGCATGCTGCAGTTGCTCGTGCGCTGGCTGCTCGACATCGCTGGCTCCCCCGCTTCGCCAGCCGCCGTCACAGATGCCGCCGTCGCCTCTGTGATGGCTCTGCTGGCCGAAGACAAGTCGTGTAGTGCTGCGATGCTCGCTGCGCTCAAGGCGGAGCTGGGGTGGTCCATGCAAGTGCTTCCTCGCGCTGTCGTTGCCCACCGCGATGAGCGCGCAGCGGCAGTCGCCTGTCGGCTCAGCGTGCTCTTGCGCATCCTCAGCTCGTCGACAGTCACGCAGTCCGTGCTGCTGGAGCTCGTCGGCCCGCAAAGCGGCGCACAGCGCTGGGCGGGCAGACTGCTCGAGTGTCTCGAGCTCAGCGACGAGTACAGCGGAAACACTGCGACAGAGGGCCGACGCGCGGCAAGACTGCGGCTCAAGCATCTCGATGCGCTCTCGTCCAACGCCGTGCTGGACATGCTGCTCGAGCTAGGGCAGGCATCGGCGCGCCTGGCACTCTCTGCGGCCCAGACGGATCTGCTGCCGAGCCGCTCTGACGCACTCTTCCTCGTCCGCCACTTTACGCATGAGGCAGCACGGCTGCGCACGGCTCGAGCGCCTCTCTCATCCGAGGCCAGTCTCAGCCGGAGGCGCTCTGCATCTGCCCTTCTGGTCGCCGACGAGCTGCTTCGAGGCGCTGCACTCGTGCTCGACGACGAGCGCATCAAGCTGCTCGCCGGCAAGGAGGGTCGCAGGAGCCGCCGTGCGGCGCATCAGCTCGCGAGAGAAGTCGTCGCTGCCGTCGTCGAGACGTGGGACGCCGATCAGGAGGAGCTGCTGCAAGCCACAGAGAGCAAGCGTGCGTCGGCCGGCGAGCAGAGCAAGGAGCTGCTCGAGGCGCAGAGTACGGCCGAGATCGAGCAGTCTCGCGGCCTGCCGCTCGAAGACACATCCGCGGCGATTCCCATGGGCTTCGGGCCGGCGCTCGACCTCGGCTTCGTTGCCTCTGCGACTCTGAACAGCTCTGGCAGCGCCACACAGGTCAGCGCCGAGGTGGCACAGGCACGAGCCACCGAACAGGCCAGCTCGCAGCTGCGCTTCGGCGATGCGCTGCTGCTGTCGCTGCTCGGCTCGTGCGCCGAGCTGCTGGGCACAGCCTATCGGCCCTTCATGCTGCACACGCTCTATCCGCTCATCTGCGGCCTCGCTTCGCAGCATGCTGTTGTCCGCGAGGCCGCAAGCGAGGCGCTGCGCCGCATCGCGCATGCGACAGCGTATGCAAGCATCGAAGGCTGCGTCCTTGACCATGCAGACTATGTGCTCGGCGCGGCCAGCCATCGCTTGGTCGCTGGCCTGGCGCCAGAGCTGGAGCAGCTTGCGAGCATCGCTGCTGCTCGACAGGAGGCTGCAGCAGCCGAAGCACCCAACGCGCTCATCGAGTCTGCTCATCACGGCGCGAGCAAAGCCCTGGCAATCAGCGCCTCGCAGCTGGCGCCGCTCGTCAGTGCACAGACGGCGCCGCTGGTGCTGATCGAAGTCATCCGCATGCTCGGCAGCGACGCCCTGCCGCTGGTGGAGGATGCCGTCGACGAGGTGCTCGACGCGCTCGACCGCTTCCATGGCTACGACGACCTCGCAGACCGCCTCATCGGCGTGCTCGATCGCCTCATCGACGTCATGGCGGATGACGAGCGCGCTCGCTCCTCAGGCCGAGCGGCCCGGGCTCTGCACGCCGGCGCCGCAGCGATGGGCGTGCCCGATGCCCAGGCCGAGTTTGTCGCTCTGCAAGAGTGGCTGCGCCTGCGCCGCGAGCCGGCGCCCGCCGAGCCAGCTTTCGATCCCCGAGCAAGTCCCGAGAAGCCGGCGCCAAAGCCGCAGCGCATGGGGCCTGACGACGATCCTGATGCGGCCACACGCACGCAGATCGTCGTCTCGAGCATCCTAAGCAAGTGCGTGCCCTTCCTGAGCCACCACTCTGCTTCGCTGCGCGCACGCGTGCTGCGGCTCCTCAGCCGCGGCGTGGCAATCCTGGCACCGCAAGGCCGCGAGGCCGAGCTGCTGCCCGTCATCAACAGTGCCTGGCCCATCGTCCTAGCGCGTCTTGGCTCCAACAGCAGCGGGCCCGGGCCGCAATTGCGCCGCGGAGCGAGCGTCGACGAGATGCGAGCGAATCTCACGGAGCGCGAGGCGTTCGTGTGGATCGAGGCGGCGGCGCTCGTCGAGATGCTGGCGCTGCACGTGCCCGACTTCATCGGCCGCAAGCTCACCGGCGAGGCGTGGCCGCGCCTGGCCAGGCTGCTGCGCATCGCAGACCTGCAGGAGCGTCTGCAGCTCACAAGCGCCAGCGGACCTGCGCACTCGCAGCCGGCCATCTCCTTTATCCTCAGCGATGCGCCATCGCACGCTGCCCCTGCCACGCGCCGCAAGGCCGAGGCTGCGGCGTATCGCAGCTTCGACGTGCACGGCCCCACGGGGCGCATGTGTCTGTCGACGTGTGCGGCCGTCGCCTCCATCGTGCGCCATCTCGGCGCAAGCATCGAGGAGGGCGTGGCGTGGGACATGGCCACGCAGCCGCAGCTGCTTGCCTGTCTCGATGCGCGGCAGCCGGCGCAGCTGCGCGCCGCGGCGCACGATCTCTACCGCGCACTAGCGCAGCGCAACCAGGACGCCGTCTGGGCCGTGCTCGAGGGTGCCATGGCGCCCGAAGGCAGCGAGGACGCGCCAGGAGGCTTTGCGGCGTTCCTGCGCCAGCCGCACCTCGACATTGCGGCGTCGCGTGCAGCCGTGCTTGCGCCCTCGCATCGGGTGCCTTGAGGTCTGGAGGACAAGACAGAACATAATTGTACAACAGTCTGAACCCTAGTCTTACACGCGCGTGAGGCACAGCATCATCGTCGGTATCGGGCGCTCGCGGGGCACCTAGTTGCTCGTGCGGACCTTCGAGCTCGCGGCCAGCAGCGAGGCCTCGGTCTCCTGGAGCCGAGCACGCTTCAGCTCTGCGGCATCCGGAGACGAGGCATGCTGGCTTCCTCAACGCTAGCGCCACTCACCTCGCGCTCTACCTCCGTCTCGAGCTTCTCGACGCGCTTCTGCAGCGTCTCTTTTCGCCCTCGCAGCTCCTCCACCTTTCTCCGCGTGGCCTCGAGGTCGGGCCCGTCTGCCTGCGCTGGCCGCGCCTTCAGCGACACACGCGCCGGCGCATGCATCGACGTGAGCTGCGCTTGCCGCGCTGTGATCTGCTGGTGCTGTAGCAGTGGCCGATGTCAGAGATGTGCCTCGTCGGCGGCAGCACCAGCTCCGCCCGCGGACTCTCGCAGCGCAGGCTCGGCAGGCTCACCTTGCTCTTGAGCGACTTGACGACCTTCTCCTCGCGCTCGAGTGCCTGCTCGGCCAGCGGGATGAGCTCGCGCAGCTGCGGCGCAATCTCGGCGCTGAGGTGGTCGCGCGCCGAGCGAATGTCGCGCTCCGAGACGAGGTCAAAGTGGCGCCGCGACGCCAGCACCTTGGCGAGGCGCGGCATGTCTGCGGTGGCCGTCTGCAGCAGTGCTACGGATGACTCGAGCTGTGCGTGCCAGCGTGTCAGGACTGAGGGAGAGAGCGGGCCGGGCATGCGCGCGGACTGACCGTCTGGCAGCTGAGCTCAACGCTGGCGACGCAGCTCGCGAGGCTCGAGAGCGACGCGGAATGCTGCGGCGCGCCGTACGACGGCGCGAGGTGTGCCGTGGCGGGATAGAGCGAGTGGCGCGGTGCACTGGTCGACATGGCGGGCGGAGGTGTGGTGGTGCTGAGCGAGGGTGTTGGGTGTTGCTCGGCGGCGAGGTGCTCCCGCTCGACGCGTGCCGTGCCTGGCGAGCTGCTCCCACGCCGCACGCGTGGGGACAGGCGCGCGCGGCCACGGCGCTACTCGGCCGCATCGCCCGTCCAGTGCGCGGACCCGCTGCTGCTGCTGCATCCAGCGGTGCAGCTCCGAGCTGTCACGTCTGCGGGGCGCCGCTCCTGTCACTCCTCCACCACCCACTGCCACTCCGCCCAGCGCCTCGCCACGGCAGCAGCACCGCAGCGCCCACACCGCGCTCCCTCATCCTCGACCCGCAGCGCAGGAGCAGCGCGGCCCGTGCCCACGCCGCCTCTCCTGCCCCTGCGCGTGTGCTCGCGCCGCCGCCGCCATGCCCGTCGGCCCGGCGCCCATGCTGGCGGGGCCAAGCATGGCTGCGCTGGCCGCACAGCAGACCGATGTGCTCGGCCGCATCTTCTCCAATCTGAAGAGCAGGTGAGAGGAAGCGGCGCCGCGGTGCTTGACCCGTGCTCACGCGCGTGGAGCAGAGACGAGGCTGTCCGGCTGGCCGCCGGGCGAGAGCTCGCACAGCATGTGAGTGGCACAGTGGCAGCATACGCGTTGGCGCGGCTCACATGTGCGCTGCCCAGGTCGCCTTTGTGGCCGCAGAGCTCAAGGGCGATGCCGTCTCGGTCTTCAATAACGATCTGAACCGGCGCATCTTCGAGCTGACGCACAGCCCGAGCACACACGAGAAGCTCGGCGGCATCGTGGCCATCGGTGAGGCGCAGCAGCAGGCGTCGGTATTTTTTCTAGGCTGACGCATATCCGCTGCAGACTACCTCACTGACCTGGAGAGCGAGGACAACAGCGCACGCCTCTACCGCTTCTACCAGTACCTCAAGCCGAATCTGCCCTGCAATGACCCGCAGGTCATGATCGCGGCGTCCAAGGCGCTCGGACGAGTGTCCAAGTACGGCGGCCACTCGCTGGGCGACCAGTTCATCGAGTTCGAGGTGCAGCGAGCGCTCGACTTCCTGCAGTGTATGTGCCGAACGCAGATTGCCGACGAAGCCCGGCTGACCCCGTCGTAGCGGGCGACCGGAATGAGGCGGGCCGGTACGCAGCAGTGCTGATCATCCGCGAGATGGCGCACAATGTGCCCCACCTCTTCCACGCATACGTGCCGCGCGTGCTGGAGCGGATTTGGGTGGCGCTGAGAGATGCCAAGGTGAGTCGCAGCAAGCCCCGCATCTGAGCGGGCGGAGGCTGAGTGCTGCCCTCCGCCACAGGTGCTCGTGCGGGAAGGTGCTGCCGAGGCGATGGGCGCCTGCCTGCAGATCATCGCCCAGCGCGAGAAGCAGATGGGCGGCCAGGCCTACGAGGCCATCTATGAGGAGGCCGAGCGGGGACTGAAGATGAACACAGTCGAGGCGATCCACGGCAGTCTGATGGCGGTGCAGGAGCTGCTGCAGCACTCCAAGACTGTGAGTGGTGTCGCCGAGCCAGGCACTGCGGCAGCACTGATGCGCCGCCGCGCAGTTCATGCGATCACGCTTCGGGCGAGCCTGTGACCTCGTCGCGCGGCTCCACAAGCACCGCGACCCGCTGATCCGGCGAACGATCACGAACCTCGTGCCAGTGCTGGCGAACTACGACCCGCACTTCTTCGCAGATCAGCACCTGGGCGCCGTCATGGCGCTGCTGACGGAGCAGCTGCGGAGGGAGCGCGACCGCTCGACGCGGGAATCCGTCTCGCAGACGTTCGAGGCCATCGGCCTCGTGTCTGCGGCGATGGGCAGCAAGATGAAGCCGTACATCGAGCGAATTCTCGCCTGCGTCAAGGAGGGCCTGCAGTCCCGGGGCCGCAAGAACCCGACGCCCGAGGCGCCGATCTTCTTCTGCATCGGCTACCTAGCCATGGCTGTGGGGCCGCACCTCACGCGCTACATGCACGAGCTGTTCGACCTGATGTTCGCGTGCGGCCTGAGCATGCCGCTGGTGCAGGCGCTCGAGCGCATCGTGCGTGCCGTGCCGCCATTGCTGCGCGTCGTGCAGCTCCGCCTGCTCGACATGCTCTCCGTCACGCTCACAGATCAGCCTTACCGACCGCTGGGCGCGCCCGCGCGCAGGCCCATCGCGTCCGTCACGGCAGCTGTGCAGCCGCCGGCTGAGCACAAGACCGGCGAGTCGGTCACCGTGGCGCTGCAGACGCTCGGGCAGTTTGACTTTAGCGGCCACATCCTCAACGAGTTTGTGCGCAGCTGCACGCTGCCGTATCTGGAGGACGACGCGGTCGACGTGCGGAAAGCGGCAGCCGTGACGTGCGCCCGCCTCTTTGGCGACGACCCGATCTGCTACCAGACGAGCATGCACGCGATCGAGGTCGTCAACGACGTGCTCGACAAGCTCATGACGGTGGGCATCGCCGACCCCGAGGCCACGCTGCGCAAGACGGTGCTCTCAGCACTCGACGAGCGCTTCGACCGGCACTTGGCGCAGGCCGAGTACGTGCGCTCGCTCTTCATTGCGCTCAACGACGAGGACTTTGGCGTGCGGGAAGTGGCGATTGCCATCATCGGCCGGCTGGCCAAGCACAACCCGGCCTACGTCATGCCGTCTCTGCGCAAGGCGCTCATCCAGCTCCTCACGGAGCTCGAGTATGCCACCGTCAGCCGGCACAAGGAGGAGGCCGCCAAGCTGCTCACCGACGTCGTGCGCGCCTCGCAGCGCCTCGTCAAGTCGTACGCGCTGCCGATGCTCGAGGTCCTGCTGCCCAAGGCCAACGACCCTGCGCCCGGCGTGGCGGCACGCGTGATGGAATGTCTGGGCGAGCTTGCACGCGTTGGCGGCGAGGACCTGGCGCCGCACGTGGACCAGCTCATGCGCCTGGCCATCGAGCAGCTCTCGTCACACTCGGTGCACGGCTCCACCGCCAAGCGCGACGCCGCGCTGCGCAGCCTGGGCCTCGTCGCCTCGAATACAGGCAACGTAGTGAACCCGTACCTCAAGTACCGCAGCCTGCTCGGCACCGTCGTCAAGATCCTGAAGAACGAGCCAAACCCGGCCGTGCGGCGCGAGACGATCCGCGTGATGGGCATCCTCGGCGCGCTGGATCCGTACCGCTACAAGCTGCTCGAGAAGACGACGGAGGACGGCGTAGCCGAGGCGGGCAAGGCCAGCGGCACGGACCTTTTCGAGCTCGCCATGGCCGTGGGCACGAGCACCGATGACTACGCGCAGAACGTGGCCATCGACTCGCTCATCAACATCCTCAAGGACCCGTCGCTCTCGACGCACCACCACGCCGTCATCGAGGCGGTGATGTACGTGTTCAAGACGCAGGGCCTCAAGTGCGTCACGTTCCTGCCGCAGATCATCCCGGCGTTCCTCAACGTGATCCGCACGTGCATCACGGGCACCGAGTTCTACTGGCAGCAGCTCGGCATCCTCATCGGCATCATCCGGCAGCACGTGCGCAACTACCTCAAGGACATCTTTGACCTCGTGCAGGAGAACTGGAACCCCAACTCGAGCATCCAGCTCACGATTGTCTCGCTCGTCGAGGCCGTGGCCAAGGCGCTCGAGGGCGAATTCAAGACGTACCTGCCGATCCTCCTCCCGCAGCTCATCCAGACGCTCGACGGCGAGATCACGCCGAAGCGCCAGCCGACGCTGCTGCGCATCCTGCACTCATTCGTCATCTTTGGCTCGAGCATCGACGAGTACATGGGCCTTGTGCTGCCCGTCGTCGTCAAGATGTTCGAGCGCCCGGACGCCTCGCAGACGCTGCGCCGCTCCGCCATCGTGACGATCGGCCAGCTGGCGTCCAAGGTCAACTTCTGCGACCACGCCTCGCGCGTCATCCACCCGCTCGTGCGCGTGCTGCAGTCGGGCAGCCCGGAGCTGCGGCCCGCCGCCATGGACACGCTTGCGGCGCTCGTGTTCCAGCTCGGCCCGTCGTACGCGACGTTCATTCCGGTCGTGTCCAAGGCCCTGGCGCAGAAGGACATCCGGCATGCCAAGTATACGGAGCTCGTCAACATGCTGCTCAACGGCGAGCGCCTGCCGCAGGAGGTCGCGCCGGCGGACAAGGCGCTCGACGAGCGCGCCGAGGAGGCGCCGCTGGCCGAGGCGACCAAGATGACCGTCAACCAGCAGCACCTGAAGCAGGCGTGGGACACGTCCAAGGTGTCGACGAGCGAGGACTGGCGCGAGTGGCTGCGGCGCATGGCCGTCGAGTTCATGCGCGAGTCGCCGTCGCACGCTCTGCGCGCGTGCCGCGCCCTCGCCGACGTGTATCAGCCGCTGGCGTACGACCTCTTCAATACGGCGTTCGTGTCGTGCTGGACGGAGCTCTACGACAACTATCAGGACGATCTCGTCAAGGCCATCGAGGTGGCGTTCGACGCCGTCGATATTCCCGACCAGGTCATTCACATGCTGCTCAACCTCGCCGAGTTCATGGAGCACGACGACAAGGCGCTGCCGATCAACATCCGCCTGCTCGGCGACCGCGCGTACAAGTTCCACTCGTACGCCAAGGCGCTGCACTACAAGGAGGCCGAGTTCCTCTCCGAGACGTCGCCGCAGATCATCGAGGCGCTCATCGACATCAACACGAAGCTGCAGCAGTCCGACGCCGCCTTTGGCACGCTCACGTATGCGCGCGAGCACCTTGACATTACGCACCACGAGGAGTGGTATGAGAAGCTGCACCGCTGGGAGGAGGCACTGGTGGCGTACGACCGGAGAGCAGGCGGCAAGAACGAGTCCGAGACGACGTTCGGCCGCATGCGCTGTCTGCACGCCCTCGGCGAGTGGGAGAGCCTGTCGGAGCTCGTCTCGATGAAGTGGGTCAACGCGCCAAGCGACGAGCGGCGGCAGATGGCGCCGCTGGCCGCCGCCGCCGCGTGGTCGCTGGGCCAGTGGGATCTGATGGACGAGTTCATCTCGGCCATGCGGTCCGACTCGTCGGAGCGCTCCTTCTTCCGTGCCATTCTCGCCGTGCACCGCTCGCAGCGCAGCAGCGCCAACAAGCACATCACGCGCGCGCGCGACTCGCTCGACTCGGAGCTCACGGCGCTCATCTCGGAGAGCTACTCTCGCGCATACGACCTCATGGTGCGCACGCAGATGCTCTCCGAGCTCGAGGAGGCCCTCGTGTACAAGCTCGACTACCGCGACCAGCCCGACCGCCAGGCGACGATGCGGGCGACGTGGATGAAGCGCCTCAAGGGCTGCCAGCCCGAGGTGGAGGTGTGGCAGCGCATCCTGTCCGTGCGCAGCATCGTGCTCACGCCCGTCGACGACACCGAGACGTGGATCAAGTTCGCCAACCTCTGCCGCAAGTCGGGCCGCATGGTGCTCGCCGAGAAGACGCTCAACTCGCTGCTCGGCCCCGAGCTGATGAGCATGAATGGCGCCACGGCAAACGGCAACCTGGACGCGCGGGCAGCGGCCGCCCTCGGGCCCAAGGCGCCGCCGCCGGTCATCTACGCGCACCTCAAGTTCATGTGGGCGAGCGGCGCGCGCGTCGAGAGCCTCAACTACCTGCGCGACTTTACCGTCAACCTGGCGGAGGACCTGGGCCTGCACGCCGTCGACGAGCACGGCAACCCGGTGACGCAGGACTGGCACTCGGTGCCGCGGCTCAGCGAGTTCGCGCGCCTCCTCGCCCGCTGCTACTTCAAGCAGGGCGAGTGGCAGGCGGCGCTGCACGAGGAGTGGGTCACCGACGACCAGTGCGACGTCATCGACTCGTACCGCCGCGCCACGGAGCTCGACCGCAATTGGTACAAGGCGTGGCACGCCTGGGCGCTGGCAAACTTCGATGTCATCTCGCACCACGAGAGCCACGGCGACGTCGTGTCGGCGCAGATGATCGCCGCGAGCATCGTGCCCTCCGTGCAGGGCTTCTTCCGCTCGATTGCGCTCGCGAGCGGCAACTCGCTGCAGGACACGCTGCGCCTCCTCACGCTGTGGTTCAAGTACGGCTACCAGGAGAACGTGGCCGACGCCGTGTCCGAGGGCTTCAGCAGCGTCATCGTCGACACGTGGCTGAGCGTGATCCCGCAGATCATTGCGCGCATCAACTCGCCGAGCGAGAAGGTCCGCCGCCTCATCCACCACCTCCTCTCCGACGTCGGCGCCGCGCACCCGCAGGCGCTTGTGTACCCGCTCACCGTCGCGGCCAAGTCGCCGAGCGTCATGCGCATCCAGGCCGCCATGGGCATCATGGACAACGTGCGCGAGCATAGCCCGCTGCTCGTCGAGCAGGCGCTGCTGGTCTCCAACGAGCTGATCCGCGTGGCGATTCTATGGCACGAGCTGTGGCACGAGGGCCTCGAGGAAGCCTCGCGGCTCTACTTCACCGAGCACGACATTCCCGCCATGTTTGCCACGCTCGAGCCGCTGCACGACGCGCTGGAGAAGGGCCCGGAGACGCTGCGCGAGACGTCCTTTGCGCAGACGTACGGGCGCGACCTCAACGAGGCGCGCGAGTGCAGCCGGCGCTACCGGCAGTACAGCGAGATCACGGACCTGAACCAGGCGTGGGACCTGTACTACCACGTCTTCCGGCGCATCACCAAGCAGCTGCCGGCGACGAACTCGGTGCAGCTGGACCTGCAGTACGTCTCGCCGAAGCTGCTCTCGCTGCGCGACCTCGAGCTGGCCGTGCCGGGCACGTACCAGAGCGGCCAGCCCATCGTGCGCATCACGCAGTTCGAGCAAGTCGTGCTCGTCATCTCGTCGAAGCAGCGCCCGCGGCGCCTCAAGATGAAGGGCAGCGACGGGCGCACGTACCAGTACCTGCTCAAGGGCCACGAGGACCTGCGGCAGGACGAGCGCGTGATGCAGCTCTTCGGCCTCGTCAACACACTGCTGTCCATCGACTCGGAGTCGTACAAGCGGCGCCTCGACATCCGGCGCTTCCCCGTGATTCCGCTGAGCCCCAACACGGGCATGCTGGGCTGGGTGGAGAACAGCGACACGCTGCACGTGCTCATCAAGGAGTACCGCGAGCAGCACAAGATCCTGCTCAACATCGAGCACCGCCTCATGCTGCAGATGGCGCCCGACTACGACAACCTGATGCTCATGCAGAAGGTCGAGGTGTTCGAGTACGCGCTCGACAACACGCCCGGGCAGGACCTGTACCGCGTGCTGTGGCTCAAGTCGCGCTCGTCCGAGTCGTGGCTGGAGCGGCGCACGGCGTACACGCGCTCGCTGGCCACGTCGAGCGTCGCCGGCTACATCCTCGGCCTCGGCGACCGGCATCCGAGCAACCTGCTGCTCGACCGCGTCGCCGGCCAGATTGTGCACATCGACTTTGGCGACTGCTTCGAGGTGGCGTGCGTGCGGCCCAAGTTCCCGGAAAAGGTGCCGTTCCGCCTCACACGCATGCTCGTCAACGCCATGGAGGTCGGCGGCGTCAAGGGCACGTTCAAGGTGACGAGCGAAAACGTGATGCGCGTGCTGCGCGACAACAAGGAGAGCGTGCTGGCGCTGCTCGAGGCGTTCGTGCACGACCCGCTCATCTCCTGGCGCCTCGTCGCCGACGACGCCAGCGAGCAAAAGGCGCCCGACGCCAGCGAGCACGAGACGGCGGGCCAGATGCGCACGCAGCCGGGCGACGTGCGCAACCAGCGCGCCCTCGAGGTCGTGCGCCGCATCCAGAACAAGCTCAACGGCCGCGACTTCAACCCGCAAGTGTCGCTTTCGGTGCCGGCGCAGATCCAGCGCCTGGTGCAGGTGCGTAGGCAGGGCGCTGCGCCCTGGTGTCGCGTGCTGACCCGAGCTCTCTCTGCAGGAGGCCATGTCGCTCGAGAATCTGTGCCAGGCCTTCATCGGCTGGTGCTCGTTGTGCGTGTCGGGTGCTGCCTGTGCCGCACGACCACGACTGACGCCTCCATCCACAGCTGGTGATGCGCCTGCGGCTCTCTCCTTCTCCCTTTCGACAGCGCCCTGTGCTGCGCCTTTCCTGCTGCATCTCTCTCTCTCTCTCCCTCTCCATTCCAGACTCTTCCCCGCTCTCTCGCTCTCCCTGCATCGTGTACTTCTAGCTCAAGTTCTCGCCGAACGACGATCTCTCCCGCCTGGCCTGCTACGGCGTGCAGAGTCCAGAACTGTGTGTCGTTGGGGCTCTGAGTGCCGGCTCACGTGGCCTGCCCGTCTCGTTCGGAGCCGGAGCCGCAGAGTTGCGCGCTCGCCGTCGAATTTGCAGTTCCGACTGGACCCGGGCGACGATCGCAGCGCGCAGAAGAGGTGCGGGGACGCGCGGGCTCTGCCGCGGCAGCGACGATCGCCCGGACTCACTCACTCGCGGCGCAAAAGCGAGCGGCGAAGCCTCTGACGGCTGAATGCCCATGGGCCCGCTGCGGCAGGGCAGCTGTGAGTGCAGCACGACTGCTGTTCAGCGCTGCCATGCCGCAGCATCGCCGCTTCGAAGCCAGCGGCATCAGCAGCCTCTCTCACGCCCACGCGACCTCGTCCAGGGGCAAAGTGGCACTCTGAGCTCCCAGTCCGTTCCGAGCGCCAGCATTGCCCACTTTCTCCTGCTGGCCGTCTATTGGCCCCTGACCCCGGACTGGCACAGCCGCCGGGCAAGCGCTTGCCACGGGAGAGGGAGCTCGCGCGAGCAGGGCAGGCCGACGACGGCGGGCGCCGCCTGCACGCCAGGGGTTGGGCCTTCGCCGCTTCGCCTCTCCATACCCCGCCTCTTCTCTGCTTCGGCGCCTGATGCGATGTGATGCGAACGCCAACTTGCGATGTGCCGAACAGGCGAGGGCGCCTCCTCTGCTCTCTCTCCGACGAGGCAGGCGCAGCATGAAGGCTCTCCGGCGCCTCCCGTGGCTGCGTTCTGGCGCTCAGAGGCGCACACGGGCGTGCAGCACGCAGGAAACGGAGCTGCGCGCCTCGCCGCCGCATCCTCATCAGCGCCCATCCTGCATTTTCCTGCTCGACGTTCCACGCTCTCGCAGCCGCAGGCGCCATGCCGCCGCTGATGTCCGCCGCCCGCGCGTGCCGGCGGCAGGGCAGGCAGGTGCAGGGTGCAGCGGCGGTAGCGTGCATCGCATGAACGCGGCCCTGCGCCCCCCGAGCGACGCTCGACGTCCGCCAGCCCAGCGCCGCCCCCATCCGCCGCCCGCATGGCAGCTCATTGGCCCCTCGCTTAGCGCGCCGGCGGGGCGTGGTGTTATGGTCCACAGCTCGCACCGCCTCCATGGGCGCTCGGGAGGGCCCGCCGGCGGGCTGCGCTTGCCGCAGCTGATGGAGCGACTCGGAGACCGCAGCGCCGGCGCCGGCGAGGCTGCTGCTGCGGCGCATCCATCCGTCCGTCTTTCTCCTTTTGCGGCCAGAGCTGCCGGCGGCTCTTGATGCTCTGCACCTGCTCGCCGTGCCGTGGCGGCGCTTCAAAGCGAGAGGAGGTCACGCGGCACGCCTCGGGCAGGCCGGCTCGACGGCTGGACGGCGGCGCCTGTCCCTGTTTGGCGTCATGCCGACGCCGCAGGCCGGCGCGCCGCCACGCGGAGTCGATGGGCCTCGGCTAGTAGGCGCCAGGCAGGCGCGCAGCGGAGCCGCGCGGCACTTTGCAGGGTGCGGCCACGGCCGGCTTTGCGGTTTGTATTTGCGGCGGCGGCAGAGTGAAGTCGCGCAGAGGCAGAGAGCAGCAGCGCACCAGCGCCAGCTCTGCGCGCGCTGCTGCCCGCCTGCCTGCCGCTCTGCCGTGCCCGCCGCCCACGCGGCGCGCCGCCTGCTGCGAGCGCTGCGCTCTGTTTCGCAGGCAGCAGCGCGTCACCGCCTGCCGCCAGCCTGCACCTGGGACAGCGCCGCCGCCGCCCAGCCGGCCGCGCGGCGATGGCGAGCAGCGCCCACTCGACAGCTCTGCCTCTCCTCCTCCATCCCCCGCACCCCGCTGCCGCCATCCGCACGCCCGCGCCGCCGTCTGCCTCGTCCCTCTGCGCCCGGCTGGCGACGTTGCCCGCGTCCTGCGCGAGGCCTGCGTTGCGTGCGCGCGCGTCTGCTGCGGCCCTCTCCTCTCTCGTGTGCCAGGTGCCCTTGCTTGCTGGCGAGCTCGCCGCGCCTGCGTCCGCACTCCTCCTCCCCTCCTCACACCCTCCACCCTCTCCACCATGCCCGAAAAGCTCTGAGAGCGCGGTGGCCATCTGGCTCACCCTGCGGCAAGCGTCGCGCCGCACTCCGGCACCCCGCCATCCGGCGCCCCCTCTCCGCCCGCTCCTCCGCCGCACGCCCTCGTCGCCGCGTCGCTCCTCCTTCTCTACTGGCGTGACGAGCTAGTCTACATCCAGTCACCGCCGCACCGACCCTTTTCCCTGCCATGTCGTCCGACGCGTCCGACGCGTCCTCCTCCTCCATGGAGCCGCTGCGCAGCGGGCGCGTGCGCACCATCAGCACCTCGAGTGCCAGCTCGACGGACTCCGAGTGCGGCACGCCCGTGGCGCCGCGCCTGCCGCCCGTCGTGCGCGGCGCGTGCGTGCTGCGCGCGCCGTGTCTGAAGCGCAACGCCTCGGCGCCGCCGCCGTCGAGCAGCGGCGCGGGCGTGCACGAGGCGGCGCCGACGGTGGCGCTGGCGGCGCTGACCAGCGTTAGCGTCGGGCGCCCGCGTGTGGCGCCCATGTGCTCCTTTGCAGCGCCGCGCTCCTTCAGCGCCGCCGCACCGCCGCGCTCGGTGCGCTTCGACGACTCGCCGCCGGAGCACGGCCTGACGCACAGCGGGCGCCACTACGACCGCACGCCCATCGAGTGCACGCGCAACGGCAGCGAGCACGACCTCAGCCTCAAGCACAGCGTCACGTACGGGCGCGACGACGAGGAGAGCGAGGCCAGCGGGCCCGAGAGCGACGAGTGCGCGCGCCGCGGCAAGGCGCGCTGGGCCAGCCTCAAGAACGGCACCGTCATTGGCTCGGCCGTGCACGAGTCGACGGTGCCGCGCGCCGGCGAGCCGACGGAGCCCAACGGCTGCAGCCTGCCCGTGCACGGCGTGCGCTCCTTTGGCGGCCTCGGCGCAAAGGCCGGCGGCGCGTCGCTGTACGCCTCGAGCGCCGAGGACGACTCGCTCGACGAGTCGGCCGGCCTCGACGATGCCGACGACGACGACGGCGACTCGACGGCCGCGCCCAAGAGCCGCAAGCCGGATCCCTTTGCCGCGCTGCGCCCGCGCACGAAGAGCCCCGACGCGACGCCGCGGCAGAGCCCGTCGGTGCGCTGCCGCTGGGAGAACGTGCAGGACTACTTTGCCGTCGCGGCCGACGAAGGCAGCGACGGCGACGACGAGGGCAGCAAGCCCGCTCGCGGCGCCGCGGTCCTGTCGCCACTGCGCTCCGCCTCGCCGAGCGGCTCGCGCATCGCCGACGTCCACGCCGTCGCCGACGACGAGGGCGAGGCACTGCGCCGCTCCATCCTGCTCGCCGGCTCGACCAAGTCGCGCCGCAGCGCCGCCAGCCCCCGCGGCTCGCCGCGCGGTTCGCCTCGGAGAAGCCCGCGCGAGAGCCCGCGCGAGTCGCGCTCCTCGTCGCCGCAGCCCTCGTCGCCACACATTGCGTCGCCGCCGCTGCCCACGGCTGTCTCGTCTGCCGCGCCCGCCGCGGAGCTCAGCAGCGCCGTCGAGGCGCTCGCAGTCAGCATCGATGCGCCGGCCGAGGCACCGAGCGCGAGCACCTCCGACGCCGTGCTGTCGCCCTTCGGCAGCGTCTGCTCGCCGCCGACGAGCAGCAGCAGCAGTGCCATGCCGCTCTTCCTGCTCGACTCGTCGCCCATGTCGTCGCGCTGCTCGAGCGCGGACCCGTGGAGCGGCGTCAGCAGCGACGAGACGGACGCGCTGCCCGACTCGCCGTCGGGCGGCTGGGGCAGCAGCAGCTGCACGAGCCCGGACCTGACGCCCGCCGACATCGCTGCACGTGTCTCGTCGGCCGTCGACAAGATGCTCGTGTCGCAGCAGCAGCAGCAGCAACAGCAGCAGCAACAGCAGCAGCAAGACGTCTCTGCGCTCGCCGCCACGCTGCCGCACCCGCCGTCGCCGGAGCACGCGCTGCCGCCGTCGGTGCTGGCCGCATGCCACCTGACGCCGAGCAGCAGCCGGCCCTCTGCGCTGCGCTCGCGCCGCGCCGCCAGTGCCGGCGCCAAAATGACCCTCTCTGCCGACAACTCGCCGCTGCTGTGGCCGGCCGACGACGACGAGTGCAGCGGCAGCGGCAGCGGCGGCTCCGCCAGCGTGACGCCCGGGCCGGGCGCCAAGCCGAAGAAGAAGGGCTGCACCAGCAAGCGGCGCGCCCGCGCCTCGTTCAGCGAGAGCGCCTTCAGCGCGGGCGGCTTTGACGAGGGTGCGCTGGGAGGCTTCTAGGACTCGAGCTCCGTGGCTGGATCGTGTCTCTCCTCTCCGTGTCGCACGCCTGAACGATCGATGAACTGCGTCCTGTGTCACATACATGCCCTCTCTTCTCCATCCACATCGTCATCTCTGCACTCGTCGCGCCTGGCTGCGCGTCACCTCCCTCCCTGCGAGTCCATGCGCCCTCTGGAGCACTTGATCCTCGCCCACTCTCTCTAGCACGTCCGTCACAGTCTGCGTCTCTGCTGCGGCCGCCTCCCTCATAAATGCACCACATCCATCAGCGCCTCCGTCTGTCATGCCCGCTGACCCGCGTCTGTCTTGCATGGCTGTGCATTTCGCCTCGTCAGCGCCCGAGCACGGCGACGAGGTCAGTGTGGTGTGGGTGTGTGCGTGAGACGATGTGTGAATGGGATGGGTGCGCAGAGAGGGAGGCAGAGAGAGGCGGTGAGCTAGCGAGACTCAGCGACCCCGGCCAGGAATAGTACAACGCCGCCCCGCCGGCGCGACGGGAGCGGACGGAAAGAGAGAGACGCAGACGCATGACATTTTAAGCCTTGATCTTGGCGGCCTGGGCACCGACCAAGTAGCGGCGCTGCTTCTTGAGCAGCATGATCTCGAAGCGCTCAAAGTCCGTCGTGGCGGCCTTGGCCTTGCGCGCCGCGCGCTTCTTGGCCCACGCCGACTCGGCCCACTTCTGCGCCACGCCCGACGCCTCGAACTGCTTGGCGATGGCCGAGCTGCCGGCGGCGCGCGCAATCTTGGGCACGACGTGCGGCGTCAGGGAGATGTACTTGTACTGGATCACCTGGCGCTCGACGCCCGAAGCCGGGCCGTCAATGATGGCCTGGAGGGACAGATGTCAGCACTCGATGCAGCAGGACGGGGTCTTGACATGTGCTGGAGGGCGTGGCCGCCGCGGGTTGCGCCAGCATGGCTTCGCCTATCGCGGCTCGGTAGCCCATCTCGCCGGCTGGCATCTCCACATGCTCCTCTCCTGGTCTGCTATGTTCGCTCCGCCGAGCCTGTCCCATCGGCCGATCCCATCTTCGTCCGCCGCCGCGTCCCGCTCCCTCCCTTCCTCTCTCTCTCGCGCCGACGCACCTTGTTGTGGTCGACAATGTCGGCAATCACGGCCAGCTTGCCCTCGCCCTGGCCCTTGTTGACCAGCACGACGCGGCCGACCTCGACGTAGCGCTTGAATGCCTCCCGGTTGACCATTTTGACTGTGCGGCGAGCGCAATGTCAGCCATGCTGCGCCGGCTACCGACTACTCATCGCAGCACATCTCAGCAGCCCTTGGCCGGCACTCAGGGCGGACGAGAGCGTGGCAGCACCGACAGCAGCGCTGTCCCTCGCCCGATGCCGGTGCTGTCTCGCTGCATCTCGCTCCTGCTGCGCCTGCCGCCGCCCATGCCGATCCTCTCCCTCGCCCATTGCTGCGCGCCCAGGCCGCGCTGCACAGGCCGCAGCCGCTGCTCGACAGCGAGCAAAAGCCAGCACACCCTATGCCGGGACGGCGCGCTGCGGCCTCTGCGCACGGCGATGGTCCGCCTGCGCCCCTGCTGCTCCAGCCGTCGCAGCCATGCCACGCCGCACCGGCGCGCGGCGCGGCAGCAGGCGCGGCGGCGTGCGCCAGGCGACGAGAGGCGCACGGGTGCACGGGTGTGTGCGAGTGCATGCGCGCGAGCAAGTGTCGGAGGCGGCATGCTCACAAGATGAGAGTGACTTGAGGTGGGTGGGGGTTGGTAGGGAGCAGAGACGCGGGCGCGGTGCCTCAAGCAGCGCCGGGCGGCGGCGGGCAGCGGGCGCGGCGAAGTTGGGTGAGAGGGCTGAGAAGCGGCCAAGGAGTCGCACGCCCGACGGCTGCCGCGCACGTGACACGCAGCTCTGCGCGCCGCTGCGGCTGCCCTCTCGCCGCGGTGCCAGTCGCGTGGGAACGGCCCCCTCTCTCGTGCGGCTGCTCGGCGATGTCACTGTGCATCCCGCTGATCTCGCTGTCACCGCGGCCGTCGAGTGGAGCGTGCGCTGCTCCGGCCGCTGCGGCTGCCTCTGGACCCTCACGCCGACTGCATGCTCCTTCGTCTCGCACGCACCTCGCTCACCCTCCTCTCCACGCCGCACCCCCGCACCATGGCCTCGTCTACCAGCGCACGCCTGCAGCTGCCGCAGCTCGACGGCGTCGAGGCGGCCAAGCGCGCCGCTGCCTACGCCGCCGTCGACGCACACGTGCGCGCCGAGGACCGCGTGATTGGCATTGGCAGCGGTGCGTGGCGTGTGCGATGTGGACAGAGGGGCACGGGCGGTGTGCACTGCGAGGCCCCTGCGCTGGATAGCCCGGCAGCGGCGGCGTGTGTGCTGTGGCCCACGCTCCGCCTGCGCTGCAGCTGCCAAGGCGATGTGCCGTGCATCGGCTCCACCAGCGCTGGTGCGCCGTATCAGCTGCAGTGCCAGACATCTGCTCCGCCGGCGCTGGTCCGCTGTTGTGCTGCGCCGCTCCGCGCGGCATTGCGCCTTCGCGTTGTGTCCATGCTGACCATCTACGCGCAGGCTCGACGGTGCCGTACGTCGTGGAGCGCATCGTGCAGCAGGGCAAGGCCGTCAATGCCGGCCGCTGGTTCGTGCCCACGGGCTTCCAGTCCAAGGAGCTCATCGTGCACGCCGGTGAGCCGCCTGAACAGTCGTGACTCGTGCGCCACAGCTGATGCGCCGCTCGTGCACCTGCCAGGCCTGCAGCTCGGCGACGTCGACTGCTACCCGGTCATCGACGTGACCATCGACGGTGCAGACGAGTGAGCCATGCCGCAGCCACCCTCGCTGCATTTCTGACGCGCCCACGCAGGGTCGACTCCGCGCTCAACGCCATCAAGGGCGGCGGCGCGTGCCACCTGCGCGAGAAGGTGCTGGCCGAGGCGGCCAAGGTGTTCGTCGTCGTGGCCGACTACCGCAAGAACGGCACGGCGCTCGGGCAGGCCTGGACGCAGGGCGTGCCCGTCGAGGTGGCCGAGTTTGCCTACGCCAAGGTGATGCGCGACCTGCAGCGCATGGGCGGCAAGCCGGTGCTGCGCATGGGCAAGGCCAAGGCCGGCCCGGTGGTGACGGACAATGGGTGAGACGCATGTGCGCTTTCATCGCCAGAACGAGCCGCTGATGCGCTGCTCCTTTGCCAGCAACTTCGTCATCGACGCGCCCTTCTCCGCCGAGGTCATGGCGCAGCCGCGCGCGCTGCTGCAGCAGATCAAGCTGCTGACCGGCGTGCTCGAGGTCGGCCTCTTCGTCGACGTCGTGCAGGCGGCCTACTTTGGCAATCAGGACGGCACCATCACCACAAAGGTGCTCAACGGCAAGACGGTCGACACGCAGGAGGGCGTCACGTTCGATGTCACGCAGCCGCCGGCGGCCGCCTCCGCCTGAGCGCCACACACGATACAGTGCTTCGGGCTCCGCAAATGCAGGTCTCATACCCCACAGGCGTGGTGCAGTCTAGATTGCAAGCTTGGCTCTATGGGTAGTCTAGGTCTCGCTGTCGCCGAGCAGCGCCTCGAAGGCGTTCTTTGGCGGCGGCGGCTTGGCACGCACCGGCGCGCCCGGCACGCTGTTGGCGAGCGAGGCGTCCTTTTTCTTCTGCGCCTTCTTCTCGCGGCGCGCCAGCTCGACGTCGATAGCCAGCACGGCGTCGTTGCCCTCGAGCACGGCGTGCAGCAGGCGCTCCTCGTGCGCCTCGTCGGGCCCGTAGTGGCCCTGCAGATGCGCGTGGAACGACGGGCCGTCGTGCAGCGCGTGCGGCGGCACGTGCTCGAGCAGCAGCGCCTGCGCGAGCAGATGCGACGTCTCGAGCAGCAGCTGCACCGTCGTGCTGGCGTGGATGTGCCGCACGGTTGGCTGCGCATCTGCGGCGCCCGTGGGCCGCTCGAAGGCAGCAGCTGCAGCGTCGTCCGACTGCTGCGAGTGCGCGCGCAGCGCCACGCAGCCGGCGTGTACCGCCGCCTTGAGCTCCGCCTTCGTCCAGGCGTACTTTGCTGTGCGCTCGCCGAGGCGTGCCGCGTCGGAGCGCACAACGTGCCGCAGCACGGCCGCCAGCGGCTGCAGCGGCACCGGCAGCGCCAGCACACGCGGCGTGTGGGCGCCCAGCGCAAAGAGGAAGAGGTCGCGCCGCACGTCTGCCGACTGCAGCACGAAGGGCGGCGGCTTCGGGTCCGCCGCTGGCGCCTCGGCGCTCGCCTCGTCGGACGCCACACCGGCGCTGGCGCGGTGCTGGCCCAGCAGCTCGGAGAGGCTGGGGGGCAGCGTGTCCTCGGCCTCCGACAGCAGCGTGACCAGCGAGGCGATGGGAATAGCATCGCCGACGAAGCGCTCGCCCTTGCGCACCCACTCCGTCACCACCGGCGGCGGCTTGACCTCGCGGCTGGCGGCGCCTATTGAGCCCATCGCGGAGCCAGGCCGTGCCGGCAGGTCGTCCATGTCGAGCTCTTCCTCCTTCTCATCGTCCTCGTCGTCGCCGCTCTCGCTCGACTCTGTGTTGACGGAGATGACGTCGTCTGGCCGTTCGCCCTCGCGGTACGCGCGGCTGAGGTTGTACGGCTGCGGCTCGTCGTCCTCGCTCTCTTCCTCCTCCTCGAGCATGGGCTCCTCGAGCGTGTCGCGAGCCCATTGCATGCCCCACACGTCGAACAGCACGGCCCAGAGCCACGTGCGCACTTCGCGCGCGGCCACCGTCTGTGTGCTCTTGCTCTCTGGGTCCTCGAGGAAGATGCGCGAGAGAAACACGCGCGACGTCAGCGCCTCGACGAGCGACTCGCGCAGCTGGCCGCGCGCATAGGCGGCACGGTACAGCTCCAGCGCCTCGGCGTGGGCGCCGTCGGGCAGCGACGAGGCAAAGAAGGGCGCAGAGGGACTGGCGAGATGCGGCGCACTTGAGTGCGTCAGCACGCTGTACGTCGCCGCCGAGTCGATGATGCCGTCGACGAGCGTGTCGCGCTCGGCCGTGGTGACGTACACGCCCGCGCGTGCCGCTTCGGCGCGCAGCAGGGCCTTCTGCACGACGGCGAGCACGAGGGCGCGCACAGGGTCGACGGGCGTCGGCGGTGCGCCGCCGAATGCCGAGGGCCGCGGCGTGGCGGCGGCAGACGTGGCCGCCGTGGCCGTGCCGTCGTCGCTGAGCGCGCTGCCGGCGCTGTCCGAGACGCCGCGCGCGAGGCCGCGGCGCTGCGGCGTCACCTTGCCGCTCTTGCTGCCGCTCAGACTGCTGGCCCAGGCGGAGCGCAGCAGCTCGGCCGCCTCGGGGATGCGCTCCTGGCCCGGCGCGTGGTGCAGCAGGATACGCTCCTGCAGCTCGCCCGTGTAGTCGTTGCCCGCGATGGCGGCAAAGAGCGGCAGCAGCGTCGGCGGCAGCTGCAGCTTGCCCGCCAGCGCGTGTGCCGAGTACGAGCGCAGCCGCACGGCCAGCAGCGTGCTGAGGTCGCTCGGCGGGTGGCTCGAGAGCGTCTCGTCGGCCTCGGCGGGCGCGGCGCGGCGGGCGCCGCGCTTGCGCTTGCCCACCTGCTCGAAGCCGTCGTTGTCCTCGGGCGTCTCCTCCGGCGCCGCATCCTTCTTCGGCGGCGCAATGACATACTGGATCGAGTCGATGGGCACGTAAGACGTGCCGACGCCGCGCGCACAGAGAATGAAGAAGTCCGAGTCCTGGCTCAGCGCGTGGCCGCCGGTGCGCAGCGCCAGCTCGGCGACGGCGCTGTCGGCCTCGCACGGCGCAAAGAGGCGCGGCACGGGCGGCGCACAGCGCTGAAGCGCCTCGAGGAGCGCGTGGAAGAGCAGCGGCGGCACGAGGCCACACTCGAGCTGCCAGCGGCGCGAGGCGCGCGTGGCGGGCGACGAGAGCATGAAGGTGTGCGTGCTGCCGGCCAGGCTGCGCCGCCGCGCCAGCATCGTCGGCAGCTTGGCGGGCAGCAGCGGGCCGTCGAAGATGAAGATGGGGTACAGTCCAGCGGCGCTGACAGAACTAGAAGTGAGAGAGGATCTGCAGACCGGCGCCGCTCCACTCACCGCCAGGCGGCGACGACGCTGCGCACGTAGGCCGCATAGGCCACATAGTCGCCGCCGCGCAGCGACTCGCGGAAGCTGGCGTAGTAGGTGTGGTAGAGGAAGCAGAGGCCGTCGACGACGAGCGTGCGGCCGGGCGGCGCAGCGTCGGCGGCGGCCTGCATCTGTGCGGCATGTGCATGGCCGCTGCTGCTGCTGCTGCTGCTGCTGCTGCTGCTGCTGCTGCTGCCGGCGTCGCCTGCATCGGTGCTGCTGCTGGCCACGCTGGGTGCGGCGGCGCAGTCGTACGAGAGCGTGCTGCCGGTGCGTGCCGCCTCTTGTGCGACATACGTGGCCAGGCCGCGGACGCCCATGGTGCTGATGTGGGTATCGAGGATAGAGATGAGGGTGAGAAGGCAGCGAGCATGGCAGACGCTGGCCCGGCGTGACACATGCGCGCGTGCTGTGGAGGTGCCTGGCCGCGCCGCGCAGTGAGCGCAGGCTGCAGCGGCGCTCGTCGGCCGACGCTGCCCGACGCCCGGTCCGGCCTACGCCGCGCGAAGAAGCGAAGGACAGAGAAGCGTGTGCGCCTTGGGCGTGGCGCAGCGCGCAGCCACAGCGCAGCCGGAGCGCCGCCGCGGCTGATGTCAGGCGACGAGGCGGCGGCAAGGCAGCCAAGCGTCTTGCTGCAGCCGTGGCCACCTCGCTCCGCACCACATCCATCCCCTCTCCGCCACCGCACACACCCTCACACGCCATGTACGGTCTCACTCGTGGCATGCGCGTCGCTGCCGGCGCACGCGCCGCTATGCCGCAGCCCATGCGCGCTGCCCAGCTGGCGGTGAGTGGCCGCACGGGGAGGGTATGAGAGAGAGGGAGCAGCAGTGCTGACGCCGTGCGGGCCTGCAGCGCATGACGCCCATGGGCGCCCGCTTCAACTCTGGCAGTGAGTGGCACAGCGCTCAGCGTCACGCTCTGCCGTACTGACGCCTTCCGCAGAGGTCACCGGCCCCGTCATCGGCATTGACCTGGGCAGTGAGTAGCGCAGCGAGCCGCACCGCGCAGCGCAGCAGCTCACCCCTCTCCGCAGCGACCAACTCGTGCGTCTCCATCATGGAGGGCCAGGCCGCGCGCGTGCTCGAGAACGCCGAGGGCGGCCGCACCACGCCCTCCGTCGTCGCCTTCACCAAGGAGGGCGAGCGGCTCGTCGGCGTGCCGGCCAAGCGCCAGGCTGTCGTGAACCCCGAGGGCACGCTCTTCGCCACGAAGCGCCTCATCGGCCGCAAGTTCCAGGACAAGGAGGTGCAGAAGGACCTCAACAACGTGCCCTTCAAGATTGTGCCGCACTCCAACGGCGACGCATGGCTCGAGGTGCGCGGCACCAAGTACTCGCCCAGCCAGATCGGCGGCTTTGTCGTGGGCAAGATGAAGGAGACGGCCGCCAGCTACCTTGGCAAGTCCGTCGGCCACGCCGGTGAGTGATGCGTGCACGGGTGGAGTGGCGTGTGACATGCGCTGCGGTGGCTCGGGCCGCTTGCTGCTGTCCTGCGCAGCCTCAAAGACTTGCTAGTGAGCTCCTTTGTCTGCGGTCGCTGACGCAGAATGCGCGCGCAGTCATCACTGTCCCGGCCTACTTCAACGACGCCCAGCGGCAATCGACGAAGGACGCCGGCGCCATCGCTGGTCTGGAGGTGCTCCGCGTGATCAACGAGCCGACCGCCGCGGCGCTGGCCTACGGCCTGGACCGCACCGAGTCGTCGGTGATTGCCGTGTTCGACCTGGGAGGCGGCACCTTCGACGTGTCGATTCTCGAGATGCAGAAGGGCGTGTTCGAGGTGAAGAGCACCAACGGCGACACGCACCTCGGCGGTGAGGACTTCGACATTGTGCTCGTCGAGCACATCGTCAAGGAGTTCAAGAAGGAGAGCGGCATCGACCTGGGCAAGGACCGCATGGCCATTCAGCGCATCCGCGAGGGTGCCGAGAAGGCCAAGATCGAGCTGTCGAGCACGTCGCAGACGGACATCTCGCTGCCGTACATCACCGCCGACGCTTCGGGCCCGAAGCACATCAACATGAAGATGAGCCGCTCGCAGCTCGAGGGCCTCGTGGGCAAGCTCATCGAGCGCACCGTCGAGCCGTGCAAGAAGGCTCTCTCCGACGCCGGCGTCAAGCCGAGCGAGGTGCAGGAGGTCATCATGGTCGGCGGCATGTCGCGCATGCCCAAGGTGCTCGAGACGGTCAAGAGCATCTTCAAGCGCGACCCGAGCAAGGGCGTGAACCCGGACGAGGCCGTCGCCATCGGCGCCTCGATCCAGGGCGGCGTGCTCAGCGGCCAGGTCACCGACATCCTGCTGCTCGACGTGACGCCGCTCTCGCTCGGCATCAACACGCTCGGCGGCGTCTTCACGCGTCTCATCAACCGCAACACGACGATCCCGACCAAGAAGAGCCAGGTCTTCTCGACTGCTGTGAGTGGCGCTCGAGGTGGCACCTGTGCGCGCGTCTGACGCGCACTTCTTTCCAGGCCGACGGCCAGACCGCCGTCGACATTCAGGTGTACCAGGGCGAGCGCGAGCTTGTGCGCGACAACAAGCTGCTCGGCAACTTCCAGCTGTCGGGCATCCCGCCGGCGCCCAAGGGTGTGCCGCAGATCGAGGTCACGTTCGACATTGACGCCGACGGCATTGTGAGTTGCGCGCGGCGAAGGGTGTGAGAATGCGCGCTGACGCGACCTCCTTTCTCAGGTCAACGTGTCCGCCAAGGACAAGGCCACCAACAAGGACGCCGCCGTGACGATCGCCGCCGGCTCGGGCCTGAGCGACGAGGAGGTCGAGCGCATGATGGCCGATGCCGAGCAGCACGCCGAGGCAGACAAGGCGCGCAAGGCGCTCATCGAGGAGTCCAACCGCGCCCAGTCGGTGGCCGGCGAGACGAGCAAGGCGATTGCCGAGTTCGGCGAGCAGCTAGCGGGCGAGGAGAAGGAGAACGTGCTCAAGCTCGTCAAGGAGCTCGAGGAGCTCGCGGCGCAGGCCCAGGGCGGCGAGAGCGAGGTTGACGCCGACACGCTGCGCCAGAAGATCGACGCCACGCAGCAGGCGTCGCTCGGCCTCTTCAAGAAGGTGTACGAGGCCCGCGCGCAGGCCAACGACCAGCAGCAGCAGCCCAAGGAGGGCGAGGGCGAGAAGAAGGACTAAGTTAAAGCCTCCCGTGCTCTCTCGGTCTTGGCTCTTCCCTTCTCTCTGCGTCACCCTCTCCTTTTCTCGTCTGCATGCTCCCCTTTCCCCCACCCTCTCTTGTAATCTTGCTCTCTCTCTCATACATTCCCCCACCCCTCTCCTCGAGTCCAAAAGCCCGACGCCCGCGCAGCAAGTGCTTCTTGGGGAGCGAGCCTCGTGTCGCTCCCGGCACCGCTGCGGTGCGCTGCACACCCACAGCAAAGAAGCACACCCCCACACCACCTCTCACACATCGTCTTGGCAATGCACAGCTGCTACACACGCTGCTCAGGAGCACATCCGAATCTAGCGCGCCGACACTGAGTGGACGTGCGGTGTGGGGCCACGAGTGATGAGCGCTGTTCATGGGCCGTGCGTGAGTGCCGCTGCGAGGCGCCGAGATGAGTCCGGCAGCCCTCGCCGGCTGCTCATCACGCACCTTGCCTCCGCTCCTCGTCCATCGCAGCGACGTAGCAGCTCATCCCAAGCCACTCCACTAAGCCCAAGGCCATCACACATGCCAGCCGTGCGCGTCAAGGACGAAGCAAAGGCGGCAAAGGCGTCGAGCAGCAGCAGCGCCAAGGCCGCCGCGCCCAAGGCCACGCCGTTCACCAAGGAGGAGGACGAGGCGCTGTGGGCGTACGTGCGCAGCAGCATGTAAGCTGAGCCGCGCGCATCGACGCTGCACCCCTTGCTGATGCCATCTGTGCAATGCAGCACCGTCGTCGACGCCATGAAGGTCCTGCCGCACCGCGCCAAGACGAGCGTGCGCGCACGCCTCAAGCTGCTGCTCGGCGGCAACGGCGCCGAGGGCGCACCACGGGCGCCGCGCCGCAAGCAGGACACGCCGGCGGGCGGCGCAAAGGAGGAGAAGCAGGAGATGGAGATGGAGGAAGAGGATGTCAAGTAGGGTCGGATCAATCGACGCTGCTCTCATTCTTGCTCTTGGCCTTGGCATGTTGCATTGCAGAATAAGGTGTGAGGTGGGGTAAGGGATCAGCGCCTCTTGCGCGAAGACGACGACTCAGCCTCGACGTCGGGCGCCGTGCGCTTGCGCGTTGCGCTCGACGATGCGCTGGCCGACTCTCTTTTGTCGCCGCTCCGGCTGCCTGCTGCGGCGCGCGAGGAGCGGCTGGGCGGCGCGTCGCGCTCCTCCCTGTACGCCGCCGAGTCGCGCTCGCGATGGCCCTCGCGCTCCGTGCTCGAGTGGCGCGAGCTGCGTTCGCGGCGGTGCGACGAGCGTTCGCGATCGTCGCCGCGCGAGCGTTCGGAGCGGCTCGACGGCTCCTCGTCGCGCTCGCCTTGGCCGCCGGCGCGCGAGCTGCCCGTGCGACGGCTCGACGAGGTGCCTCCAGCGCGGCGTCCGGAGGCAGAGGCCGACTCGCTCTGCTCGTCCTGCGGCGACGCAAGGCGCTCGTCGGCGCGGCGTGATGCGGTGCCGCGGATGGAGAGCTTGACGCCGCCGGTGGTGTCTGCCGAGCGGCCGTTGGCGCCCGGCGAGGCGCTGCGTCGCGACGACTCCTCCTCGTCCTCGCGCCGCCGCGACGTGCGCGAGCGGCGCGCCGAGGCGCTCTCATCGTCCCGCGAGTCGCGCCGAGTCGAGGAGCGCTCGCGCTCGCGATACGACAGCTCGCGCTCACGGTCGCGCTCGCGCTCCTTGCCTCGCTCGCGCTCTCGGCGATCGTCGCGCTCCCGATCCCGGCGCTCGTCGCGCTCGCGATGGCCATCCCGGCGCGCCGTCGAGCCCGTGCTGCGTGCGCTCGGCGAGTCGTGTCTGCGGCTCGAGCGCTCGCCGCGCTCGCTGCGCCCCGGACTCGGCGTGCGGTCGTAGATCATGCCCGCAGCCGCAGCCGCGGCACCGGGCCCGCCGCCGTAGTCGAGCGCATCGCCGGCGCCCGAGCCCGTGTCGCGGTCGTTGTAGCGCTTGCCCGGATTGCGCGGGCCCGTGGGCGCATTCTTGGGCGGTGCGGCGCCGCGTCCGGCACTGGCGACGCGGCCGCCGCGATTCGGACCCCATGCGGGCGCGCCACGAATGGTGGGCACGGCTGGACCTGCGCCGCGGCCGTCGAGAGAGGCGCTCGAAGTGTCCTGTGCCTGCAATGTCAGCCACCCCTCGCTGTCTGAGTGCCGGGCGGCAGACTCACGCCTGCGTCATCAGCGAGCGCACCAGCGACGTGTGGTGGTGCTGCGAAGAGGGAAAGAGGCCTCGTGAGCATGAAGGCCGAAGCGCTGTCTCGCGCAACTCACCGTCTCTGCCCCCACGTGGCGCAGTGGGCACGCTGGTCTCGGCTCCGCCCTCTGCATTGCTTGCCGAGCCTGCTCTTGTCTCGGCGTCCGCGCCGCCTTGCAGCGCTTGTGACTCGACGGCATCGGCCGGTGCGACGCGCGACGCCGCTGGTCCACTCGGCGCGCCGGGCGGCGGGCCAGGGCGTTGAGCCTCGCCCTGCGAAGGTCCAGACGGCACGCCCGGATAACCTGGCCGCGGTCCTTGTTGGTGCTGCGGCGGCATCTGCTGCTGTTGCTGGCCGCCGGGGCCAGTGGGTGGCTGCATGCCCGGTGGAGGACCGCCGAACTGCTGCTGCTGCTGCCCATACATGGGTCCTGGGCCGCCCATCATCCCGTAGCCCATCATGCCGCCAGGGCCGGGCGGCGGCGGCAGCAGGCCCATGAAGGCGCCGACCTGCTCGAGCGACATGCCGGGCATCATGCTCTGCATCGCGTGCAGCTGCTGCAGCTGCGCCGGCCCGAGATGCGCCAGCGGGTTGTACGCCGGCGCGCCGTTGCCATTGGCATGCTGCTCGACCTCCATCTGCTGCGCATCGCAAGAGGCCAAGTCAGCCTAGCTCAAGCCGCACAGTGAAAGTCTTCGCCCTTCGCCCACTCACGCGTGTGCGCGCCTTTTCGCGCTCCTGGTGCACGCCGCGCTTCATCTCGCCGTAGCGGCGCCAGCTGTCCTCGTCGAAGCCGTAGTTGAAGTAGTCGCTGATGTCGGCGCCCGGCTTGCGCCACGGCCGGTCCGGCAGGCTGGCCGGGTCGACGTCGTAGATGTTCGACGGCGCGCCGTCGGGCCCGGCGCCGGGCAGCATCAGCGCCGAGTCGGGCGGCGGGACGGCCAGCGACGGCGCCGTCGACGGCGCCGCGGCCGGGCCCAGCTCCGGCGCCTCGCTGCTCGGCGCCGCAGCGGCTGGCGCCGGCGCGGCAGGCTCGCTGGCCTGCTTGACGGCGCGCGACGGCGACGCCAGTGCGGCCGCTGCGGCGCTCTGGATTTTTGCGGCCACAGGCGTGGCGGCGACGGCGCCGGCCGCACCGGGCATCGAGGCGCGCGTCAGCGGGTTGTACTCGGTCGTGATGGCGGATTGCGCTGCAGGACCGGCGAGGTGAGCACACGCATGGCCGCAGAACCGTCACGTTGCGGCTCCACTCACGACGAGCAGCGCGCGGCACCGGTGCCGGGCGCACATACGGCTGCGGCGGCCGCGCCTCGGCAGCCGAGGCGTCGAGCACAATCTCGAGATCCTGGGCGCGGCGGGCGTCAGCGAGTCAGCGATGCAGCAGAGGCGGCGGAGGCGGTGTGGGCGGTGCTGTCGGCCAGACAGAGAGCGCCTCGGCTGCGGTGTCGCCGCTGCTGGTGCCAGCAGAGCAAGGCAGCGTGGCCTCTCCGCCAGCCGTCTTGTCGCCGGCAAGCGGCTGCTTGCGATGCCTGCTCGCCGAGACGGCCACGCGCTGGACACGGCGTGCCGACTCACCGAGTCGCTGTCCTCGTCCTCCTCGTCGCTGTCCTCCTCATCCTGCGCATCCTCTGCGGCCGCCTGCTCCAGCTGCGGCTCCGCCTGGGGTGCGCCGTCGGGCGGCGCGACGGCATCGGCCTCGAGCACGGCGCCGGCGGGCTGCTGCGGCTGCGCGGGCGCGTCGGGGCGCGTGGTGGCGGGCACGTCGCCGCCGTAGAGGAAGGCGTCGTCGTCGTCGCCGTCCATGGCTGCTGCGGTGTGGAGGGAGCGGACGGCAGTAGAGAAGGAGGAAGCCTGCGCGGCGCTGCGTCTCTGCGAAGGCGGCTGGAGGCGTGTGAAGGCTGAGTTGTAGTCAGACCCCGCGCGGCGCTGAATACAGGCAGGGCGGCGCGATTATTGTATTCGGCCGTCGCCAGCACGAGCCACGCTTGGAGGGCGTGGGAGCAGGCGAGGCGCGCACGAGGCACGCCGCCAGCACACGCGCCTCAGCGCCCAGGCCGCGCCTCCTTCCCGACACGCAGCCAACACCTCACCGCCCTCACCCCTCCCTCACACTCTCGGCGTTCAGCACACCTGCGCCTGCCTCTGCGCCGCCGCGCCGCACCGCACCGCATCGCCTCACCCCGCCCACCGCCGCCATGGACAGCAGCGCCTACACCGTCGTCGCGCCCTCCGACGACGGCGGCGAGCTGCCGGCGGCCGAGCTGCGCGCGCTGCTGCAGCGCCCCGACGACGCCGTCAAGCTCGACACGCTGCGCCGCATCGTCGTCGCCACGCTCAACGGGCAGCCGCAGCCGACGCTGCTCATGCCCATCATCCAGTACGTGCTGCCCAGCCGCTCCAAGCAGCTCAAGAAGATGCTCCACTTTTACTGGGAGGTCTGCCCCAAGTACGACGACGAGGGCAAGCTCAAGCAGGAGATGATCCTCGTGTGGTGAGTCGTGTGGCAGACGCGTCATGTGCGGCGAGGGAGCAGTGCGATGTGCCGCGAGGCGGATGGCAGGCGACGTGCGGCGAGGCGGATGGCAGGCAACGTGCGGCCGATGCGGCTCAAGGGGGATGGCAGGTGACGTGCGGCGGGTGCAGCTTGAAGGCGACGGTCCGAGCCTCAGCGGCTGACACACCTCTGCTCGCGCCCAGCAACGCCATCCGGAATGACCTGCAACATCCAAACGAGTACATCCGCGGCTCGACGCTGCGCTTCCTGCAGAAGATCCGCGAGCCGGAGCTGCTCGAGCCGCTCGTGCCCACGATTCTCTCATGCCTCGAGCACCGGCACTCGTTTGTGCGCAAGAACGCCGTCTTCTGCATCTACATGATCTACCAGCGCCACCCCAACATGTTCAGCGACGCGCCCGAGCTCATGGAGACGTTCCTCGCCGCCGAGCAGGACGCCACGTGCAAGCGCAACGCCTTTGTGCTGCTCTGCCACGCCGCGCCCGACAAGGCCGTCGAGTACCTCATGCAGCAGTGGGAGGGCATCACGAGCATGGACGAGCTCATGCAGCTGGCGGTGATTGAGCTGATCCGCAAGGAGTGCAAGGGCGAGAATGCGAACCGGGTGAGTGCGCGGCTGGTGCGCATGCACGGCGCCGCACACGCCGCGTCTGACGCTGCCGCAGGCAAAGTACATCCGCGCCATCTCCGAGCTCCTCTCTGCGCCCAGCCACGCCGTCAAGTACGAGGCGGCCATCACCCTCACGTCGCTGACGCAGAACGCGGCGGCGATCAAGGCGACGGCGTCGGCGCTGATTGAGCTCGTGGTCAAGGAGTCGGACAACAACGTCAAGCTCATTGTGCTCTCGCGGCTCGAGGCGCTGCGCTCGCGGCACGAGCACGTCATTGACCCGCTGGCGATGGACCTGCTGCGCGTGCTCTCGTCGCCCGACATGGACGTGCGGCGCAAGGCGCTCGGCATTGCCCTCGAGATGGTCTCGTCGCGCAACATCGAGGAGGTGGTGCAGCTGCTGAAGAAGGAGCTGCAGAAGACCGTCGAGGCGGCGGGCGCGTACGACAAGAACGCAGAGTACCGGCAGCTGCTCATCCAGAGCATCCACACCTGCGCCATCAAGTTCAGCGAGGTCGCCTCGAGCGTCGTGCACGTGCTCATGGAGTTCCTCGGCGACAGCTCGAACACGTCGGCCGTCGACGTCATCTCGTTTGTGCGCGAGGTCGTCGAGAAGTTCCCGGACCTGCGCAGCTCCATCGTCGAGAAGCTGCTGCAGACGTTTGCCGACATCAAGAGCGGCAAGGTGTTCCGCGGCGCCCTGTGGATCGTTGGCGAGTACGCCGGGTCCGTCGAGGACGTCAAGGAGGCGATGCAGCAGATCCGCAAGGTCGTCGGCGAGGTGCCAATCCTCGCCGCCGAGGAGCGGTTGCTCGCCGCCTCTGAGGACCCTGAGACGCAGGCCGAAGACTCGGCCGCCGCGGTGGCCGTCGTGGCCAAGACGAACAAGACACGCGTGCTCGCCGACGGCACGTACGCCACCGAGACGGCCTTCTCGTCAGAAACAAATGCCAGCGCGCGGCTCGAGGCGGTCAAGGCGGCGGCCAAGCCGCCGCTGCGGTCACTCATCCTGCTCGGCGACTTCTACACGGCCACGGTGCTCTCCTCGACGCTGACCAAGCTCGTGCTGCGCTTCGCCGAGCTCAGCACAGACGCGAGCGCCAAGAACGCCATGCGGGCCGAGGCGATGCTCATCATGACGAGCGTGGTGCGCGTGGGCCAGTCGAAGTTCGCCCAGGCGCCCATCGACGAGGACTCGACGGAGCGCATCATGACGTGCGTGCAGACGCTCGCCGCCGCGGCGTACGACGAGAAGAGCGACGCCGAGGCGGCCGACGTGTTCCTGCGCGACACCAAGGCGGCGTACGCCAAGATGGTGGCGGCCGAGGAGCGCAAGGTGCAGGAGAAGGCGGCGCGCGAGAGCAAGACGGTCAAGGTGCAGCCCGACGACGTGATTGCCTTCCGGCAACTCGGCAAGAAGGGCGCTGGCGCCGCGGGCGTCGGAAGCGGCCTCGAGGACTACGAGGCCGAGGTCAGCAAGGCGACGGGCGCGGCGGCGGGCACGGGCGACGACTTCATCTCGAAGCTGCAGCGCGTCGTGCAGCTGACGGGCTTCTCGGACGCCGTGTACTCGGAGGCGTACGTCAACGTGCACCAGTTCGACATTCTCCTCGACGTGCTCGTGGTGAACCAGACGGGCGAGACGCTGCAGAACCTGTCGATTGAGTTTGCGACGCTGGGCGACCTCAAGCTCGTCGAGCGGCCGACGAGCCACACGCTGGCGCCCTACTCGTTCCAGAGCATCAAGGCGACGATCAAGGTCTCGTCGACGGAGACGGGCGTCATCTTCGGCAACATCACGTACGAGGGCGCGTCGGGCACGGGCACGCAGGAGGGCGGCGAGGCCAAGTGCGTCGTGCTCAACGACGTGCACGTCGACATCATGGACTACATCAACCCCGCCACGTGCAGCGAGAGCCAGTTCCGCTCGATGTGGACCGAGTTTGAGTGGGAGAACAAGGTCAACGTCAACACGAAGATAGTGTGAGTAGGAGAGGAGAGCGCTCAGTGCGGCGGTCGCTCACCCATCTCTGCAGCGGCCTGCGCGCCTACCTGGCGCACATCATGGCGTCGACGAACATGGCGTGCCTGACGCCCGAGGCGTCGCTGGCGGGCGAGTGCGGCTTCCTGAGTGCCAACCTGTACGCGCGCAGCCTGTTTGGCGAGGATGCGCTGGCGAACCTGAGCATCGAGGAGCTGGCCGACGGCACGATCCAGGGCCACGTGCGCATCCGCTCCAAGACGCAGGGCATTGCGCTCTCGCTCGGCGACAAGCTGTCGTCGGCCAACTGAGGGGTGGGGGCTGTGCCATGTACAATGTGATGATTGCTAACGACGGGCCAGCGTGAGAGGCGAGGAGAGACGGAGGCGAGGGGTGCGGGTGCGTGGGAGAAGTCACGTGCGCCGGTCCCCTGGCCGAGCCTGGCCTGAGCGCTGCTTCTGATTTTGGCGCGCAGGCTTCCGCCGCCTTCCAGACGCCGCGAGGCGCGTGAGCAGTGTGCGGCGCGCTGTGGCTGGAAGATCCGCGAGCTCGAGAAGCGCGCAGACGCTCGGACGGCGAGGGCGACGTGAGCTGGAGGAGGCAGCGCCACCACCTCTTAGACTGCTACTCCATCCTCCCGCAGACGCATCCCCTCTGCACACACACACACCCGCACCCCGCATCACCCCCAACCGCACCGCCGCCATGCCCGAGACCGAGAGTGCGTCTGCCTGCTGCGCCGCCGCCGCGCTGCACCGTCCGCCCTCGTGCATGCGCTGACCCGCGCTCCTCGCCCCGCAGCGTTCGGCTTCGCCGCCGACATCAGCCAGCTGATGGACCTGATCATCAACACCTTCTACTCCAACAAGGAGATCTTCGTGCGTGCCGCCGCCGCGCTGCCTGGGCCGCTGCCGCACCTGTGCTGACCTCCGCGCGCAGCTGCGTGAGCTCATCTCCAACGCCTCGGACGCGCTCGACAAGGTGCGCTACGCCTCGCTCACCGACCCGAGCGTGCTCGAGACGGAGAAGGACCTCTACATCCGCATCACGCCCAACAAGGAGGCCGGCTACCTCGCCATCCGCGACACGGGCATCGGCATGACCAAGGCCGACCTGGGTGAGTGGCGCGCGGACGGGAGTGAGGGGCCAGCAGTCGTGGCAGCGCACTGACGCCGCCGCCGCCGCGCAGTCAACAACATCGGCACCATCGCCAAGTCCGGCACCAAGGCCTTCATGGAGGCCCTCTCGTCGGGCGCCGACATCTCGATGATCGGCCAGTTCGGCGTCGGCTTCTACTCGGCCTACCTCGCCGCCGACAACCTGCAGCTCATCACCAAGCACAACGACGACGAGCAGTACATCTGGGAGTCGGCCGCCGGCGGCACCTTCACCATCACGCCCGACACGGTCAACCCGTCGCTCGGCCGCGGCACGGAGCTGCGCCTCTTCCTCAAGGAGGACCAGATGGAGTACATGGAGGAGAAGCGCATCAAGGAGATCGTCAAGAAGCACTCCGAGTTCATCAGCTACCCGATCCAGCTCGTCGTGTCCAAGGAGGTCGAGGAGGAGGTCGAGGCCGACGAGGAGGAGAAGGACGCCGACGACGAGAAGAAGCCCAAGATCGAGGAGGTCGAGGACGAGGACGACAAGAAGACCAAGGCCAAGAAGACGGTCAAGACGGTCAAGACGGAGAACGAGGAGCTGAACAAGACGAAGCCGCTGTGGACGCGCGACCACCAGAGCATCACGCCCGAGGAGTACGGCGCCTTCTACAAGTCGATGAGCAACGACTGGGAGGACCACCTGGCCGTGAAGCACTTCTCCGTCGAGGGCCAGCTCGAGTTCAAGGCGCTGCTCTTCGTGCCGAAGCGTGCGCCGTTCGACCTCTTCGAGACGAAGAAGAAGCGCAACAACATCAAGCTGTACGTGCGCCGCGTCTTCATCATGGACGACTGCGAGGACATCATCCCCGAGTACCTCAACTTTGTGCGCGGCGTCGTCGACTCGGAGGACCTGCCGCTCAACATCTCGCGCGAGACGCTGCAGCAGAACAAGATCCTCAAGGTGATCCGCAAGAACGTCGTCAAGAAGACGCTCGAGATGATCAGCGAGATTGCCGAGGACAAGGACAACTTCACCAAGTTCTACGAGGCGTTCGGCAAGAACATCAAGCTCGGCATCCACGAGGACGCGGCGAACCGCAGCAAGCTGGCCGAGTTCCTGCGCTTCCACTCAACGAAGAGCGGCGACGAGCTGACGAGCCTCAAGGAGTACATCACGCGCATGCCCGAGATCCAGAAGAACATCTACTACCTCACCGGCGAGTCGCTCGGCGCCGTCAAGGACTCGCCGTTCATCGAGGTGCTGAAGCGCAAGGGCTTCGAGGTGCTGCTCATGGTCGACCCCATCGACGAGTACGCCGTGACGCAGCTCAAGGAGTTCGACGGCAAGAAGCTGGTGTGCGTGTCGAAGGAGGGCCTCGAGCTCGAGGAGACGGACGAGGAGAAGAGCACGCGCGAGGCCGAGGCGCAGGGCATCGAGGAGCTGTGCGCGACGATGAAGGAGATCCTCGGCGACAGCGTCGAGAAGGTCGTGCCGTCGAACCGCGTCGTCGGCTCGCCGTGCGTGCTCGTCACGGGCCAGTTTGGCTGGTCGAGCAACATGGAGCGCATCATGAAGGCGCAGGCGCTGCGCGACCCGTCGATGTCGACGTACATGGCGTCGAAGAAGACGCTCGAGATCAACCCGAGCAACGCCATCATCAAGGAGCTGAAGAGCAAGGCGGCGGCGGACAAGGGCGACAGCACCGTGTCGAGCCTCGTGCACCTGCTCTACGACACGGCGCTGCTCTCGTCGGGCTTCTCGCTGCCGAACCCGGCCGACTTCAGCTCGCGCCTGTACAAGCTCATCAGCCTCGGCCTCAGCATCGAGGAGGAGCCTGAGGCGGCGGCGCCGGCGGCGGCCGAGGACAAGGCCGAGGAGGCGTCGGCCTCGCAGCTCGAGAGCATCGACTAGGCGTGCCGTGTGCCGCCCCGTGTGTATGTCTCGCGCCCCCTCACCCCCTCAGCATGTGTGCCTTCTCTCTCTACATCATCTACACGCGCCGCTGTTTGTACAAAATGAAAAGTCATGACACCACCGGTGCGAGTGAGGTGGATGGCAGGCATGTGTGGGCGAGCGGAGGCGGTGCGCTCTCTGCATGCTGGCTGCAGCTTCTCGCGCGCGCCGCACCGGCCGGCCGGCATCGCGCGCCGGGCCGGGCGGGCGCAGCCACGGCTCGCAGCCAACGCGCCTTCCCCGCATCGCCCAGCCTCCTTCCCCACACCCACCACGCACCATGTCCGACGCCGCCAAGTCCGCCTACGAGGCCACCGTGGCACGCCTCACGGCCATCCGTGCGCACCTCGAGAGCGCGCCGCGCCGCGGCCGCCTCGCCGGCAAGGTCGCCGTCGTCACGGGCGCCGGCTCGCGCAGCGGCATCGGCCGCGCCGCCGCCACGCTCTTTGCCCACGAGGGCGCGCGCCACGTCTACTGCCTCGACTTTGACGCCAGCAACTTCGAGGAGCTGGCACAGCTGCTCAACAAGCGCTACCCGGACGTCAAGGTGTGTCGCCGTGGGATGGGCCAGTCTGGGCAAGGTCGGGCCAGGAGTGGCGGCCATGCCGTGCAGCAGGCAGAGGGAAGGACTAGGCAGAGGGAAGGACTGGACTGGCGGCCATGCGCTACAGCCGGCGCCGCGCTGGGCTGTCCGCGATGCCTGTGTTCGTGCACTGCTGTGCTGCCAGACGCAGGCCTGCTGAGGCGGCAGAGCGTGGAGGCCCACAGCGACCGCCGTGATGGAATGCCAGTGGCCCTGCACAGCGCAGCCGCCGCCAAGGATCGACTCTGTGCCGTACGCTGACGTCCGGCGCGCCAGGTCACGACGCACGAGTGCGACGCGGCCGACGAGATGGCGATCAAGGACATCTGCCAGCGCGCGCTCAAGGAGGAGGGCCAGCTCGACGTCTTCTTCGCCAATGCCGCCGTCGCGTCGGCGGCGCCCATCGTCGCCACCGACGCCGAGGACGTCATGGAGATCTTCCGCATCAACGTCTCGAGGTGCGTGCGGGCGAGTGGCGGCACTGCGGCGGGCGGCGGGCGGCGAGTGCGGCACTGCGTACGCAGAGCGCCGCCGCGGCGTCCTCGGATCACCCATCCTCGCGCGTGCTCAGAGCGCCCAGCCTCATGCATCCTCCCACAGCTGCTTCCACGCCGTCAAGTACGCGTCGGCGGCGATGAAGGTGACGTCGGCGCGCAAGCCGGCGCCCGGCGGCTCCATCGTCCTCACGGCGAGCGTGGCGGGCCTGCGCTCGGGCGCCGGCTCGGCCGACTACTCGGCGAGCAAGGCGTCCGTCATCTCGCTGGCACAGACGAGCGCGTGGCAGTTTGGCGGCACGGGCGTGCGCGTCAACGCCGTGTGCCCCGGGCTCATCGAGACGGGCATGACGCTGCCCGTGTTCGAGAGCGCAAAGGAGCGCGGCACGGCCGCCAAGATCGGCCAGCTCAACCCCACGAAGCGCTACGGCGCCGCAGAGGAGGTGCGTGGCGCGCAGATGCGCGTGATGCCGGCTTGTCTGCTGACTGTGGCCCCCTCTTCTGCCAGATCGCCAACGCCGTGCTCTTCCTCGCGTCCGACGAGGCGTCGTACGTCAATGGCATCGCCATGCCCGTCGACGGCGGCCTCAGCGCGTCGCACCCCGTCATGCCGGGCAAGCTCGCCTGAGCACACGTGCAGAGTACGCACAGAACAAGGCCGCACACCCCGCACACTCATGTCTCTTGATCCCCCGCGCCGAGGTCCCGTCTCCGCATTGTCATCGTCTTATCCCAAGCGGCCGGTGCGATGATTAGCGGTGACATTGCGTTGCCCTTCTTCTACGCTTCTTATGCGCCTGCTTCCTCCTGCCGGATGCGCTCCTCGGCGCGCCGGCGTGCCGTCTCGCGCATGCGCAGCAGCGTCGCCGCCTCGTAGTCGTCGGTCAGCGTAGAGGAGGCAGAGGCGGGCATGCTCTGCGGCGGGCGAGGGGTGTCAGCGCCGCGCGGTCGCGTCGGCGCCTGCCTGCGCCACTCACAAAGGAGAAGGACGGCGCCGCGGCCTGCTCCTTGGGCTCGGGCCTCGCCCATCCTGGCGGCAGGTCCTCTTCTGGTGCTGGCGGTGCCGCGGGCTTTGCCGGCGCGCCCAGCTTGCCCCTCTCGCGCAGCCACGCGATGCGCTGCGGCTCGCCGCTGTCCTTGCTGCGGCCCTTGCCCTTCTCCGCGGCCGCCCACTGCACATGCACGTCCTCGAGCAGCGCGCTCGCCGCGTCGACGGCGCAGCGCAGCTCCGCGCCGGCACACACGGCGGCGTAGGCGGCGTCGAGCGTGGCGAACGTCGCCAGCGCCGTGGCCTCGCGCTTGCCCGCCTTGGGCGTGCTCAGCGCCAGGTGCTGCAGCGCGCCGAAGCGCGCGCTCAGCGCTCGCGCCAGCGGCGTGGCGAGCGGCGAAGACGAGGAGGGCGCATCAGCGCCAGAGAGCGCAGCGTACTGCTCTGCCGGGAAGCGCAGGCGCACAGTCAGGTCCAGCGGTCCTGCGAGAGAAGGCGGATCAGCCAGCGTCTCGCGCATTCGCCGCTGGCACTCACCGAGCTCCGGGCCCTGCTCCTCTGCCGGCGCCGCCTGCTGCGCGGCCGCCGGCGCCTGCTGCTTGGCAAGGCCCTCTGCGGCGGCCTCCTCGCGCGCACGCTGGCCCTCCTCGCGCAGGCGGCGCCCCTCCTCCTTGAGGCGTGCGAGTGTCTCCTCGCGCGCCTGCGCCTCGCGGCGCCCCTGCGTGCGGCGGCGCGCGCCCTCGCGCTCGTCGCGCTCCAGCTCGTCGGCCATGGCCTTGCGCTTGCCCTCGAAGGCCTGCCTGCGCTCGTTCTGCGCGCGCTCGACGCGGCTCTTCTCGGCGGCGGCGGCGCGCGCGGCGGGGTCCATGAGCTCGTCGTACGCCACCTTGACGGCGTGGAAGCGCGCGGCGGCGACGTCGGCGGGCACGTCGCGCGCCTTGTCGGGGTGCAGCGCGAGCGAGAGCTTGCGGAACGCCTTGCGGATCTCGGCCTCGCTGGCCGTCGCCGGCAGGCCGAGCGCGGCGAAGGGATCGAGCTTCTCGGGCATGCTGGGTGGATGTGGTGGTGCGGAGCCAACCTCCACGCGCGCGTCAGAGATGCTGGATGATGTGCTGCCGCGGCTGCACTTTACGCGCTTGCTGCGCGCGTCGGACGCGTCCACCTCCTCCCTCTCCACCCCATCGACCCCTCGCTCACACCCCCGCCATGGCCCACGCGCTGGGTGCGCGCAGCAGCGGCGTGCCCAGCGTCGGCCCGCCGGCGCCGCAGCTGCCGCGCGCCACCTTCCGCCACCTCCTCTCCGCCGGCTCGCTCGTGCCCGCCAACCCGCTGCGCGTCATTGCGCACTGCGACGTCGACGCCGCCTACGCGCAGATGGAGGGCGCACGGCTGGGCGTCGACGCACACGCCGTGCCGCTGTGCGTGCAGCAGTGGAACGGGCTCATCGCCATCGGCTACAAGGCGCGCGAGTACGGCATCAGCCGCCACGAAACCGTCGCCGAGGCGCTGCGCAAGTGTCCCGGCCTCGTGCTTGTGCATGTGGCCACGTATGCCGTGAGTGCCATGAGCAGAGCGTGGTGGGGTGCGATGCAGCAGTGTGGCGGCAGGCCCAGCCCCTGCAGCTGGCAGCTCGGCCTCGCCGACGGCAGCGGCGCTGACGCACCAGCCCGCAGGCCGGCTCGACGGCCGCCGAGTATCATCCCGACCCGAGCCCCACGACGCACAAGGTCAGCCTCGACCTGTACCGGCGCGAGTCGCTCAAGATCCTCGCCATCTTCAAGCGCTGCTGCCCGCTCGGCGCCGTCGAGAAGGCGAGCATCGACGAGAGCTACTTTGACCGTGAGCGGCGGCCGCTGTCTCCGCCTCGTGATGCGCCGGCTGCTTACACTTCGCATGTCAGTGACGATCGAGGTGCGCAAGCTCATGCTCGAGCTCTTTCCGTACCTCGCCTCGCCGCCCGCCGAGGCCGACGGCGGCCTGGACGCCTTCCTGCCCGACCTCGTGCCGACGCCCGCGTGGAGCGCGCTGCAGGGCGAGCTGGCGCCGCGCGACGAGACGCTGCCGTGGACGTGGACCGACGTGGCGCTCAACTGTGGCGCCACCATCATGGCACGCGTGCGCGCAACCGTCGTCCAGGAGCTGGGCTACACCACGTGAGCTGCTCTGAGCGCGCTGGCTGCTGCGGGGCTGACGCATCGTTCAGCTCGGCGGGCATTGCGTCAAACAAGACACTCGCGAAGCTCTGCTCCAGCATGCACAAGCCTAACAAGCAGACAACAATGGTGCCGTCGGGCGTGCCGCTCTTCTTGCGTGCGTCGACCTGTGTCGCGCGTAGTGGCGACTCTGCTGACTGCTGTTGCCAGAGGACCTGCCGTTCCAGAAGATCCGCTTCCTGGGTGGCAAGCTGGGCGATGCCGTCGCTAGCGAGTGGGAGTCGTCGAGCGTCGGTGGCTTGTGGAACGTGAGCCGCGAGGAGATGCGCGCCAAGTGAGTCTCACGGCCGCATGGCTTGACTGGCCGCTGATGCTGGCCGCCAGGTTCGGCGAGGAGAGCGACTGGGTGTTCAACGTGCTGCGCGGCGTCGACCACTCGGCCGTGCTGGACCGTGTGGCGACAAAGACGATGCTGGCGTCCAAGTCTGTGCGGCCACCGATCCGCACGACGGCCGAGGCGGACCACTGGCTCGGCATCTTGGCCGTCGAGCTCGCTGGCCGGCTCGCTACAGCGCGCGAAGAGCGGCCCGGCCTATGGCCCAAGGTGCGTTGCTGCCTCCGAGCCTTACATATGGCCGCGCTGACATGGGCAGATAGACTCTGACGCTGCGCTACATCGTCGCAAGCGAGACGCCGCGCTCGCGGCAGGCCGCGTTCCCTTTCGCGCGCGACGTCTCGATTGAGTGCCTCACCGTGGCGCGCCGGCTGTGGGCCGAGGCGCTGGGCGAGCGTGCCTCGTTTACCGTCGTGACGGTTGCGCTGGGCTTCTCGGGCCTCGAGGCGACGCAGGGCGGGCAGAAGGGCATTGCGGCGTTTCTGGCCGCACCTGGCGCCTCGCATGCCTCCGCTGGCGCCTCCGCCAGTGCACCGCGCAAGGAGATCACTCCGCCTGTCGTGTCGAAGCCGGCCAAGCCGCGTCGCGACGGCATCGCGGCCATGTTCCAGCGCTCCGGCAACGCCGTCGCCTCGAGCTCGACGCTCAAGCCGCCGTCGCCGGCCCTCGCTGCTGATGACAGGCGCAGCTCTGGCTCTCCTGCCGCGCCCGACGATGCGGACACTTGGCAGTGCGGCGAGTGTGCAGAGCGTCTCTTCTACAAAGACGACCTCGCCGCAGTGCCGCTGCCTCCGCCACCACGAGTGGAAGCGCAGCCCAAGGCACACGCCGCTCCGGCGCTGCCGAACGAGGACGACGACGGCGACTTCTTTGCCTCAGACGACGACAAGGCGGTAGCTCCAGGCGCCAGCGGGCCCGATGGGTCAGCAGCAGCCGCAGCGGCGGAGCGAGAGACAGAGGCGCGACGCCGCTTTGAGGCGCGCAAGGTCGACCACAGCGACTGGCACTTTGCCATGGCCCTCTCGGCCGCCGACGCTGCGCCGCGGATAGCGCCCAGCAGCTCCACCACGGCGCAGGGCTCGGCGAAGCGCAAGGCCGACGCCGAGCGCGACAAGGGCCGCAAGAAGGCTGCGAGGGGCGGGATCCGCAGCTTCTTCACGTCGTGACGGCGCAACGCATGGCAATCTATGTATTAGTAGGGGAGTAGTGTGTATGTCGGCTGCAGCGGAGTCGCTTCACGGCACGGGCAGGGCGAGCTGTGTCGCGGAGAGCGGCATGCGAAAGAGCACATGGACAGAGCGCTTGCGAGGCGCTGGCTCTGTGACTGCGCTCCTCAGAAGCAGGAACAGACCATAGCCAACATCCTCGGCTGGTCGCAGGGACGTTGCCGTTCAAGACATCTCCCTTCAGGCCCTTCCCGACGGGAAGAGACTGCGCGGAGATGTTCTGCTGACAATGTCCCTGCGACCAGCACGAGAGCTACGCTAGAGCCTGCGCTTGCACCCGAAGAGACGCAGGACAGGGGTCCTAGCCGCACCACCGGCAGCTCTGTCCTCGCTCAGCGTCTCATGCCACGCAAGCGCCTCGTCTACCGCTGCGTCGCGCGATGAGGCGAGAGGGCCTGTAGGCGCAACTGTTCGTCGTGTGGCTGCGACGGCGGCGGCAGTCCAGCGACGCGCAGCGCCTGCAAAGCCTGCTTTGCAATGATGGCGTGTGCGCGAGTCTGCGAGGCAAGAAGTGACGGTCGTCAGATCTGCGTGGCATCTGGGCCTTTGGCATGCGACCGCGCGCTCACGCTCGGGTGGTAGAGGTCCCAGTAGACGTACTCGTCCGGCTCGTCGCAGAGTCGGCGCGGCGCCTCGCCGTACGCGCCCTCGAGGCACGGCGTGTCGGCGTGTTTGAACTCGTGCGCATGCGCATCGAGGCTCGTCTCAAAGAGCACGATGGCGACGTCGAGCGGGTGGCGCGCCTTATAGAGCGCCACCTGGGCGCTGACGGCGGCGCGCAGTGCGGCGGAGTAGCGCGCCAGCTGTGAGCGAATGGCGGACGAGGCGGAGAGGGCGTATGGACTCGAGGAGAGCATGGGGCCGAGCGGCAGCAGGAAGGTGCGAGCGCCTGTGGTGTGCGTCAGCGCATGCGAGAGGAGGGATGGTCAGAGTCTCCCGCACCATGCTTGCGTAGGCGCTCGACGCCCTGCTGGATTAGCTCAGCGGACTGCGCAGCAAAGCGCTCGGGCGAGTCGAAGAGCGGCGTGCCGAGGGCAAAGAAGGCGCTGGACGCGGGCACGTCAGCCATGCGAGCCCAGAGGAGTCTCCTGCCTGTACGCACTCGTTGGAGCCGCCGGAGACGACGTAGAGCTCATCGCACGCCGGCGTGTGCTTGGCGAGATAGCGCTCGATCTGCGCAAAGACACCGGGCACCGGGACTGAGCACCAAGGGTCAGCGCTTGTGGACGGCGAGCATTATGCGTCCGCGAGCATGCTTCACTCTCCTCCGAGCGAGCAGTGCCCTCTGCAAGCTCGTCATGGGCACTGCCCATCCTGGCTGGCACCCTCTCTACTGTGCTGCACTGCGCTGCCACGCACTGGTCGAGTTGATGCCGGTGTAGCCCTGCACGCGCACATCGTCGAGCGTGGCGCCGCCGAACGCGCCGTCGTCGAGGCCGCGGTCCAGCGGCGGCGCAAAGTACGCCTGTGCCACGTACTCGATCCACGTCGGCCCGTTGCTGAAGCGCCCGTCAAAGTAGGCCGCATCGGCGGGCCATGCGCGGCGCGTGAGGGCGAAGCTGCCGTTGCCGTTGTCGGAGAGCGAGTCGCCGAAGAGGACGATGCGCGCGGGCGTGCTGCGGCGGCGGCTGCTGCTGCCCAGCGGGCGCGCGGCAGTGGGCAGCAGGTGCAGCAGCAGCGGCAGCCAGGCGCAGAGCAGCAGCACGGGCAGTGGCAGCACCATGGCGCGGGTGTGGGCGGTGTGAGCCAGGCGGTGCACGGCGAGCAGCAGCCTCGGCACCTTGGACGCGCCGAGCCGGCCGCGCCCCTCCACATCGCCGCCGATGAGCGCCGCAGCGCATCTTCTCCTCCCGCCTCATCAAGCCGCGCAAGCATGGACACGTCTGCCTCAAGCAGCAGTGGCAGCAACGGCGCCGCCGCCGCACACGCCGCCTCCGCGCGCGTGCACCATCTGCCCGGCCATCCGCTGCCCTTCCTGGCGTCCGGCGGCCCGCTGTGCTGCTCCGGCGCCGACGAGGGCGGGCGCGTGGATCTCTTTGCGCGCTCGCTGCGCCGCCCGCTGCTGCTCTTTCTGCACCCACATGTGCAAGCGACGGGCGACTGTGCGGCAGCGCAGCACCTGCGCGCCGTCGCCGCCGCTCGTCCCGCATGGCTGCGTGCCGAGCCGCAGCTCGAGGTGCGTCGCAACAGCGCCGGCCTGCCCTTCGGCCGCTCACCCCCTTCCAGGTCTTCGGCGTCAGCACGCAGCCCGAGCAGTCGCTGCGCACCGCCGCTGCCGCGCTGCGCCTACCGTACGCGCTGCTCAGCGACGCCGAGGAGCGGGCCTTTGTCGCGCCGCTCGAGCTGCCGTGCGATGCTGGCGGCCAGCTGAGCAGCGTGACGCTGCTGCTGCGCGACGGCCAGGTGAGGGATGGCATGGTCTTCTGTGTGCTTCCCGACTGACGGTGCGGCTCATGAAGGTCACACGTGTCGACCTGCCCGAGCTGGAGGCGCAGGCCGAGGCGCTGCAGCGCCGCACGCTGGCGCTGCTCAAGCCCGATGCGCCGCCAGAACAGACGCAATAGACAGAATGAAGGAATGGACCTGCCAGACCAGTACCGAGAGACAGTAGTGGAGACAGCTTGGCACGGTTGTGTATGTCAGGCGCTCGTGCCATGCGCTGCCTGCCAACAAGTTGCTGAGCGGCGGAAGGAGGACGAGCAGGAAGCTGGAGAGGCGATGTCCCGCAACAGACGCGAGCTGGCCGATGGCGAGGATGTATATGCGTCAAAATGTAGCACTGCTGAAGCTGAGCCGACTCAGCTGGCGCTTGAGTCGCTCCGGTTGCGCGGCGCGCCTCGCTGCCGCTACGTCTGCTTTGGAGGGGCGGGAAGCGGGTGAACCTGGCGGTGCGGGCGTTGCATGCCGCGTGGCTCGTGCGCGCCGCACGCCAAGCCACGTTGCATTTCCGCCGTCGGCGCTGGTCTCTTCTCCACCGCATCCACCTGCCCACACTGCCCAGCATGGTGCGTGCCGTCTGGCCCACACACGCTCGTGCCCTGCTCACGCCTGCCGCAGCCGTTCCACCCGGCCAAGCAGTACATGGAGAAGCTCGACGCTGCGACGGCGGGCAGCGTGGCCAAGCTGCGCGAGCAGACGGGCGCCGGCAGCAGCACGACGCTGCGCGACCGCCTCGACCTCGCGCGCGGCAAGGCGGCGGTGGACAAGCGCTGGGACGCCAGCGGCGCCAAGCCGCTCGGCGACGGCGACGACGACGCCAGCAACATCACGCCCGTCAGGGCGCCGGGGCGCGCTCCGCCGGCGCCGGCCAGCCGCATCGCGGGTGGGGTTCCTCCACCGCCGCCAGCTCGTGGCGCCGTTCCACCACCGCCTGCGCGTGGCTCCGCACCGCCGCCGCCATCGCGAGGCTCTGCACCGCCGCCACCGCCAGCACGCGGCGGCACCGCCCCCTCGCTGCCGCCGCGCATGGCAAACGAGAGCGGCACGGCACACCCGCCGCCGGCGTACGGCTCGGCCGTGGCGCCGCCGCCGCCGCCGCCGCGCTCCAACTCGGCCGCCAGCGTGGCCACGCAGCAGGCGCCGCCGTTCCAGTGGAGCAGCATCAGCGACGAGGACAAGGCGGCCTTCTTTGAGATGCTCGACGAGGTGCGTGTGTGGCCTGCAGCGCAGGTCGAGAGGCGTGGAGAGGCGTCGAGGAAGACGTGGAGGAGACGTGGAAGGCATCAGCTGCTGTCAATGCTGCTGGCATGCCTCTGACGCTTGCTTTCGAGCAGTCCTGATGCTCACATCTCTGCCTGCAGTTCTTCACCTCGCGCCTCTCGCTCTCGCACGCACCGCCGCCGCGCCGCACGGGCGATGCCACGCACGTCCTCGCACCGCGCATGCCTGCGGCCGCACCAGCCGTCGCAGCAAGTAAGGCTCCCACTGCGCCGTCTGCAGCTGCCGCTCCCGACGGCGTGCCCTCGCTCTCTGCATCCTCACATGCGGGCGAGGCCATCCCGCTGGCATGGGACGCCTCGCTCTTCTTCCAGGAGCGCACCGACGCGGCCTGGCGCGGCGCCTCGCCGTGGTTTACGCAGCACTCGCAGCCGCCGCCGCCGCTGGCGCAGCGCAAGGACCTCATCTGGAGCAGCAGCTACTCGTACATGGGCTCGGACCGCGCTCTCGTGGGAGCTGCAGCCTTCGAGGATCTCAGCGCGCTGTGGTGCGTGCCTGCGGTGTGCACGCGTTCGTTCTCACTGACGCGTGGCTGCCAGGTACCGCGTGAGCTGGACGCAGGCCGCGTCGCCGCACGTCGAGCTGGCGTGGCGCCGTGCGCCCGAGGCGCTCGACGCTGCCGCACTGCAGGCCGGCAGTGCTGCCTATGGCGACCTCGTCGCCTCGTTTGCCGAGCGCGCCGAGGCGGCGCAGCAGCACGTCGGCGACGGCGAGTGCTGGACGCTGGCGCACGAGGCGCTGCTTAACGCCAACCGCGAGGGCGGCTTCGCGCAGGAGGAGCGCTGCTGTGAGTCGCACACCTCGTTCGCAAGCCCGATTCTTGCTCACGCGCTGCACAGTCGAGGGCATTGGGCGCACGCACGGGCATCTCATCTATGCCGCCACGCCCGCCGGCGGGCGCTGGCGCGGCGGCGACCTCGCACGCGCCGAGTGGGGCGGCGTTCGCCGCGGCGACATCCTCGAGTGGCGCGAGGCGCGCTGCAGCGTCGTCGGCGCGCCGCAAGGCAGCTACATGGACATCGGTGCGCCCGAGCACACGGCTGTTGTCGTGGCGGATGCGCCCGTGCCGCGTGACCTGGACTTCGAGGAGGAAGGGACCGAGATGCACCCGCGCGAGCTGGAGCCCATCGAGGTGGTGGAGCAGAGTGCGCGCGAGGTGAGCCTGCCCTCTCTGCTGCCGTGCCGAGCCGTGCCCTGACGCTGCCCCTCTGCAGCTGCCGACACGCCGCACATACGACTTTGCCACCTTCACGCGCGGCCAGCTCTGGATCTACCGACCGATCGCGGAGCACAGCTACACGGGCGGCGCCGTGTCGGCGCAGTGGCCGCCCGTGGGCGAGCGCATCGAGCCGATCGCCTGAGGCCTCTCGTGCGGCCCTGCATCGCTGCTCACCACTGCTTCACAGCATGTAGATATCGCGTGACCTGGGTGCCATGTCATTGTCCCTTTTGTGCTGCTCTATTGCCGCAGCTCCTCGCCCGCAGCGGGCCGCTCAAAGACGCGCAGCGCGCCGCGGAAGGCCTCGCTCCACGCCACGCCCTGCTCGGTGCGCAGCACCTCGTACGCCTCGAGCGTGTTGCGCCACTCGCGCTCCTTGCGGAAGCGCTCCTCGCGCAGCTCGGCCTCGCTCTTGGGCGGGTCGTTGGTCTCCATCTTGGTCGCCTCGCGCTCGCCGCGCACGAGGCTGCGCGTGTCCTGCAAACGCCGAGGCAGGCCGTCGTAGAACTCCTTGCGCTGCTTCTCGACGAGCTTCTGCGTCTTGCGGAAGCGCGGCAGGATAAAGTCGTCGGAGCGCAGGCCCCAGTCCAGGTCGCCGCCCTGCGGCGGCGGGCCGTCGCGCGGCTGCGCCGGGGCGTCGAACTCGCGCGCCGTCTGCACCGTGCCGAGCGCCAGCTGCAGCGCCACCTCGCCGCCGGCGCGCACCTTGGCGCGCTCGTTGAAGAAGCCGACGAGGCGGCGCGGCATGTAGCGCAGGCCCACGAGGTTCACGTAGTCGGCAAAGACGAGCGGCGGCTGCGCGGGGATCTGCGCCGGCGGCGCCAGCAGCTCGGGCGCCACGCTCGGCGCAGCCTCGGCCGGCGGCGGCTTGCGCCCAGCGGGAGAAACGGGCGAGGAGAGGTACGAGGAGACGCCGAGCGAGCCCTTGCCGAGCCGGCTGGGCAGCGGCGCGCCGGCGCCGTCCGCCTCGCCCTGCCACTCGTCGTCGGCGACGCTGGCGGCAGCCGCAGCAGCGCGCGAGGCCGCGTCTTCGCCGGGCACCGCATCGCCGAAGAGCTCCTCGCCGTCCTCCTTCTTCGGCACGACCTCGTCGAACGCGCTGTCCTCGGCCAGCAGGCGCGCCAGCGGCTCGTCGGTGTCCTCGCGGCGCGGTGGCAGCGCGCGGCTCCAGCCCTGCTGCAGGCCCCACATGTACTCCTTGTACGCCGGGCGGCCCACGAGGATGATGCCGCCGTCGAGCTCGCGCTGCAGCGCCGCCTGCGGCGTGAGGGCGAAGGGCGTGTGCTGCAGCAGCTGCGCCTGCGCCGGCGGGTCCGACGGCGACGCGCCGGGCCCCGACGGCTGCGTGCCCCACGCCTCGAGGCCGAGCAGCTGGCGCCGGCGCGCAAAGATGCGCTCGCGCACCTCGCGCCCAAGGCCGCCGAAGCGCGTGCCGTTGGTGATCTCGTAGTCGACGGCCGCGGCGACGAGGATGGGCTGGACGGGATGCGTCAGCCATGCGCAGCGAATGTGGCCACTTGCCGCAGCAGGTGTAGTGGAGCAAATGCAGCGCAGCCGGTGCAACCTCGCACATGGCACTGCACGCGCAGCAGAGGCCCTCAGGCCGCCCAAGCAGCACTGCTCGCTCTTGCACCGCTCACGCCGCGCTCCACACGCGCGCTCACCTTGACGTATTTCTTGAACCAGATGACGCTCTTCTCGTAGTCGTCGTCGCCGGGGCACTTTGCGCAGAGGACGTGCACCTTGCGCGGCCACTCGGCGGGCGCCAGCGGCTGCTCGCGCAGGTGGCGCACCTGCTCGACGAGCTCGGCACGCGCCACCTTGGCCTCGCGGCGGTCGTACACGTAGAGCGTGGTGAGCGTGGCCGAGGTGCTGAGGAAGATGAGCCAGTTGCGCGACGGCAGCTTGGGCTGCCAGCGCAGCACCGACGCCGGCACGCCCATGTAGCGCAGCGGGCGCAGCGCCGAGGGGATGGGGCGCAGCGGCGCCGGAGCCGGCTTGGGCGGCGGCGCGGCAGCTGCGGCAGCCGCGGCACTGCTGCTGCTGCCGGACGCTGCCGCGCTGCCGCTGGCGCCCGGCGAGGGCGGCGGAGGCTGGGACATGGTGGTGGGGAATGCGGCACGAGGCCGCGCCGGAGCTTCGCTTGTCCTCGCCGGCGCATCCGTGAAGCGCCGCCGCGGCCAGAATTTGGCGCGGGCCGCGCACGTGATGCAGCTGCGCGGCGGCAGCCCCCGATAGCGGCGCGACCGGCGCCAGCCCGCGGTCACTTTGACTGGCCTCCTCTGGCTCGGCGCAGTTGCGAGGCTTTGTGATGCAGCCTGGTGTAGAGTCACACAATTAGAGAGCCGTCTTTGTGTGCTTCCGACGTTCTTGCGAGGTTTAGGGAGGACGGGCAGCGAGCCGGGCGCGCGGCACCTCCACTCCCGGCGCGCGGTGCTGCCGCTGGGCGGCAGCCGAGCGCGCGCGGCGCGCATCCGTCGCGCGGCGAGATGCGCGCGCTCCGCCGCGCCTCGTTTCTTGCCCTTCTCCGTATCCGCATCCTCCAGTCCGACTTCCCACATCTCTCAGCCCACAGCTGGTCCTCTAGACGTTGCTGCTGGCGTCTGCGCACTGCGGAAGGCTTGTTCCGTTGGACGGCATCTGCGCAGCTCAGAACGCGCGTCTTGACACTGCTCCGTCTTCGCACCGCTCCGACTTACGCGCGAGAGCAGGCAGCTGCCACCTCGGAGGGTCGCAGGGTCCGTCTGGGTCGGGTCTGCATCTGTGGGAAGCGCTGAGAAAGGTGAGTGGCAGGTTCCATGCGGGCACCGGCGGCGGAACGGGCGCGAGGCGTCTAGAAGCCGGCGGCGGACACGGCGCACGGGGCACACGGCGGGAGCGCAGAAGCAGCGAGCAAGCGTCAGCATCGGCGCATCGGCTGCGGCCGTAGAGGTATGAAGCAGCAGCAGCACCACGCTGCAGTGTGTGGCCTTGGCTGCGATGCTCTGCAGCCGCTGCGGCTCTGCTGGGGTGCGTGAGGATCGGGGCGCGGTGCTCAGGGGGCTGCCGCGCTGCGTGCATGTGCCGCGTGCCGGGCTGGGCTCTGCCGCCAGAGCCGGCCTGATAGCAGCGCTGTTCGACGAGGCTGGGGCGCACACCGCACAGCAGCAAGCGGCGGCCGGGTGTGCTTGAGTTGCGGCCGCACCGGCGCGAGCCTGTGGCTCACGAGGTCGTCCATCACCACACCGCTCTGCTCTCCACCACCACCCGCGCGGCCGCTGACCATGCCTGCGCCCTTCGCCCCGCCTCCGCCGCACGATGCGCTGCGCTCGCCGCACAGTACCACCAGCGCTGCCTGTGCGCCGCTCGACGCCTTTGAGCTCAAGCACGGCCTCGAGCTCGGCCTCTCGCGCGCACGCCTCGTCGCCGCCTCGCCTGCGCACCTCTTTGCCTCGCTGCACGGCCACAGCGAGCGCAGCCTCTGCCCTGCCTCGGGCCGCGCACGCCCCTCCATCGGCCCGCCGCTGCCGCCGGGCGTCGCCTACGCGCCGCCGCGCCGCGTCTCCTACTCGGCCGCTGCGTCCGCCTCGGCGCCGCGCTGCCTGCTGCCGCCGCCGCCCGACCACGCCGCCCTGCTGCCGGCCACGATGCCGCCGTCGGCCGCGCCGCCGCCGCTGACGCCCAACGTCTACGCCGAGGAGCCGCCGTTCTGCGACTCGCCCGCGTCGGGCTCGCGCTCCGCCGGCGCCGCACGCAGCAACGGCGCCGGCTCGTCGTCGGGCTCCTCCGCCAAGCCGTCCACGCCCGCCTGCCGGCCTGATGCACAGCCCGAGATCGACGCGCGCTTCCACCGCGCCGACGGCATCGGCGGCCTCGGCCAGGGCACGGCGGCGACGGGCGACCGCGGCGCCCAGGCGCGCTTCGAGACGCTCGACGAGATCCGCACCGCCAACGCCGAGCTGACGGCCGAGTACGCGGCGCGCCACGCCGGCGCGCCGCTGAGCGGGCGCATCATCCATGTGAGCCACTACCTGCCGTTTGTCATCCGTGCGCGCGCCGAGGTCGAGCACGAGCGGCAGCGCGAGCAGCGTGTCAGCGCCACGGCCAACGTCGCCGCCATGGCCGCGGCGGCGCGCGCCAAGAAGGCCGCGCGCCTCGCGGCACAGCAGGCTGAGGGACTCGACGCTACGGCGGGCAAGAACCGCAAGGGCAGCTTCATCGACGGCATGCACGAGACGACGGACCTGGCCAAGAAGCTGGCCGAAAACCAGGCGCGCAGCCGCGTCAAGGCGGGCCGCCGCGCGTGGATGATGACGCCCGTGGTCGACGACGAGGACGAGGAGGACCTCGACGCGCTGCCCAAGGACACCTTCACGCCCATTGGCTCGCGGCGCCAGTCGGCATGGAGCGAGGCGAGCCGGCACATGTCCTTCTCGCAGCACCTCGACGACAACCACTTCTCCGCCGTGTCGGACGAGAACTCGCCGGCACGGACGCCGCAGCGCGTGTTCGCCAGCACGCCGCCGCCGCCACCGCCACCGCCGCCGGAGTGGGTGTTGGCGCCGCGCCGCGGGCACACGGCGCTCAACTCGGGCATCCGCTCGCTCTGCGCCACGCACGCGCAGACATTCATCGGCTGGCCAGGCGACATTGCGTTCGCGGCACAGGCCAAGAACGACGAGCGCAAGGATGCCAGCGAGACGACGCCCAAGGAGCGCGGCGAGATCGAGGGCGTGCTGGCCTCGCTCGACGACGCGCGTAACTGGGCGGCTTACGAGCCGGCCGATACGGGCGCCGGCGCGCCGCAGCAGGGCAAGGTGCCGACGCCGATGATGAACGGCGCCGAGCCCGTCGACGCCAGCGGCCAGCCGGGCAAGGCCGTCGAACACGGCATCAAGTACGTGCCCGTCTGGCTCGACTACAACGTCGCGCACGGCCACTACGAGGGCTACTGCAAGACCAGTGAGTGCGGATAATTGCGCCGCGAGACTCATGGCTGACATTGTCGCACAGCGCTCTGGCCGCTGCTGCACTACCTGCTCTGGCAGGACGTGCCAGCCGACCGGCGTGTCAACTACGACGAGTACGCGTGGGACGCGTACGTGGCGGCCAATGAGGCCTTTGCGCAGCGCATTGCCGCCGAGTATCAGGCCGGCGACATTGTCTGGGTGCACGACTACCACTTGCTGCTCGTGCCGCAGATGCTGCGCAAGCTCGTGCCGGACGCGCACATCGGTCTCTTTGTCCATGCGCCGTTCCCCAGCTCGGAGATCTTCCGCTGTCTGCCACGTGAGTGAAGCGTGCGTACACGGGCAGATCCATACCACTGACGCTGCTTCCTCTGCAGAGCGCCGCGAGATCCTCGACGGCATGCTCGGCGCCAATCTGGCCTGCTTCCAGGCCTTCTCGTACTCGCGCCACTTCCTCTCTTCCGTTATCCGCGTGTGCGGCTACGAGGCATCGCCGAACACCGTCGAGGCGAGCAATGGGCGTGTCACGACGATTGGCTACAATCCCATCGGCATCGACGCCGAGAAGATTGCGCGCGACAGCCAGGCGGCCGGCGTGGCGCCCAAGATTGCGGCGATCCGCGACATGTACCGCGGCAAGAAGCTCATCGTCGGCCGCGACAAGCTCGACGTGGTGCGCGGCGTGATCCAGAAGCTGCAGGCGTTCCAGAAGCTGCTCGAGGAGTTCCCCGAGTGGCGCGGCCAGGTCGTGCTCATCCAGGTCACGGCGCCGGCGCTCAACGACTCGCCGCTACTCGAGCGCCAGGTCTCGGAGCTCGTCAGCCAAATCAACGGCGAGTTTGGCAGCCTCAACTTCACGCCCGTGCACCACTACCACCAGATCATCGAGCGCGACGAGTACTTTGCGCTGCTCAGCGTTGCCGACCTGCTCCTCGTCACCGCCGTGCGCGACGGCATGTCGACGACGCCGATGGAGTACATTGTGTGCCAGGAGCGCGCTAACAAGGCGCCGCTCATTGCCAGCGAGTTCAGCGGCAGCGTGGGCCGCCTGCGCTCCGCTATCCAGATCAACCCCTGGGCTACGGCGCACGCGTGCAAGGCCATTGACTATGCGCTGCGCCTCTCCGACGAGGAGCGCATCTCGCGCCACGAGCAGCTCTACCACCAGGTCATCAGCCACACGTCGCACACGTGGGCGGCGTCGCTGGTGCGCCTGCTGCTGCAGCGTCTCGTCTCGGCCCATGCCACGCACCTCACGCCGCCGCTCGACCGCATCGCCATGGTGTCACAATTCGAGGGCGCCAAGAAGCGCCTCCTCCTGCTCGACTACGACGGCACGCTCACGCCCATCGTGAAGGATCCCGCAGCGGCTGTGCCGTCGCCGCGCCTGCTTGAGGCGCTCAAGAAGCTCACCGAGGACAAGCGCAACCTCGTGTACGTCATCAGCGGCCGCGACGCCGACTTCCTCGGGAAGCACCTCGGGCACCTCGACAACATGGGCTTCAGCGCCGAGCACGGCGGCTACATGAAGGAGCCCGGCGAGACCGAGTGGCGCAACCTCACCGAGCAGCTCGACATGTCGTGGATGGCTGCGGTGCGCGCCGTGTTTGAGTACTTCACCGAGGTAAGGGTCCAGGAGCGGCCACAGTATGATCTAAGCTGACCACTGAGCCCCTGCAGCGCACGTCGGGCAGCGAGATCGAGGAGAAGAAGAGCGCCATGACGTGGCACTACCGCAAGTGCGTGCCTGTCTGTCCATGCCAGAGTCTGCAACGCGACTGACGCCGTCTCTCCCAGGGCCGACCCGTCGTACGGCGAGTTCCAGGCGCGCGAGGCGCAGGCGCACCTCGACAACCTCGTCGCGCAGCAGAGCCTGCCCGTCGAGGTCATCGTCGGCAAGCGCAACCTCGAGGCCAGACCGCTCGCCGTCAACAAGGGCGAGATCACGCGCCGCATTCTCTACGGTGCGTCCCCACATTATGGCGCACGAGAACGCTGGCTGACCTTTGCTTGCACAGCCAACCCGGACGCCGAGTTTGTGCTCGTGGCGGGCGACGACCGGACCGACGAGGACATGATGCGTGTGCTGTGCGAGCTCAGCCCAGGCCCGCCGACGGCAGCCGAGGCGAATGCCGCCAACGGAGGCAAGAGCAGCAGCAAGAGTTCGACACCGAGCGTGCCTGCGCACTGTGCGGCGGCGTCCTGCCCAGCGCCGAACAGCGCGCCCCTGGTGCTCGCGCCGCCTGCGCCGCTCGGACGTGGCGCCGCAGCGGGCGAGCCCAAGACACTGGAGCTGCGGCCTGCCGGCATCTGGACGTGCCGCGTGGGCCTGGCCGAGACGCTTGCGCACTGGCACGTGCCAGGCCCTGAGGACATCGTCGATGCGCTCGTCGAGCTGGCGGGCCTGCAGAAGCCGCATGTGACCCAAGAGGCCAAGGAGGTGCAGGACGGAGCAGAGGCCTAGTAAGGCGACTTCGCGCGGTCCCTCTCTCGGACACCCCTCTCGTCCTCGCAGCACCACACTCACTCTCTAGACGCTGCCCCGCTCCTGCTCTCTTTCCGCCTGCCTTCGTTCTCGTCCCGTCTAGATTCCACACACAGCCCGATACACCACGCAGAAAGCAAAGATGCCTCCGACTCAAGCTCGAGTGAGATGCAGCGCTGCATTGCATTGTGTCCCAGCCCTAGACTTGCGAGATGTCGGCATACAGGTCGAAGCGGCCTGCCAGAGCGGGCAGCGACCCGTCAGCGCACGCCCTGCTCAGTCTGGCTTGCTTTTGCACTCACGCTGGGTGCTGATCGGCACGCCTGCCCGGCATTTCTCCACCATCTCTGGGTCGAGCTCGACACGCACGCGCGCCGGCGCCGCATCGCACGTCGCCAGCACCTTGCCCCACGGGTCCACGCCCGAGCTGTGGCCCCATGTCGGGTACGAGCCGCCGTCGATGTCGGCCTGCGACGGCCGCGCGGGCGAGCAGCCGAGCACGTAGAGCTGATTGTCGGCGGCACGCGCGCGCAGCAGCAGCTCCCAGGCGACGGGCCCAGTCGTGGTGTTGAATGCGCCTGCCGTGCACGGCTTCAGCGTCGAGCAAGGCAAGGCAGGTATGTCGAGAACGCACCAGGATAGAGGATCGCACCGGCGCCGAGGCGCGCACAGATCGTGGCGTACTCGCCGAAGCGCACGTCGTAGCAGATGCCGAGACCGAAGCGGCCCAGCGCTGCGGAGAGGCTCAGCTTCGGTGCTGCAGAGCCGGGCGACGCGCACGCCACGCACAGCACTCAAAGACACACACGCGGTCGCCGGCACTCAGGGTCTTGCTCTCCTGGAACGACATGCCGGGCACGTTGATGTCGAAGAGGTGCACCTTGCGGAAGAGCGAGATGAGGTGGCCTGCGTGCGGGATCAGTGCCGCGCCGCTCGTGCCAGACACCGGACGCACCCTGCTCGTCAAAGACGCTGCTGGTGTTGTACAGCTTGCCCGTGGCCTCGTCGCGCTCGGGAATGCTGCCGCCAACGAGCACGACGCCGTGCTCGCGCGCCTGCTCGCTGAGCCAGCGCAGCGTCTCGCTGGCGCACTCGGCGCCCAGCGGCACGCCGCCGCTGCGCCCGTCGATGCCCCAGCGGGCGCGGCCGTGCGCCTCCTTGCCGGCGCGCTGCTGCAGCGTGTCCCAGAGGCCGCCGAAGCTCTCGGCGTACGTGCCAAAGTGCTGCACGCCGTACGGGCTCTGCCACACCTCGGGCAGCACGACGAGGTCGGCGCGTGACTCGGCCAGCGCATCGGCCAGCTCGCGCTTGGCGTGCGAGAGGTTGGCCTGCTTGTCGGCGCCGACGGGCAGCTGCAGCATCAGCGCGCGCGTGCGCTTCAGCGAGACGGTCACAGGAGCAGACGACATGGCGCGTGCGAGCGAGGCGAACATGGGCCAGCGGAGAGCACCGAGTGGAGGGCCCGGTGGACGGCCCGGTGGGAAGTGGCAGCGACGCCGAGTACGGTGTGCTTGGAGACAGAGCGTGTGCCTGGGCCCAGACGATGTCTCGCGTAGCTTGGCCGGCGTTGCGTGTGGCAGAGCTTGAGGTGTGGTGGGCGCAAGGCAAGGGCCGCGAGTGCCGCGTCACGTCGCCCTGCCGCAGCGCAAGGCGCGTCCAAGCTTCCGCCAGCGCGCGGACCGTGCGCGCTCCCGGCCGGACGATACTCTCGGACGTCGACCGCAGGCTCTGCTCTGACTCTTGCTGCAAGGGAGTGCCCGTCGATCGAGACGCTGGCGCACATGCTGCACTGCCGCGCGTGCAGCACGCCCACGGCCAGGGTCAAGTACGGATTGCGCGCTGCTCGCAGCTCCGTGAGAGTCACACCTCACGCCAAGGAACTAGCACGCGATACGTTTCATTTGGCTTCCACCGTACAGCGCTCAATGCCGAGCGCCGCAGGCAGTCTGTAGAAGGGCAGAGTGTACTTTGGGACGAGAGCGAGCAAGGGAACGGTGGACAGCGTGCAGCGAGGCACGGGCAACGGCGGCGCGTCGGCCCGCGTCGGCGCGGCACACTTAGTTCTCCTTGTTCATCTCGGCGGCCTTGGCCACGACATCCTCGATGCCGCCGACCATGTAGAAGGCACCCTCGGGCAGCGAGTCGTGCTTGCCCTCCAGCACCTCCTTGCACGCGCGGATCGTCTCCTTGAGCGGCACCAGCTTGCCCTCAATGCCCGTGAACACCTGGGCGACGGCGAACGGCTGGCTCATGAAGCGCTGCACCTTGCGGGCACGCTCGACGACGAGCTTGTCTGTTGGGTGAGGTGATTAGCTGCTGCACCGCGCTGCACCCGCCACGCAGCCACACGCACCCTGCTCGGACAGCTCGTCCATGCCGAGAATGGCAATGATGTCCTGCAGCGACTTGTAGTCCTGCAGCAGCTTCTGCACACCCGTGGCGGTGTCGTAGTGCTCGCGGCCGACGATCGAGGGGTCAAGCATGCGGCTCTTGGAGTCGAGCGGGTCGACGGCGGGGTAGATGCCGAGCTCGGCAATGCCACGCGCCAGCGACGTCGTGGCGTCCAGGTGCGCGAAGGTCGTGGCCGGGGCCGGGTCGGTCAAGTCGTCGGCCGGCACGTAGACGGCCTGCACGGACGTGATCGAGCCCTTCTTCGTCGTGGTGATGCGCTCTGCAGGAGAATGGGTCAGCGCACGGTCGGCGCAGCGGTGCGGTGCCGCGACGCACCCTGCATGCCACCCATGTCCGTGGACAGGGTGGGCTGGTAACCGACGGCCGACGGGATACGGCCGAGCAGGGCCGACGTCTCGGAACCGGCCTGCGTGAAGCGGAAGATGTTGTCGATGAAGAGCAGCACATCCTGGCCCCTGTAGCGATGCGTCAGCCACGCGCCGTGCCAGCGCGCACCGCCGCCACTCACTCCTCGTCACGGAAGTACTCGGCAATCGTGAGGCCGGTCAGGGCGACACGGGCACGGGCTCCCGGGGGCTCGTTCATCTGGCCGAACACAAGGGCCACCTTGGACTCGCCCTCGAGGTTGATGACGCCCGTCTCGATCATCTCGTGGTACAGGTCGTTGCCCTCGCGCGTGCGCTCGCCGACGCCCGTGAACACGGACACACCACCGTGGGCCTTGGCGATGTTGTTGATGAGCTCCTGGATGAGCACCGTCTTGCCGACACCGGCACCGCCGAAGAGGCCAATCTTGCCGCCACGCGCGTACGGCGCGAGCAGGTCGACGACCTTGATGCCCGTCTCGAGCACCTCGGCCTCGGTCGACTGGTCCGTGAACGCCGGCGGCTCGGCGTGGATGGGCGAGAGCTTGTTGCCCTTGATGGGGCCGCGCTCGTCGATGCCCTCGCCGATGACGTTCATGATGCGGCCGAGACAGCCGGGGCCGACGGGGATCTGGATCGGCAGGCCGGTGTCGAGCACCTTCTGGCCGCGGACAAGGCCCTCCGTGCCGTCCATGGCAATGCAGCGCACGGTGTTCTGAGTGGGATATGAGTGCCAAGCAGATAAGTGGTCACACGCGGCTACACACCTCTCCGAGGTGCTGGGCGACCTCGAGCACGAGGCGGTTGCCGCTCTGCACGTCCTGCACATCGAGGGCGTTGAGAATGGCGGGCAGCTCGTCGCTGTCGAACGAGACGTCGACGACGGCACCGATGACGGCCTTGATCTGGCCGGTCTGGCCCTTGCCGGACGAGGCAGCGGGCGTGTTGGCGTAGCCGCGCGCTGCAGAAGGAACGTGTGAGCTGTCTGCAGGCAGCAAGACCAGGTGCCGGCCAGCAGCGAATCGCCGGGTGGCACATCTGCAGCCTGCACACCACCCGGCACTCTCTACTCCAGCACTGCCACTCACACTGCACGGCAGCGGCGATCTTGGGCACGGCGCGGGCGGCCGCCGGGGCCGCACGCGGGGCAGCAGCGAGGCCGGCGCGCGCTGGAAGGGAGCAGGCGAGACATCAGCACGGGCAGCAGCGCGGCACGGCGCACACGCGCTCACCGGGCGCGGCGGCGGCGCTGCTGAGGGCGCGCGTGGCGAGGCGGGCGCGCACGGGGGCGCGGAGAGCGCTGCGGGTCGCGAGCATGATGTGCGGGCGAGGAGGGAGAGGGAGAGGGTGGGGAGAGGGAGAGGGAAGAAGGCGCGCCCGCGGGTGCGGCGGCTTCGGGCGCGCCGTGCGACGACGGCGGCGGCGGCCGCGCGCGCTGGCGCCCAGCAGCGACGAGCGCACGCCGGCCGCGAGCTCGGCGCTCGGCGCATCGCTGGCGCGCCGGCGTGCCTGCGCCTGTGCTGCGCCTGCGCCGCGCTGCCCCTGCGCTTCTTCGCGCCGCGCCGGCACAACCCGGCAGCCGCGCCCAGCGCTGCACGTGGCGCCGTCCCTGCCAGCCAGCCAAGCCCGCGCGAGCGACGGCGGCACTGATCGCCCGCGCCGGGCAGCGATTACCTCAGCACCGGCCGCCCGCCGAGCTCGGGCCAGCACCAGCGTGAGGTGGAGGCGGGCTGCCCCGCATTCACCACACCACCACCTCCTCGCCGCCATGGTGAGTGTGCACCTCGCGCACACTCCGCACCCGCTGACACCGCACAGTCCGAGCACCCTGGTCAGCGCCGCCTGCCGCTCCGTCGCGCCGCAGCCGCTCACGCCCCTGCGCAGCCATGACCATGGCCGCCCTCTGCGGCGCCGGCGGCCTCTTTGGCTACACGCGCACGCGCTCCGTGCCCTCGCTCGTCGCCGGCCTCGGCGTCGGCGCGCTCTACGTGCGTGGCGCGGCGGTGCGGTGGCGCCGGACGCTGACCTCCGCTGCAGGCCTACAGCGCACAGCGCATGCGCACCGGCCAGGGTGAGCCGCACCTGTGCTCTGCCTTGCCGCCGCGCACGCTCACGTCCCGCAGCCAACGGCCACGAGCTGGCCCTCGGCGCCTCGGCCGTGCTGCTCGCGTCGTCGGTGCCGCGCATCCGCGCCGGACCCGTGCCGCTCGGCCTCGCCGTCGCCAGCGCCGCCGCGGGCGCCTACTACGGCAAGCAGGTGTACGACTATCGCGTGTAGGGGGGTCTCGCATTGCACTGAAGAGGGGGACAGGGGGAGCGCAGGGCCTAGGAATACAGAGCGTCGTTGCTCTCATGACGGCGAGTGCAGACACGGAGCGCGGACGGGGAACGCAGCAGCAGGTGAGATGGGCAACGGAAGCAGGCCCAGAGGCGTCTAGCGGGCCTGCAGCGCCGGAAGGGCGCTCAGAGCACGCACACGGCTGCGGCACCGGCGGCGGCCAGCGCCAGCAGCGAGGCAGCGGCACGGCTCGGCGCTGCATCCGAGGCGCGGCTGCTGCCGCCGCTGCTATTGCCGCCGTTGCTGCCATTGCTGCCGCTGGCATTGGCGCCGCTGCCGCTGCCGTTCGAGCCATTGCTGCCCGAGCCATTGCCGCTGCCGTTGCCGTTGCTGCCATTGCCCGAGTCGGAGATGGCGCTGTCGCGCGAGCCGGGCGCGCCGGGCGCGGCGCCGCTGCCGCCCGAGGCGTCGTTGGTCTGCATCGTGCTGCTCTTGAAGCCGTTGCTCTCCGGGTTGTCGGCATTCGGGCCGGGCAGGTCCGGGCCCTGGCTGCTGGCCGCGTTGACGCCCGAGATGGGGCCGGCGACGAAGCTGTTGGCCGAGCGCGCCGCCGAGGCGGCCGCGGCCGAGGCGCGGCTCTCGTCGTACTTGGTCGAGGCGAGCACGCCGTCGACGTAGTGGATGACGCCGCCCTTGTGCATGATGTCGTACTGCGTGATGCGCACCGAGACGTCGCCGACGCGCACCGTCTGGGCGTCGGCGTCGAAGACGAGGTCCTGGCCGGCGGCGTTGATCATCGAGCCCTGGCCCTCGAGCAGCGGCGAGTAGACGGCGCGCGAGGCGACGACGTGCTGCAGCAGCAGCGCCTTGGCGTTCTCCGGGTTCGCGGCGAGGTTGTTCTGCTGCACGTACTGCTGCAGCGCCGCGTCGGTGGGCACAAAGAGCGTGACGCCGCGCATCGAGTCGAGCATGTCGGCGACGCCGGCGCCGCGCAGTGCCTGCAGCAGCGCGTCGTGCTTGCCGAGGAAGCCCAGCGTGGCCGAGGCGTTGCCGGGCACGGTGAGGGCGCGCGCGATGGGCTGGATGGTGATGTTGCCGGCGACGATGGGGTCGGCCGAGGAGAAGGCGTTCGTCTAGGAACAAGGGGTGAGCTCTGGCGTGGCAGTACGGGTGGGCACTTCACGTACGTTGGCGGCCTCCTGCACGAACTCGGCGTCGGACGAGCGCGAGAGCGCCACGGGCAGGCCGTTGCCGCCGGGCAGGTTGGCGTACGTGGGCAGCGAGAGCAGGCTGTGGCCGACGGTGTGCGGCGGCGGCGAGGCGAGGTCGTTGAGGGGGTACGTGCCGTTGAGCACTGCGCGGGCCGGGATGTCAGCTGCCAAGGGCGAGTCAGAGGTGATGTGAGCTGCGCACCGTGCATCAGCAGCGTGGCCTGCAGCAGCTCCGGGTTGGACGTGGTCCACTCGGGCACGGCACGCATCGCCTAGAAGGGTGTCAGCCATGCAGCGCCGGGCACGCCGGGCACGCGACGCACCTGGTCGTTGGGCGCGAGGATCGTCTTGCTGCCGGCGCTGTTGAGCACGGCGTTGACAAGCGCCGTGTTGTTGGCGAGCATGTCGGCGAGCACGGTGAGCTGTGCGCCGCGCAGGGCGTCGAGGAGCGCGCTGCCGGCCTCCTGGCGCGGCACGAGCGGGTGCGCCAGCACGGCGGCGGGCAGGAGAAGGAGTGTGAGGAAACGCATCGTGTGTGTGTGTGGGTCAAGGAGTGTGGGTGCGCGGGGCGCGTGGAGACGGGGGCCGGGGAGAGGAGAGGGAGTGACGATGGGGTGTGGAGCGAGGAGCGGCGGGCGGCCGTGCCTATAAGCGTCGCCGTCGGGCAGCCACAGTAGAGTGCAGCCCAGGGGGCGGGATGGCGGCGCAGCGGCTGCAGCAGCGATGCGGCTCTCCACCCTCACGCCTCTCGTCTGCGGCGCTGCGCCTCCTCAGCTGCGCCTGCGCCGCGCGTGCCTCCGCGCCCCCTGCAGCGCCGCGCACGCATCCGCACGCACGAGCGGCACGCACTTGCCTCTTTCGCCCTCCGCCGTCCCGCTACCGCTGCGCCGCACCTTCCGCGCTGCCTCGGCTTGCTCGCTGCGGCGTCGCCCATGAGAGCACGCCGCCGCGGTGGCGCACCCACCCGACGGCAGCACCTTCTCTCTTCGCTCGTACCGCACCGCCTCGTCTCTCTCTCCGCAACGGCTCCGAGCGTTCGGCGCCGAGCGGTGCACGGCACAGCTCAAAGGAGGGCGAGGCTCGGCATCGCAGCGCGAGCGAGCACCGCCTCCTACGCTCGCCGCAGCAGCAGCCGAGACGCCGCATGTCACGCTGCTCATACCCGTGTGGCAGTCGAGTGCGAGAGCGCCAGCAATGCCGATGCCTCACCGAGCGGGTGCTTCGCAGGGAGCAGCAAATGGATGCGGACGACGAACACGTCTAGCGTCTGGCCGACGGCTCGTCGCGCTCCCGCACGCCGCTCCTGCCGTCGGCGCCACGCTATCACACTCAGCCTCCCGCGACGTTCTGGCAACGGCCGTGCGAGGCAGGAGAATAAACGGCAGCCGCAAGGGAGTCCTTTGAGGAGCAGCCGGTACCCGTCCAGGGCGCAGCGAAGAGGGCAGCGGGCGTCGCTCGCCCTGCTCGGCCGCTCCCACGCCTGCCACTCGCAGCCGTGGTCGCCTTGCGGCCGACCTCCTCCATCCTCGCGCCTCGCTCGCGCCCACGCATTCCGCTTTGCACACCAAGCACTGCCAAGGCGTCATGCGTGTGCGTGTGTGACGCAGCAGGCCAGATCGCAGCACGACCACGCGCAGGAGCATGATGGACCGCCGCGAGATTTGGGGCGGAGAGGCGCACGGCGGCCATGCAAGGGGGCGCGACTCTTACTGTGACGCGTGCCGGCGGCCGCTCTTTGTGCAGGCCAGTCCAGCATGCAGGCTCGCCGCGATGGTCTCCGTCGAGCACGTGCGGAGGGCCATGAAACCCGCTCCAGGATGTGCGCAGGGAAACAAAGAGCGCAACGGCGAAGCGAAAGCGAGGCCTTGGGCAGCGCCGAGCAGCCGGGGCTGCGAGCTGCGAGCGTGGGAACTGCTCCCACGCCGACGTTGGCTACTCGGCTGCTGCTTCGAAGCTTGACCACATGCAGCATCTCATGCAGCTTGACTGCCGCGCATGCTTGACATGGCTCACCGTCAGCGTCTGTGGGCTGGAGTGCGGAGAAGCACCTGCGCTTGCGGGCCAGGCGTGCAGAAGCGCAGGGCACGCGCGACGCGTAAAGAGGCGCGTCGGGCGGAGAGGCGCCTGAGATGCGCGATGCAGCGGCAGCCGACGCAGCGGCGGCGCGCGGCAGCAGCACGCTCCCTTCACAATTCCACCCACTCCCACCCTCGCTCCCCACACCCGCACCCCGCCATGCCGCGCAAGAAGGTCCAGCCCACGGGCGCCGCATTCGGCGCCGCCGCCTCGTCGTCGTCGCTCGCCGGCGACGTCTCCACTGGCGCCGCGGGCGCTGCGGCGGCCGACGGCGACGTCAGCATGACGGCGCAGCAGCTCGTCGGCGGCGACGGCATCGAGAACTACGAGGTGGCCAAGAGCCACCTGATGAAGGTCGTGCGCGGCGCGGTGAGTGCGGCGTGGCGGGTGGTCGTGATGCAGTGGTGGCATGCGGCGAGCACGGGCAGGCCACGAGTGAGGTGGCCAGCAAAGCGGCGAGCGCGACCGTTGCAGTCGCCAACACAGGCTCTGCATGGGCCGCATGGAGATCGCACTGGTCACGGCGCCCGCCGGCGATCGGCTGTCAGCATCTCGCATGTGCATCACTGATGTCTGCGCCGTCCAGATGCCCGAGACGTGCACGCTGCGCAAGGAGGGCATCGTGGCCCTGCACAAGGGCACCAGCGTCGTCATCTCATACCTTGGTGAGTCGGGTGTGCGCGCATGCAATGCTGCACGCCTTGCACTGACGCTCGTCTTGCAGCGGCGGCGGCGCAGGAGCGCGCCGCCGAGCGGGGCGCCAAGCTCTTCACCGCCGCAGACGTGTGCGCCGAGGCCGAGGCGCTCGGCTTCCTGCCGCCGAACCTCGTCGACGAGCTGCGCGCCGACTGTGCTGGTGAGTGCGGGCCTGCGAGTTGCCGGCTGGTACGCGCTGACACGCTCGTGCAGCGGCCAAGAGCGCCGGCATCAAGGCGCGCAACATCGCAAAGGCAAAGGCGAAGGAGGCCAAGGCAAAGGCGCGCGCGGCTGCCGGCGACGGCGCAGCGGGCACAGACGCCACGCCAATGGACGTCGACGGCGACGAGACGCGCGCAGCGGGCGCCTCGGGCGAGGAGGGCGAGGCGGAGGACGAGGAGGAGCCTGAGGAGGAGGAGGAAGAGGAGGAGGACGAGCCCGAGGAGCCCGAGGACGACGAGCCGATGGGCACGCCACCACGGCCAGCGGGCGACCAGTGAGCAGCGCCAATGCAGATGGGTTTCATGTCGCAGCCAGGCACCGCATCTGGGTCACACGGCAGAGGCTGAACGAGTGGAGATTGCGGCGTGACGGCAGATGAACGGAGGCGGGCCTGTGAGCGCGACTATGTACATAGATTGATGGCGCTCCAGAGACGGAGCAGGGAAGAGGAGGAAAGGGTCCAGGGACAGGGCACGGCACGCTCAGAACTCGTGCCGCTGATCCATGATGTCGACGGCCGGTTGCCGCGACTCGTGCCGCGGCGCCTCGGGCTGGCGCTTCGACGACGGCGCTGGCGCGCGCCACTCGTCGCCGAACGTGTCGCGCTCCGTCGCGCCGCTCGCGCCGCCGACGGAGTAGCCGATGGCGTAGTTGCGCCCTGCCTCCTCTGGGCCCTCGTCGTCCGAGTCGAGGCTGCGCCGCCGCCCGCCGAGGTCGGCGTCGGGGTCGGCGTAGCCGTTGGCGGCGCGGTGGTCGTACGCGTCGCCGTCGCCCATGACGTGTTGCGACTGCGCATGGCGGTCCTTCTTGCGCCCAAAGGCCGCACGCATGTTGCTCTTGCTCTTGGCCTTGCGCCGCTCCGCCTCGCCGGCGCCCGGCAGCGGGCCGCCGAGGCTGGCCGCCGAGCCATTGCGCTGCTGGTCGTAGGCGTCGCCGGCCCACGCGTTGCGCTCTGGCGCTGGGTCGGCGTTGTAGTACTGCTCCTCAAAGCCCTCGGGCGCGCGCTGCACGGCGGCGCGGCGGCGCGCGGCACCACCATCGCCGTCCTCGAAGCGGTGGTCCATGTCGTACGTCGTCGGGTTGCCGTCGTCGTCGTACAGGCGCCGCTCCGGCAGCTGGTCATTGTAGCGGCCCGTCCACGCGCGCTTCTTCTTGCGCCGCCGGTCGAACGAGTCGTCGACGAGACCGTAGCGCTTGGCCCACTTCGGCGTGCGGTTCGGATGGTTGTCGTTGTTCCGGATGTTCTCTGCGGAAGCGGGTGAGCGAGAGGTGCGCGGACGAAGCCCGGCGTACGCACGAATGAAGAAGTTGTGGCCCTGCGAGTAGAGAAACGTGCGTCAGCGGCATGTAAGCTGATCCACCGACCAGATGCTCGCAGCAGAGCACTTCGGCGGCACAAGACGTGCAGCATTGTGGCAGTCAGAACGCCTTCAGTCGCGCAGGCTGCTGGCCGCCCTGGCTTCTGTGCGCCAGGCACAGCGTAGCGCAATCTGCCGTGCTGCCGCTGAGCTGACCACCGCGCCGCGGCGCTATAGCCTACCGACGACAACAGCCTGGGGCACGCTGCAGCGAGCACCGTCATACCTGCTCAGACTTGCATGTTGCAGCCCACAGCGCTCTGGACTCGGAGCCATCGCAGCCGGCAGCCGGCAGCCCGCCGCCTGAGCTCGCCTCTGCGCCGCCAATGCTGGCCGCTGCGCCTGCCCTGCGTGCCTCCAGGCGCCCACTCACGTGGCCGGGAAAGTAGCCGCAGATGGTGCAGACGATGTTGATGAAGAAGTCCTTGCCGACGCCGAAGCGCGCCAGCACGGCGAGCGGCGGCAGGAAGAAGCCGAGGATGATGATGACGCCCGTGTAGCCGTGGTGCTTCTGCGGCTTGCTGCGGGGGCGTGCCGGGGCGTCAGCCTCGCGTGGACGCAGCGTGGGCGTGCGAGGCGTGCGACGGCGCCTGCAGCGGGCCGGCGCTGCGGCCAGTGCGGAGGCGAGATGCGCAGCGGCGCCGCCAGACGCGCTGCCCCTCGCCTCTGCGGCGCCTCTCGCCGGACGCCTTGCGCTGCCCGCGGCTGCTCGCAGCACGACGGCAGCCGTGCTACACTGCCGCCGCGTGCTGCTGCCTGCCGCCCGCTGGCCGCGCCCTGGCCGGCGACTCACTAGTTGACGCGGCCGTCGTCGTGGCGCGGCACGCCGTTGCGGATGAACTTGCTCATGGCGGGCAGGCGGCAGCGCGAAGCGGTGAGCAGGTGCGCGGCAGCAGATGCGCTGCGAGAGCACGCTCAGCGAGCGTGGGCGTGCGTTGGGGCGCGCACGGCGGTGCGGGATGGCGGTGGAAGGGAAGCAGGATGCGGGGAACGGCGCGCGGGTCCACGGCGAGGCGCGGGCGGCGTGCGCCGCTGCGCCGAGACGACGCGCGCGCCGCGGCGGCAGCGCCAGCCAAGCCCAGGCACGGCAGCGCCACGCATGCGGCGGCGCCAGATCGCGGCGCAGCGGCGCGCCGCGGAGCGTGAGGCGCGCGCCAGGCTCTCGTGCGGGAGACGCTGCGCGCGCCAGCCGCCCGAGCGCGTCTCGCCTCCATCGTCCCCTGCCTCTGCTCCACTCGCTGCACCCCTCACAACCCTCCGCTCCTCTGCCATGTCTGGCACGGCTGCGGGCAGCTCGTCGGCGCGCGCCTCGCCTGCGCCGCCGCCGCCGCCCGCCGCCGCCAATGGCGCCTCGCACGCGCCCTCGCCGCACGCGCCCGCCGCCGAGGGCGCCGCCGACCTCGCCTCCATCCAGGCGTACCTGCAGGCACGCGGCTACAACCGCGCCCTCACCGCGCTCAATGCCGAGCTCGCCGCGCTGCCGGCCGGTGCGCCCCCTGCTGCCGCTCTTGCCGGTGCTGCACCGCTCAGCGCCGCCGAGCTGGCGGCCAAGAATGCGCCGCGCGACGCCCGCGCCGCACCCGCCGCCGCCGAGGCGCCGCGCAAGAAGGGCGACAATGCCGGCGACAAGGAGCGCGCCGCCGCGCGCGAGCTGGCGCGCGACTGCGACGACCGCGAGCGCGGCTTCCAGGCGCTGCGCGCGTGGTGCCAGGGCAGCCTCGAGAGCTACCTGGTGAGGCGCACAGAGGCGCTGCCGCACCCGTCCGCTCTGCTGATGCATGCCTTGCCAGCCGGAGCTGCAGCCGCTGCTGCTCCCGCTCTTCGTCCACTCCTTTCTTGATCTCGTCGAGGCCGGCAGCGGTAGTGCAGGTGCGCAGGCCGCCTCGATGCTCCTTCTACGTACTCACATCTTTCCTCAGCGGCCGCGCTGTACTCGCGCCATTCGGCCCTCTTTCTGCCGCTGCAGCTGCCGCTCCTGTCGCACCTGCGCGCGCTCAGCCTGCCGTCGCACGTCGCCGGCGACGCGCTGGCGCAGCGCTTCCGCAGCGAGCGCTACGTGCTCAAGATGTCGGCCGTCGTCTTTGGCCTCCTGCTTGGCTGGCTCACCGACGGCGGCGGGCCCGTGGCGGGCGCGGGTGCGGCCGAGGGCCTGGGCAAGGGCACGCGCGAGATGCGCGGCCGCACAGAGATGCTGCGCATCATCAACGAGCGCTGCCGGCTGCAGGGTGAGGACTGCTGATGCCCCGGCGCTGTGCCGCACACTCACGACTGCGCCCACAGTCATCCAGAAGCCGCCGCATGCGCTCACCTCTACGCTTCTCGAGGAGGGCACTGGACTGACAGGCGCCGGCCCGTCGTTCTCGTCCTTCGACAGCACGCCGCGCTCTCTGCTCTCGTCGCACATGTCGGCTCCGGCGCTGACGGAGCGCGATGCCGTCGCCGAGTACAACTCCAACGCCGCCGGGCCGCATCTGAAGCTCGGCGGGCAGGTGCCGCTGAGCGAGCGCTTGAAGAAGGAGGTCGAGCGGGAGATCAAGGAGGAGGACATGCGTGAGGAGGCGGCGCGGCAAAAGAAGGAGCAGGAGGACAAGGGCGGCGAGGCGGCGCCGCCTGCGGACGCCGACGCCATGAAGGTGGATGCGCCGTCGGCAGGCGCGGACGGCACGGCGACCGGAGCTGCGGCGGCCGCTTCGCCGAACACGGCCGGCGACAAGGCCGGCACGCCTTCACGCGAGAGTGCACGGCCTTCTCCCGGGCCAGGGCGCGCATCCACCGTCGCACCGACGACGGCACCGGCCACGACCACCACCGTCTCGTCCGGCCTGCTGCAGCCCGAGTTCACCGACCTGCCGCCGCAGCCGCCGCTCTTCCGCAGCGTCGACGTGGACCGCGAGGTCAGCCGCATCCGTGACGCGCGGAAAGCCCTGCGATTGGGCGAGGCTGCTGCGGTCACACCCGCTGGTGACGACGTGCGCACCGCGGCGCTGCCGAGCGTCTGCAGCTTCACATATCACGATGCAGAGGACGGGTGAGTGTACTGTGTTGCCGCCGAGGGACCGTCGCTGACGCTCTGTGCAGCCTGACCTGCTCTACATTCTCCGCCGACGCGAGCCTGATGGCTGCGGGCTTCGAAGAGAGCTACGTGCAAGTATGGTCTCTGAAGGGCGAGCCATTGCGAGGCCTCAAGGAGAACTTCGAGCAGAGTAACATCCGCGACGGTGAGCAGCCCAAGCTTGCCGCTCGTGCGCGCTGCTGACACGCTTCGCAGCGCGCTCATTGCGCAAGAACCGCGAGAGCACCACGCAGACCACGCGCAAGCTCATCGGCCACAGCGCCCCCGTGTACGGCGTGTCCTTCGACCCCATCGCCGGCACCGCCGCGCCGCCACGGCATCTGCTGAGCTGCAGCGGCGACGGCAGCGCGCGGCTGTGGTCGCTCGACACCTTCTCAGCGCTGGTGGCCTACCGCGGGCACCAAGGGCCGGTGTGGAACGTCGAGTGGAGCCCGCTAGGGACCTACTTCGCGACTGCCAGCGCAGACCGCACGGCGCGGCTGTGGAGCACGGAGCGCATCACGCCGCTGCGCATGTATGCCGGGCACCTGAGCGACGTCGAGGTGAGCTGTGCCGGCGAGCCGCAGTTGCAACAATCCCGCTGACAGCCGCCGCGCAGTGCCTCAACTTCCACCCCAACTCGCTCTACCTCGCGACGGGCTCGTCCGACCGCACCTGCCGCCTGTGGGACGTGCAGCGCGGCGCGTGCGTGCGGCTCTTCGTCGGGCACCAGTCGCCGATCTCGTGCGTGCGCATCTCGCCCGACGGGCGGTATCTGGCCTCGGCGGGCGCGGGCAATGCGCCCTTCCGCCTCGGCGCCACGGCCGCCGGCGACGACGCAGCCATCAGCCTCTGGGACCTCTCGAGCGGGCGGCGCGTCAAGAAGATGTGGGGCCACCGCGCGCGCGTGCTCGACCTCGACTTCAGCACCGACGGCGGCATGCTCATGTCGTCGGGGTCGGACTGCACCGTGCGCTGCTGGGACGTGCGCAGCGCCGGCGGCGAGCGCACCGACGTGGCCGTGCCCGGCAGCCTCGAGGCGCAGCAGGCCGCCGTGGCCGGCATCGATGCGGCCGACCGGAGCGCCGCATTGGCCATGCCTGCCGCCGTCGGCGCACAGCTCACCTCCGACGAGCGCGACTCGAGCCGCGACTGTCTCGCGACCTTCTATACCAAGCGGACGCCCATGCTCGACGTGCATGTCACGCCGCGCAACCTGGTGCTCACCGCGGGCGCGTACGATGCCAGCATATGACGAATGCATGCCCTCTCGCAGCAGCTCCTCCGGCGCGGTGTCTGACGTGCCTGCATTGCATCGGTGTTCGTGAAGAGACGTTCGTGGCGGGCTGAGCCCGCAGCTCGCCATCAGGCCGCGTCTGCGCGCCGGCAGGTGGCTTGTGGGCGTGAAGGGCCGCAGCTCTAGACGGCAGATTGCCGCGCGCCGGCCAGCTTGTCCAGAACCTGCGTGAGGTGAGTGTCAGCTTCCGGCGACGGCGGCGCGGCCAGGCAGACGCGCTCGATATGCTTGTCCCGGTCTGGCGACTCACGTTGCGGACAACTGGCAGGCTGAGGACATCGCCGATGATCGGCAATTGCCGCAGGAAGTTGAGGATGACGGGGAAGAAGTCACTGCGGCCGCGCGTGTCAGCGGATGCACAGGCGTCGCCTCATGCGGCGAAGCCGGACAGGATAGAAGCCAGAGGCTGCCAGTGACACGCCCAACGATGCTGCGCCAAGGCGCGCTCTCGCCCCGCCAGCAGCACCCTGCAACCCTGGTCTAGCACCGCCCAACAACGCCCGCCGTGCACCGCCGCGCCCGCCACGCACGCCGCTCGTCGCCTCGCCGATGCCTGCCGCGCATACGCACCCAAAGAGATTGAGGAAGCCGAAGATCTCGACGAGCATGCCGATGAACGTCCAGCGCGCGAAGACCAGCAGCATGCCGGCGAAGAAGCACAGCGTGCCGCGCAGCTTCTGCTTGCGCGCGAAGAAGTAGAACGTCTTCTGCGGCCCGATGAGCAGCGTGATGCCGGCGGTGAAGAGGACGTTGCCGAGCGCGAGGAGCGCGGCGTCGAAGAAGAGGATGATGCCGAGCACGAGGAAGAGCGAGCCGAAGGAGACGAGCGCGGCGCCGATCTCTGCGGGGCGCGTCAGCACGGTGTGTGGCCACTGCAGCATGCCACGCACTCTGCTGGTCGGTGAGCCACATGCTGGGCAGAGGCGATGGTGCGGTGGTGGAGGATGACGGTGAGAGGGCTCGCTGCGCCGCGGCCGGTGCTTCGCGGTGTGTTCCCGCGCGGCGCATGCCAACACGACACGCGTGGCACGGACATGCTGACGTAAGCAGCCTTCCATCCTTGCCCGACGTCGGGCCGTCTACGAAGTGCCTGGAGGCCAGCTGCGCACCTCTGAAGGTACCTGTTGTCGACAGCGAGGGGCTAGGCGGTACAAGCTGGCCTGTTCAGGCTGTGGCGCGCGTGCTGGAGCAGTGAGAGCACCTCGACGCAGCGCGGTGCTCTGTCTCGTCCCCGGCGCCGCCGCGACGCCCGGCCGGCACTGCTGCTGTTGCTGCCACATGCTCTGCGCATGAGCCGTCCAACGTCTGCACAGGATCATAGACGCTGAGCGGCTCGCCGGGCGTGGCATGCTGTGAGGCCACGCGCGAGAGGCGGCGGCGAGGTGAGGCTGTGCCGCGGCGGTGCCGCTGCGGGCGCGTGTTGGGTGCGCTTCTCCGTGTGCCGGCGGCGGCGCGCGGCTGTGCTGCATGCCTTGGACAAGGGGCACGCTCCGCTCGCTCGGACCTTGGCTTCATCCCACCATCCCCGCCGCACCGCACGCCCAAGCAGCGTCTCCTCTACGCATCTAGCTCCAGCGAGCCACAACAGCGTCGCTCCAGATCGTCTGCCGCCTTCATCTGCAGCTACTGCACTGTGCCGCTGAGCTCCCAGAGCATGGGCGCCATGGACGCGCACTCCTCACTCGCCGCGCTGGCCAGGCGCGCCGGCGAGAGCCGGATAGAGCCGACGGCCGACCAGGTGAGTGCGCCGACGGAAGATTCAGCTCGGCGCGACGCAGCTGCGGTCTGCGTCCGAGCAAGTAGGGGCCTCAAGAGAGCGGTGCTGTGCTCGGGTCGTTGTTGGAGCGGACCCCTAGAGCTCGACTCAGCGCGGCCCGAGCGCGGCTGACCGACGCATGCGCAGCGCACCATCATCATCGTCGCCGCAGTCATGGCCGTCGCCATTGGTGCGTGCTGCATGCGTGGCTGCTTGGCGGTCCACTGAGAGACGTGCTTCACAGGCATCATCTGGCACGTGCCGTACATCAAGGAGATCCTCTGGCCATTCAAGATTCTCACCGTCGCATTCCACGAGTGCGTGCTGCGCTCTGCATGCTCTGGCCCACTACTCACGCCCGCGCAGGTTCTCACACGCCATCGTCGGGCTGTGCACGGGCGCCAAGATCGAGAGCATTGTGCTCGAGCCCAACGAGGGCGGCGCCACGCGTATGCGCGGCGGCATCCCGTGGCTCACGCTGCCGGCCGGCTACCTGGGCAGCTCGTTCATCGGCGCGGCCATGATTGCGTGTGCCTTTGACATTCGCGCCAGCAAGGTCATGAGCTTCGGTGAGCCGCGCGAGCGCCAGCACTGCTGCGGCCACGCTGACGCGCCGACAGTCATTGCCGTCTGCTTTTTGTTCACGCTCTGGTGGGCGCGGAAGAACTGGCTGTGAGATGCACAGGCGGCGCGCACGCACGCAAACATGCTCACGCCCGTCTCAGCACCTGGCTGCTGCTGCTCGTCTTTGCCGGGGTGCTCGTGGCGTTCTGGTTCATTGCGCACGGTGTGGCGCTGCAGTACTTTGTGCTCTTCCTCGGCGTCATGAGCTGGTGCGTGGTGGCAGCGCAACTCGGCGGCGCCTGCTGACATCTGCTGCGCAGCCTCTACTCCGTCTGGGACATCTGCGACGACCTCATCTTCCGCAAGGTCAACGAGAGCGATGCCACGGCATTTGCCAAGGTCGTCGGCTGCTGCCCGCCGCAGGTGTGGGGCGTCGTGTGGCTGCTCGTCTCCGTGAGTGCAGTCGTGGAGGTTGCACTGCTCCTGGCTGACAATCGCTGCAGGTCATCTTCTTTGCCGCAGGGTGCGCTGCACGCTTCTTGGCCGCCGGTCTGCACAGCTTACACCTCCTCGCAGCATCATCATCGGCATCGTCGCCTTCAAGACGCCGCTGCGGACGCAGAAAGCCGGTGCGTCCTGCGTTCGGCGTCGGCACCCTCAGCCGCTGACGCCACGCCCGCAGACAACTTCCTCAACACGCGCGACTTTGGCCTTCTGGCGGCCGTCGTGTGGTGATGCGCGGGGCTGCATCATCTGGCCCTGACTCCCGCGCGGCGCTGCTCTGCTCCATCACTGACCGTCTGGCTGTTCGACGTCTTGTCTCCCGCCGCTCTGTAGACAATGTACCCTGTATTATCTGCCGCCTGTCGTGCCCGGCGCAGACCCCGTGTGATCCAGTGTAGCGCTGTCGCTCTCAGCCCCCTCTACGCCGCCGCCTTGGGCTTCTTGGTGCCGTACTTGCTGCGGCTCGTTGTCCGGCCGACGACGCCCTGCATGTCGGCATGCCCGCGCACGAGATGGTATCTGGGCCAGCACGGATGAGCATGCGCCGTGCGCAGTGCAGAGGCCAGCCTCTGGCCGCGACTCACCGCACACCGGGCAGATCCTGCACACGGCCGCCGCGCATCAGCACCACGCTGTGCTCCTGCAGGTTGTGCCCCTCGCCCGGAATGTAGGCGACGGTGGTGCGCCCGTTGCTGAGCTTGATGCGCGCCACCTTGCGCACGGCCGAGTTGGGCTTCTTGGGCTTCGTCGTGAAGACGCGCGAGCACACGCCCTTGACGAACGGCGCGCCCTCGAGCGCCGGCGTGCGGTTCACCGGCGGCCGGTGCGGCTTGCGTGCGCCGCGCAGCACCTGGCGGTAGGTCGTGGGTGCGGCGGCGCTTGCGCTAAACTGCCGCAGCGGCGCGGCGAGGCGCGACGAGGATGCAGCGGCGCTGGCCGACGTCGACGCTGCGGGCGCGAGCGCCATGCGTGCGAGCTGCAGGTGCAGCGGGCGCATGAGAGATGCCTGTGCGGGTGTCAGACGAAGGGAGTGTGGCGTGTGCGGAGGACGTACCATGCTGCGAGTGTGTGGAGAGGACGGGAAGATGGCGGCGCGGCGGCCGCTCGAGATGCAAGGCAGCGGCCGGCCAGCCCGCGGCACGTGACGCGGCGCCGCGCCAGAGCCTCACGCCCGAGCGCGAAGATCATCCGGCCTCGCCTCCTGCACCCATCACCATCCCTTGCCCGCCATGATCGACCTCATCAGTGAGCAGCGCAGACGCAGGCGTGCCGCACGGCGCCGCTCATGCGCACATCGCAGTGCTTCAGCCCGAGAAGGGCGGCGACCCGCAGGTCGTCAAGGACTCGCAGGCCAAGCGCTTTGCGCCGCCCGAGCTCGTCGACGAGGTGCTGGCGCTGTACAAGGACTGGGTCGCGACCGAGTACGAGCTGCAGCAGGTGCAGAAGGACCTCAACGCCATCAAGCGCGACATCGGCGCCAAGATGAAGGCCAAGGCCGACGCGTCCGAGGAGCTCAAGCAGAAGGCGGCGCTCGACGCGCGCGTCGCCGAGCTCAAGCCCGAGGTGGTGAAGAAGGAGCAGACGATGCGCTTCAAGGCCGGCCGCATTGGCAACATCGTCGGCGACATGGTGCCCATCAGCGCGACGGAGGTGAGTGCAGGCAAGAGGTGGCAGGCACGAGCGGCGAGAAGCGGCGAGAAACGGCGAGAGGCTTCGAGCGGGATTTGCGGCAGCTGCAGGCCAGTGCCGCCGATCGAGGCGCTCGCGATTGAGCTGCTGGCGGAGCTGAGCAGGGAGCGACCTGCATGCGGCGTCGTTGGCGCTGGCGGCCGGCTTCGCTCCGCAGAACCGCTCTGCTGACGGAAAGTGGCTAAGGACGACAACAAGGTGATGCGCACGTGGCACCCCGAGGGCCCGAACGGCAAGGTGGAGAAGAAGAAGTGCGTATCGGGCGTGTGCAGCTACGCCCCATCAGCTGCTGATAGACGAATCGCAGCGACATCCTGTCGCACCACGAGGTCATGATGCGCCTCGAGGCCTTCGACATGGAGCGCGGCGCCAAGATCTCGGGGCACCGCGGCTTCTTCCTCACCGGCGACGGCGTGGACCTGAACCAGGCGCTGATCAACTACGGCCTCGACTTCCTCAAGGGCAAGGGCTTCAAGAAGATGATGACGCCCTTCATGATGCGCAAGGACGTGATGAGCAAGACGGCGCAGCTCGAGGACTTTGACGAGGAGCTGTACAAGGTGTGTATCGCGAGCGTGTCTCGACGTGCTACCTGCTGACGCCCGGCCAGGTCACCGGCGACGAGGTCGACAAGTACCTCATTGCCACGTCCGAGCAGCCCATCAGCGCATTCCACTCCGACGAGTGGTTCGACCAGCCCGAGACGCAGCTGCCGCTCAAGTACGCCGGCTACTCGACGTGCTTCCGCAAGGAGGCCGGCTCGCACGGCAAGGACACGTGGGGCATCTTCCGCGTGCACCAGTTCGAGAAGGTCGAGCAGGTGAGCTGTGCGTGCTGCTGCGTGTCGGCGTTGTCTCACCGCCCGCGCAGTTCTGCATCACCGACCCGGCGTCTTCGTGGGACATGCTCGACCAGATGATTGCCAACTCCGAGGCCTTCTACCAGTCGCTGCAGCTGCCGTACCAGGTCATTGCCATTGCCTCGGGCGCGCTCAACAACGCCGCGGCCGCCAAGTACGACCTCGAGGCCTGGTTCCCGTACCAGGGCGAATACAAGGAGCTCGTGTCGTGCTCAAATTGCACCGACTACCGTGAGTGCTGCGGCGCTGCTTCGCTGTCTGATGCTCACACGCCGCTGCAGAGTCGCGCAGCCTCGAGGTGCGGTGCGGGCACAAGAAGCAGGGCGAGACGAAGAAGCACTACGTGCACATGCTCAAGTGCGTCGCCGAGCGATGCCAGCCTGGTACCTCACTGATGCACCCCACAGCGGCACGCTCTGCGCCACCGAGCGCGCGCTCTGCTGCCTCGTCGAGAACTGGCAAACACCAGAGGGCCTCACGATCCCGCCGCCGCTGCGGCCATACATGCAGGGCCGCGAGTTCCTGCCCTTCACGCGTGAGCTGCCCAAGGGCACCACGAGCTCGAAGAAGAAGGCCTAGGGACATAGGGACATGTAGAGCGTATGAATTGGCATGCGCATGCAGCTGGGTATCAATGTCGGGAGCTGGTGATCTACTTGTAGGGCGCCTTGCCGGCCTCGCGCAGGCTGTTCTCGCGCTGAGAGAGATGGGTTAGCTGTGCAGCTGGGCAATTGGCGGCGGGCACGGCTCACCTCGCGGTCGTCGCGGACGAGCCGCTCGATCTCGAGCGCGATTGCGCGCACCCAGAGGTCCCTGTACAGCGTCAGCCAAGGTGCGGAGGTGAGAACACACAACACGTACCTCTCGAGCCTCGAGCGCGCGCGCAGAACGAGGTGCTTGTGCGTTTTGTCGCCGAGCGACGGCAGCGACGTCGCACTGGCCGGCACCGTCGTCTGCTCGACCTGCCCGACCTTGATGCCGGCGCGCAGCTTGGCCTGCGGCTCGGCGGGCTGCTGCACGCGCTGCGGGCGGTAGCGCACCACAAACGTGCAGTCCTCGTCCTCGTCGATGCTCAGCAGGCCGTCGCGGTAGACGCGTGGTAGGCGATGCCGCTCGCTCGTGCTGGCCGTGCTGCCGCCGCCGCCGCCCTGCCCGCTCACCGCGCCGGCCGCCTCGGAGCGGCCGTTGGTGAGCATCTCCTCGCTGAGCTTGCCCGAGTAGACGTAGGCGTCGCGCAGGTGCACGACCGTCTCGTTGCGGCGGTGGAAGATGCCGGCGTTCTGCCGGCTGCGCGCCGTGCGCACCGACGTGACGAGCGAGAAGTTGAGCAGCCGGCCGGCGATGAGCACGTAGTGGCGGCTTGCAAACGGCGTGTACGCCTTGCGCTTGTGGAAGAGGCGCCCCGACCGCACGATGCCGCGGCAGCCCTGCAGCACGCACCAATTCCACAGCGAGCTGAGCATCGGCGAGATGCGCTCGGCATCCGCGCCGGCGCCCAGGAACGTCGCGCCCACGCCCTGGTCGTCGTCGTCATCGGCACGCACGCCCTGTTGAGCACGCCGGAAGCGGCGGTGCATCTTGGCGGGGTCGTAGCCGCTCGCGTTCATCAGCTCGAGCGCGTCGATCTTCTCGCGGCGCTTCCAGTAGCGGGCCAGCGCGGCCAGGCGCTCGATCCACTCGTGCGCAATGCGCGCGCTGTACGCCTCGAAGCGCGTGGCGCGGCCGTTGGCCATGACGATCTCGAATTGGCGGGCGCGACGCAAGACAGCGCGGTCCGCCGCTGCAGCAAGGCCCTCTTCGCCGCCAATGTCGCTGTGCACGAGGTCCGGCAGAGCGGTATTGGCATGGTCCGCGCCGTCCGGCGGCATGCCGTCGCGATGCACCGGGGCGCTTGTTTGGTGCTGCTGCTCCTTCACCGTCTTGGGTCCGGCAGCGCGCTCGTCGGGCAGCACGTGCGGATCGGCGCAGTCGTCGATGCTGGGACGGCGCACGGGGCCGTCGCCGCAGCTGCGCACGACGCACACATCGCGCATGTCGACGTAGCCGTCGCACTGGCTGATCTGCTCCAGCTGCCGCCGGCACTCGAGAGCCTCGAAGGCTAGCACCTGGGCGCGGACACTGTCCTCGTCGCCGGACGCGACGGACGCGGTCGTGATGACCTGGTCGCGCAGCGATGCGAGGCCTTCGTCGCGTGACGCGCGCCGCTTCTTCCTGCTGTGCGACTTGCGCGACGGTCGCACCGGTGTGCCGGCGTCTGGCTGCTGCGCCATCGTCGCGAGGTGACGATCCGGCGGACAAGCGCGAGTCGGCCGGCAGACGAAGATGTGTCCGTCATGCGTCGTCGCGTAGAGGCGGCTCAGCGCGCCAGAGACGGGCTTGACGCGCCACAGGAAGCCCTCAATTGCCGGCGGCTCCTCGAGCAGCTGGCCGGTGGCGCTCTTGACGGCCGTGGCGTAGTGCGTTGCCGCGCGCAGCTCAAGCGAGGGAAGCTTTTGCGACTGCGGGTGAAGTCAGCATCAAGCCAGCCGCCGCTTGTGTCGACTCACCTCTTTGACAACAGACCCGCACAGCACGGCCCAGTCGCGCGCCTTGCCGTCGACGGTCGTGTCCTCGCGCACCCAGTCCAGCGTCGTGCCGGTGCGCCAGGCGAGCTCAAAGGCGACGCCCGCGTGCTCGACGGCAGCAATCATCTCGCGCCAGTCGGCCTGCTCGCGAGCGAGACTGAGCACCGTGCCGATCAGGTTCTCGCGCGTGAGGAGCTTGAAGCCCTCGCCGCGGCCGAGCGCCTCGACAAAGTCGGCCGGCACTTCGTCAGGGATTGGGATGCGCACGCGAACGTCCAGCGCAGGCACGTGCACCTCGAGCGTCTCGGGAATGGTGCCGCCGAGCTCGCGCCACAGCTCCCACATCCAGTCGGCCGCGACGGTGCGAGACCGCGCCTGCAGCGTGTGTCAGACAGGAGCACGACAAGGCGGCGCTCTACTCACGTCGAAGAGCACGACGTGCGTGCCGTTGCGGCGCAGGTGCAGCTTGCCCTTGTGGTCGCCGTCGCCGGCGGCGTACGACAGTGCAAAGATGCGGTCGATGGGCGAGTAGAGGGAGAGATACGTGCTGCTGCGCCGCAGCGGCACAATGTGGCGCAGCTTCAGCCGGCTGGCGTGGCCCAGTGCCTTGGAGGTGAATGTCTGCGCGCGAGTGATCAGTATGTGCCAGGTACTGAGAGGTCCAAGCTACACGCACCGGGTCGTCCCAGATCTCGAGGCGCCCCATGCGCAGCAGCACCATGTACTCGCGCCACGGCTCGCCATAGAGTGCGACCTTGCGTGCCGCGTTCTCGTCAAAGTCTGCCGGCACGTCGGTCGAGGGCGTCCATCCCAGCTTGACGAGCATGCGGTCGCGCTTGAGCGCGGTGCGGCGTGTCGGCGCCTCCTCCTCGAGCAGCACACGCTCGAAGGAGCCCGGCCGAGAGAGGACCTCTTCGGGCGGCGCAGGAACGTCGTCTCCGGATAGACTGCGGCCAGCGGCAGAGAGCTGCGCAGCCTGTCCGCGAGTGAAGAGGCTAGCCGTGAAGCTGCGGCCACCTGCGCCGGCGTCGCTGCGGCTCTCGAACTGCACCGTCTTGCGCTGCGGCGTCGCAGTCGGACGCACACGTCCTGGCTGCATGTTCGGCGCTACGCTTACGTGCGACGGCGCATCGCCCATCTCGCGACGGGACTCCTCGGTGGCCGCAAGCACGACCTCGTGGTCGCTTGCAGTCTCGTCGCGGCCGTCGACTGGCTGGCCGGCATCGCTCTGGCGGCGCAGCAGCTCGTGTGTCGCCTCTGGGAACTTGTCTTCTGCGGCAAGCGGCGGCTCGGGATGGGCGCGCGACTGCAGAGACGTCATGGCGCCGGGCGACTCGCTGAGGTGCTGCGTGCGGGTGCCGATCGACTGTTCACTGTCCTCGCGCAGCATCGTAATCGCCGCCTCCTTTTTCTTGCGCTCCGCCTGGCGCGCACGGAATGACTCGAGGCCCGCCCGGCTGTCCTCGAGCATCTTCTTGCCCGACGTCCCGAGCGCGAAGCGAGAGCTCGCCTTGGACGCGGACTGGGCGCTCATCAGGCTGACGACGTCGCTCCAGCCCTGGCGCGACTCGATGGCAAAGCTGCTCTCGTGCTCCGCGCCGCGCGTATGCGGCACGCTGATGAGGGACGCGAAGGACGCCGAGCCTCGCAGCGTGCGGTCTACAGGGACGGCCAGCCCTCCTGGCGGCGCAGGCGTCGACGATGCGTCATCGGCCACGGGCTTGCTCGGCAGTCCGGTGATCTGCTGTGCATCGCCGCCCTGTCGCTCAACCTCCTTGGCCGCGTCGACCTTGTCGTCCGTCTTTTCCTGCGCCTGTCTCGCCATTGAGCTGAGAACGTCGTCGGCGCTGCGGGGCGCACCCTCCTCGGCCGCTGGTGTCTCGCGTAGGATGCGTGCGGCATCGCCCTGCGGCGGGCCGTACGATGCAGAGCTCAGGTCTGCCTCGCTCTGCAGCGCGGCGAGCGCCTCACGGCGGGCCTCGACGACCTGCCAGAAGCGCTTGCCGACCTCGTAGCTGCCGCCGACCCACTTGGTGCCGCCGCCGCTGGTGCCCACGCGCACCTCGCTACCGTGGCGCGCGTGCCCGCTCGGCGGCGGGACATCGCGCGAGGGCCGCTTGGTGTCCTTGATGCCCAGTGCTGCAAACAGCCGCGCGCGCACGCCGCCGCTCGCGCCGAAGCTGCCCTCCGTGAAGCGCGTAGCCACGGAGCCCTCGGTGCCGAACGTGCCAACGGTGCTGGCGCGGCTCATGCGGCTCGCCCGACTGGCGCGGCTGGCGTCTCGTGGGTGCTTGCCGCGCCCGTGGGACGTGCTGCGTGCGTGCGGCGGGTGCCCGACGCCAGCGTTGAGGCGTGCACGCGCCCGCTCCTTGAGCCATGCAGCTCGAGCGGCGGCCTGCTGCGCCGAGGCGGTCTGCGCTGGGACGGCATCGTCGCGCGTCGTGCCGGCGTCGTCGTGGGTCGTGCCAACGTCTTCGCGGGTCGTGCCGACGTCGTCTCGTGTGGTGTCGGCATCGTCCCGCGTCGTATCACCGTTGTCGTGCGTCTCGTCGATAGACCCAGCGCCGTCTTCTGTCCGCGCAACGCTCGCCTCGGCAAGGGCCCGCCCATGCGAGCGCGTCAGGCTCGACGCAGAGAGTGACGTCCGCATCTGTGCGCGTCCGCCCTGGCGCTTGCCCAGCATGCTCGCGTCCGACTGCTGCGGGCGCAGCACCGCCAGGCCGGCGCGCCGCGGCGTCACGGGGCTCACGCTTGTGTCGATGGTGAGGTGCTCGCCGAGCGCAGCCCGGGCCGCTCGGGCCTCGTCCTTGCGCGCGGGCGTGCGCGGCGGCGAGCTCGGGCCGCCGGCCTCTGTCCGCCACGCCGATTCCGAATCGCTCTCCTCGGCGACGGGGAGGTCGAGCAGCGGCAGCGTCTGCTGCGCCTCTCCCGGTGCGGTGTCGGACGGAATGTCGCGGCCCAGCGCCCCCATCGCGCTGGCGTCGCGACGCAGGCCGCGCCGCAGCGCCTTGCGCGCCTCGGCAGCGGGGCGCCCCGTCGCGTCGCCCTCGGAGAGCACGCTGTCGGGCAGCGAATGTGCCGACGCAAAGCTCGCCGCGGATGCCTCGCGCGAGAGATGCCGCCGCTGCATGCGAAAGGCCGCAAAGGGCACGCGCTCCGACTTGGGCGACACGAGGTCCGGCGGCGGCGGCGGCGCTGCAGCGGCGTCGAATGGCGCCGGCGCATTGGTCACGAAGCCCGGCGGCGCTTCTTCGACTGGCAGCACGACGTCCTCGGCGTCGATGCCCGGCCGGGCGCCGCGCGGCGTCGCGATGATGAAGCCCAGCGGCGCGCCGCCCTCTGCCGCGTCGGCGAGCTCGTCGGCGGCGATGGCCTGCGCGAGCCCCTGTGCCGCCGCCGCCGGCACGGCCGTGGGCCCGAGGTAGACGCGGCGGAAGTGGTGCGGCCCATGCGGAGGCGGCATGGGGTGCAGGCCCAGAGTGAGGAGAGAGGTGCAGAGCGTCTGCCACGGTGGTGAAGAGAGGGAGAGCCGCGCGCACGCCCGCAAGCGCGAGGGTGTTGTGGTGCGGAGTGGAGGTGCGGTCAGGGGCGCGCGGCGCAGATCACCGACCAGGCCGAGGTGTGGCTGGCAGCGGCTGGTCACTAGTTGGGGTGGAATTGTGCAACTCACCAGCCATGCAAGGCAGGCTATTATTGACTTATCAATGTGCAAGGCACAAGCAAGCACATACTGTAGTCAATCTGGCCAGTCTTCTCAGCCTTGCGCAGCATCTTCTTCTAGGTCTGCACAGCAATGTTGCTTGTGAGGACCTGTTATGCCAGCGCCAGGCAGAGAGCCTCAGCCTGCTGCTGCTCTTGCTGCTCCTGTGCAAGACGCAGAGTTCTGGCCAGACCATGCTGCTCCCAAGCAAGGCAGCAAGCGTCTGCTTGCTGCAGGCATCCCAGATGGCCAGGCGCGCCTTCTGCACAAGGCTGTAGCCTGCCTTTGACCTGACCTGCCTGACAGGTGAGCTGCATCAACAATTGCTGCGCCAGCGCCAAAGCTGCCTAAGCTTGTGCAGTTTGATGACCGCTCTAAGGCAGCTTGACCCAACCTTGCTGCGCCTCAAGGCATCTAGATAGTTGACATGCCTACGCTCTGCCACAGCTACTTGCTCAAATATGCTGCTTGGGTTACAGTCCCTTGCGCCTGGAGGCTCTTGCTCAGTTTGGTATTGCAACCAGCTGTTGCCCGTGCTGCAGCTTCAGCGTCTCTTAGGGTTAGGGTTAGGGTTAGGGTTAGGGTTAGGGTTAGGGTTAGGGTTAGGGTTAGGGTTAGGGTTAGGGTTAGGGTTAGGGTTAGGGTTAGG